ACATTCTAAAAGGACAAGGGTCAAGCAGTTTAACAAAATCATGATAGTATATACATATATACTATCATTATATAATACTATCATGCCCAGTAGCGGCCTTCCAACTAGAATAAACATTGATTTTTCTGGTCCCGCTACAAAAATATTGATCTCATTTACATGCGTTCATTTTAACTAGTGCAACTGTTTTTTCGAGTGCGGTCGTTGTCATCTGAATAGCACATAAGTATTGACATCCTTGAATTAAATGAAGTGTTCTTGGATACAGCCGTCTATCGCTATTCATATTTGAGGTGTTTTCCAGAATGAGCTCTCTAGCGATGTTGTGCAATCGTGGTCAAATGCGCTTTCTTCCCAAATTCCGCTACTATTCTACAGGTCGACAGCAGTTTGTTTCATTCTTGAAAAATGAACTTGCTTCCATTCAGGTATTGTATCGCATTTATGCATACTATTGTTCTTTTGGTGGTGCAATGACCAGTACTAAAGATGAATTTTTATGTTTAGGTTAGCTTTTAAATTCAATTGAAAATTCCAGTTTGCAGGATGCTGGTACTTATAAAAATGAAAGAATTATTATTGGTCGGCAAGGAATGGAAATCAAAATTAGAGGCCGCGATACACCCGTTTTAAATTTCTGCGCCAATAATTATCTAGGCCAGTAAACTATAAATTAAACTTGGAAAATTTTGATTATAATCGTCATCTCGGTGTCTCAAATTATTTTTCATACTGTTCTCAAATAAATTTCACTTTGTGAAAAATTAAAAGTTCTGTTGTGCGTTAAAACGATTTTTTTAGGATTAAGCAGCCATCCAGAGGTTATTGAAGCTGGACAACAAGCACTGAACACTCATGGCGCAGGGATGAGTTCAGTAAGATTTATTTGCGGAACACAAGACTTGCACCGAGTTCTTGAGCAGAAAATTGCAAAATTTCATGGACGCGAAGATTCTATTTTATACGCGGCCTGCTTTGATGCAAATGGCGGATTATTTGAAGCTATTACAAGTAAGATGTCAAAAACGATTTGTTAAGGAATTTTAATGTCTATATTTCATGAATGTATAGCTTCCGACCTTATTCAAATGTAAAGTTAATATTTCTAAAGTTCGATAAACGTTGAACTTTTGTAGATGATCAAGATGCGGTAATTTCGGATGAGCTCAATCATGCTTCTATCATTGATGGTATTCGATTGTGTAAAGCAAAGCGTTACCGTTACAAACACCTTGATTTTAATGATTTGGAAAGGATTTTGAAAGATACTGAAAGTAAGCTGTATGTAATGTCTAAAGATTGCACTAAATTTTGTAGAGTTTTTATGTCTCTCCTGCAAGAGAATTCATATTTTTGTTTAAATTATAATAGCAGTACCTTTTTAAGGTTGTAGACAGCGTGTGATTGCCACTGATGGCGTTTTTAGTATGGATGGTGATGTAGCACCATTAAAAGAGATATGTGATCTCGCAGACCGATATAATGCGCTTGTCTTTATTGACGAATGTCATGCATCTGGTTAGTTTATTTGGGCATACCAACAAAAAATCGCAGTCAAATATTCACAAAATGGAACAGAGTAAATTTCAAAAAATTGATATCTGATGCTTCCATCTTTACGAAGGTAGATTACTGATAAAGATGACAAGATATAACGCTTGATGATTTGTTCAGGCTTCTTTGGAGCAACCGGCCGAGGTACAGAGGAACAGTTAGGTATTCAAGGTCGTGTTGATATAATTAATTCCACACTTGGTAAAGCTTTAGGGGGTGCAATGGGTGGATATACTACTGGGCCTAAACCACTCATTGACTTGCTGAGACAACGCTCACGACCTTATTTGTTTTCCAATTCACTAGCACCAAGCATTGTTGGTTCGTCTATTAAGGTATAGTTGTATTTATTCAAATCTCCTACAATGGTTTTAACTGCAGTTCAATTGCTTTCGAAATTATAGAGTATGTGTCAAGAAGCACTTTTTTTTCATTTTATTTCTAGTAAATGAAAAAGTTCCAGATTTGTTTAGTATTTATTCATTAGGAAATTGCACTTTCTCATTAATTTTTATTTCTAAAATAAGATTTGCATTCATGATACTGAATATATATTATTGTTAAAAAGTGACGTATCGTCCAAAGTCAACTGAACTGTATGCTGGTTTGAAATGCATTCCATTCTCGAGCAAATTAAAATCATACTTTTTCAGGTGTTGGATTTGTTGATGAGTTCATCACAGTTTATGAGCTCCTTGAAATCAAACGTATCTCATTTCCGCAAATCGCTCACGGATGCAGGGTTCCATGTAATGGGAAATCCAGAACATCCTATCTGCCCCATATTTCTGGGCGAAGCAAAGTATGTCTCAGCTTCCTAAAGTTATGATTGTGATTTCTGGCATAAATATTTTCATGTTGAAGATATGTTACACTTATATATTACCAAAATACCTACAGACTAGCTTTGAATTTTGCTGAAGAAATGCTGAAAGAAGACATATATGTAATTGGATTCAGCTATCCTGTGGTACCGAAAGGCAAAGCAAGAATTCGTGTGCAGGTACCTCTTGTTCATATTATTTGCAAAACAAAATGCGGAAAGATGTCCCTAATTTTTCCTCTGAATAAAACTTTTGCATTTTTATTTGCACAATCAACCACTAAAAATTAAGCGATTGTAATCGAAAGCAAATATTATCGAGACAACTTTATCTAACTGAAATGCTTGGACTTTTGATAAAGCTATCATCCGTGATTCCGTATAAGAAATTATGTATAAAAAGATAATCGCTTCTTTTAAAACTACATGTGTGCGACCAAAAATAAAATGGAAATTATTATAGATTTCTGCTGCTCATACACGTGATCAGGTCGATCGTTGCATCAAAGCGTTCATAACAACTGGTAAAAAATTGGGAGTCATTTAAACAACTTTTCAGATGCAATAAAACATTATTTACATCATCCGTTTATTTTCAGTATTCAAATCATCTGTTTATACAAGATTAAATGTCATATTGTTAGGTTGATAAACTTTCTTGTAGGTACTTAATGATCAACAAAGGTATTTTCAAAAAATAAAAATGTCCTTTTTTGAGCTGTTTTTGCAGTCTGTACAACAAAGAAACTTCCGAATAATTACATTCATTATCATGGACGATTTGATTTAAATTTATACAACCGCAGAGATAACATGTGGATGGTACCTATGTTTTGGCAGCTTTGGAGAATTTCGTTTGATGCATATGTTGCAAATTTATGGGCAGCAATACTGGCAAGGACAGATAACCGATAAGAAAAATGTACCAAAATTTGGACATTTTGGGGTGAGCGAAAATTAGAAACTTTGGACACGGATTCCAATCCGTTGTAATACTCGATATCAAAATCTTCCATTAAGAGTTAGAATTCTTCGCAATACTTCTCTGAACAGCAAAGAAACTTCCTGGAAAAATCATTTTGAAGCGAAAGTACATTAAGGTTTGAAACGTAAAAGTAATTTAATAAATTTACCAGTACGTGGAAATGTAGCTAAACTTCCTACAATGAAATGTAGTAATGAAGATGAAGACGTACTTTTTTCACTTTGCCAAAAACGGAACCATTTTCTTGTGCTCTACGAGAAAGATACGGCAAAACTTTTTCAATCGGTCCATAAGGCACATATTTATACACTGAATAACCAGCTTGTCCAAGTGAATATGAAACCTAAAATTAAACGGGATCCCGGCACTTTAAAAATAGCCCAACTGCTTTTCAACACCTAAATTTGTACAATTTTTGTCTCACCTTACTTGGAGCTTATTAAAAAGACACTGAAAGATAAGTATGAAAGAATTGTAGAATCTAAGAATACTATAAAAACGATGTGCAACATAGCAGTTTTAATTCTGACAGTACAATGGGACAAGTCTCTGGAAACAGATCCTAGCTACAGATTATGAAGTGAACAAGCCATAAATTCCTTAATCTGACCTGGTCACACATTCCGTAAAGCTGCGCAAAACAGACGGTCTTTTCTGAAGGTGATATGCCAGTCTCAACCATCATCTCAACAACATGTCTTATGGTTTCTTCATTATGTGTTGCAATCATTACTGACACACTTCCTGGACCTCTTTCTTGACGATCGCGGAGGATTCGTTGCACCACTTGTCGGTACATATCTGCTGTTACCTGAAATTAATTCATTGATTGCAGGAAACTGACCTAATTTCATTAAATTCAATGACTCTTTTCAACATTTATATGTCTCTATTCAATTAGTAACAAGAATTCGGATTCATTACGTCAATATTGGGATTAATTGGATCTTCATAATTTAAAGCCTTCGCACGTTTTCTTTCTTGTTCCATATATGCTCCACGAACAACTTTACATCCGAAATGGAAGTTCTCCCGTTGAGCCAAATGCAAGTCCAATTCAATGTCTCGCAAACAATTTTTCAGATAAGCTTGGTATGTGTTGAAAACCAAAACAAACTTTTTGTTGTATCTGCAATTAAACTGTTCAGAACCTGGAGAAAAATGCCTACAGTGCAGATACTGCTGAAATTCAATTTCATCCTATATAAGTCAAATATCGAAAAACAATATTATAATCCAGAAATGTTTCAGTACAAGTAGTGCTAAATTAAATGATCCAGATATTAAACATGACTCAAAAAAATATATTTTTAGGTGAAAATTAGAAATATCTGCACGATAAATAATAGTTTATCTGACTTTCTCATCATTGCCATCGTTAGTCTTGAAATGGCGGGTTGAAAATAAGTCTGTTCAGCATCAATCATTATTCGCACATTCTGTTTTTTTCCATGTTCAATAACTCGAACAATACGTTCCATCATATTATCCGTCTAGAGAAAATTTCTGATCCTTCATTTTGAATTCGCACATATTTCAAATTTTCATTATACACTGTGACTTGAAATAAGAAAAAAACCACACGGCTACCTCTCTGGATTCGGCCTCTGTTAAGGAATTTAACAGTGGTTCCATTCTTTTAGTCCTTGTATTGTATATCTAAAAAATTATGAGTACATCGTACAAATTCCTATAAATTTCAATTGCTCGATAGTAAATCTAAAACAGTGATATAGTGGTACAAACATGCCTGTCTAACTAATGATAAACTCAATTTTTAAATGACAAAAAATTCTGTGTTAGCAGTACCAATAAGAAACCGATGCCATATCCATTTTTGCACGTTGATAAGTCACACTAGATTAACTTAGGGTAGTATCTGATTTCATATTCTCTTTCATGATATTTGATTCCAAAAGATAATATTGATCGTATTTCATTACTTGAAACATTTGGTGAAGCTGTTTATGTTCCTCAATTAGTTTGCCCCAATCATAGAAATCAACGAAACCACATTCGTCAAAATCCACTGTTTTTAACCACGTCTGCATCAAGTCATCGTTTATTTGTATACCACGATCCTAAATGTCTCAATTACTCGTTACAATTGCAATATCATACGGAATTTTTCTTTAAAATTTGTTATAAAAACATTCAAATTTAATTATTTAACTAAATGCAGCTTTATTATTTATAAAAAAATATTTATGTAACAATTTACAAACCTTAACTTTTTGCAAAAATTCTTCCTTTTTGATTTTACTGAGCAACAAATCTTCCCAAGTCGAACCAATCAACGTTTTGTAAAAATTATTTGATTGTGCTATCAATTCTGTAAGTTTCAAAAGTAGCTGAGGTCTGAAAAGGGATAATATATTAATCTAAGACTCGCTTCCACACACTTTTATTTCAATCTGTTTACGTAGTACTTTAAAAAGCTTCAAATATATTTACGAATATTCATGTGAGATTAACTTTATTCATGAATTACTGTTCCATGAATTCTTGTGAATTCAGTTAAACGTAGAAACCTTCCTAAAGCTGTCAACTTGATGCAATTAATTCCATCACTACCAACGGCCGAAGCGATAGCATCTGCACTTGCACAGAACACGTCACAGTTTCGATCGCACTGTGCTTCACTTTCGTAAAAATACGTCCTAAAAATGCATCAAAAGTAGCGAAAACCATAGTAGGAAATAAATCAGAAGTGCAGCAATCATACCTACAATCTATTGATGTAACAATTATAAGCGTAATATTTTCAATTATAACAAAGATGGTGATATGCTTTCTTCACAAAATCTATAAAAATATGATTCTATTTCAATTTTTGAAGTTTAATTATTCTTCTAACATGGAAAACGTTGTTAACATGAATCAGTATAAATTCCTGTAATGAGAGTTTAGAGATTTTCATCAGTAATGCAGTAAAGTTTACGTTAGTTTAGATAAGAAATATATTACCTAGCACTAACGACGTCTTTACGGCGATCACCAAATTCTTTGTGGACTGTGTAACGTTGTCGCGTTTCTTCCACTGTTTTTTTGTCAACAACACTTTCCACAGGCTGCAATCCAAACTTAGATTTCAAATCAGTCAAAATGAAAACATTCACAAATAAACTTTGAGAACTACTAATTTCTGTTAAAAAAAAATTTAATTCATAAATTTTAATAAAAAATGTACTAAAAAGTAGTACAGAATTTTCAAAAATGACAGAAAAATGAAAGACCTTATAAAAGAAGGAATGAAAGTAAAGATCAAACGATACTTTTCAAATGGATGAGACTCCATCAACTTAATAAGCATGAATCCAACCTCAGTTTTAGCTTCACCTCCAACAATTCCTTCTACAGCTTTTTTTTCAGCTTCACCAGGAGAAATATCTGCTTCTACACAGTAGTCCAAAATCGACTTTACACCACATTTTTTCAACTTGATCATCGTATTCTTCACCTAAATGTCATGTTCTATTTTTTTGATAAATGAAGTAATACCTTTAAATTTCACTAGTCAAACCTTTATCAACAAACTATTCAAAAATTGAGTTTTCTTCAAATAGACTATTCAATTAAAAAAATTTATTTGCACAGTTAAATTGCATTAGATCGTTCTTGAGTACACTTGTAAGAATAACATTTTCCTATCACTGCTTTCCGAAGACACTGCTGATCTCAATCTTTTCATTTTAGTTATATGACTAAAGAAGGTTTTTCAGAAATACACATCAAGCTCTAGAAATTGCACTAAGAATCGGTTTGAATACTGAGTTCATCATTACTTCGTCTACTGTTTCGCCTCCAACAAACTGTCCAAAAAATGTTAGTCGCAGAAGGGTTCTGAATAACCGTTGTCCAAGTATTTTCTTCAACCCAACCATCATCATTTCATCCTTTTTCCGTAACATCTCTACAGAACAGAGAGGAAGGACAATCATACCTCGAATTAGTTCTCTCGTTTTTTTGCCCTAAAACAAAATCAAAACAAATGAAGTAAATTCTTAAGAATTTTGAGTCCTCGTTTTTCTGTAACTTTACAGTGGCTTGCCCTTACAATGATCCCCACAGTATTTTAAGCATAATTTCAGAATATGTTTATTTAGAATTCAAGTTCGAACATTTGCATTACGATTCAATATTTATAGATCAAGAATACCAACTTTGAAAGCTTGTTTTGTGCTTTTATAATCCAAGTCAAGTTTATTGTAACACTTTCTGATTTCATCTGTCGCAACAGATCTTTGCGATGAAACCTGTGATGAAGCCAATCTATAAAATACATCATGCAAATGGACGAGTAGTTTAGGTTTGTTATTTCAAAAAACACAAATATGAAACAATTTTTGTAAATATTTTACAAAGAAAACATTTCTAGTGAGTCAAAAATTTTTTTGCCCATCTGCCGACAGCATGAAATCAGCTTTTGTGCCTAAAGAGGAAAACTTGACGAATGGTAGAAAAATAAACCTGTACGACATGTACGCTAGTGACTTGCAGTTTGATATTGAAAACAAATGATTTGTCCGTAGCATTATGGGCATCTTCTTCGTTTATTTTTCTCAGTCAGCACTAAACTTCAATCGACAATGACGAAGGAGCGAGAATTTAAAGTATATTTCTGAAATTGAACAAATACCTCAAATCATTCACAGTTAAAAAATTTATTATGTCTAGCAAAATCCGCTTATATTTCGCAATTAAATAAGAAAACTTCAGAAAACAAAAAATCTTGATTGGTATGAATAAAGTAATGATATATGAAATAAATTAAAGGATGCTTTAAAATCATCAGAAATGGGTGCATGATGATCATTGGCTGATACAAGTATAGAAGGAATAGGGCTATTGTTGAATTGCAACATTGCAGTAAGATGAGTGAGTAGACGAGCAGGAAAAAGCTTAAGTTGAGAAAAACTGCCATCAACAAATGCCAAATTTGAAAATAGAAGAAAGATTTCTAAACTAATTCTGCAAATATTGGCGGCTGCACTGAACAGTATAACAACGAGCGAGAAATGATAAAACGAATGGATCCAACTTGTCATTTAGACTGGGCAAGATGCATACAGAGTCTAAAGCAATTAATGTCGTGCAACTTTCAAAGAAATCAATGAAAAGAACCTAAAATTGGAAGTAACATTTCCTTTTGCATTGCATGGTAAAAAACTGCAATGAAAACAATTAAACTTCATTACGTCAGTGAGAAGCTTTGCTCTTACTAATTTATCGTCGTCATCAATAACTTACTTAGCTCGAATGCATGAACACTCAGAATATTTGAAATGCTTTCTCAACTAATCTCCTGGTGTCATCCAATCCATAATTTGCATCTTAATAGCTAATTTCATTTTTTAATACATACATTTTGAATAATTTTAAATCTTAGAATGCTTAAAACCATATGTCACAACGAAAAAAATATTAGCAAACTCGACATGACGATTTTATGTAAGATTTCAATAAAGTAATAACGTGGAAAAATGTTGCAGACCCGAATTATAAGTATTTCAATTCGAGACCAATTTATTTTTGCCTCATTACTTTTGTTGCATTAATAAAATGATGACAAAGAAATGTAGGAAAATTTCATGCTGTCGCACAATGTGATCATCACTTAGAGCCATCAAAGTAGTTAATAAATTCCATTATAAAGTAAATTACTAAAAGAGTACGAACAGTTTTATATTGCACTGCACAGTTACAAACGAGGTGAGCCTTATGCAGATGACTAACAAAGACACGCACATCTTAGTCTATAATGTCTTTCAATGAAGCAAACAACTGTTAAAGCCACGTGGACAATCATACTTGCAGACATAACAGGCATATTCGAACATACAAGACACATAGAGAGATACAAGAGAGATCATTGAACTTAAATTACTAATTCATCATACATATCGAAGTGATTGTGTACCATCGACAGAAAATTATGCAGCGAATGGCGGGCGGTAATAGTCTCTCTCTCTGCACCACGTGGTTTGCCTTTGAATCATGTCTACGTCTACTAGTATTGATGTTTCATCTCTGCACACCATTTTTGCACCAAAAATAAATGAATGATTTTCTCTGCATTTGCTTTCCTATCTTCCCATTTCATACAGTAAGTTGCTATTTATTTATTAAGCAGCAAATACACATATTTGCTTTTGTTTGAAGAGAAAATAATATTTACTGAGAATTATTCATACGAAGCAGTATATTTTTTCACTAACGTAACTGCATTATGATGCATATACGTGTGGAAGGAATAAGTCTTCTGAAGGGATCAAATTTTATTTCTATAAAGTGAAAGTAATAAACATTACAAATGTGTTTATACGAGAAAGGAATGTGATGAGTGGAATCAGAGATTAATATACGCAAATGTTTTTTCTGATCAGAAAAAAGGAAGAAATGAAAATTTAAAGAGCTTTGAACTTTGACAAATGTGATTATAGTCAGTAATTGACTGATGATGTCGGAGCACTCTTTTCTACATTCAATTTGCTGGTAATATGTCTTCCTTTCCCATCGTTTGTGTTACTTCATTTGTTCGTCAGCATGTAGCTTCATTTCTTCTCATTCCAGAATATCTGGTGTAACAAGTGTCACTTGGTCTTGGAAGAGCCAAGAAAATTGCTGAATGATTGCAGCAAATATTGCTAGGTCATGTCAAGAGCTAAAGCTCGCCCATCTTGAAAAGATTCAGAATATAGTATGTATCCTGTAATACGAGTTAATAAATCCTCTTTGGATTTCCCTTCACATGGAGTAAAATATTATCTACTGATTAACAAGTATCTTCCCTAAAACTCGCATATTTTTTAAGTCGTGTTTGCTGATTGTATTGTTAATGATGTCAATTCTAAACTTTCCTTTATGCAGAACGGTAGAAAAAACAAACACTGAAATGTTCCTGAGCGCAATGATAATCAAATATGATCAACGGTCAAGTCAAACTCAAAGAAAAACTAAGGAATTATCACTATCAGATGCTCCTACTTGAACAGTCATTTCACACACAGCGGAAGAAAAAGTTTGTCAAATGAGTTTTTATCAAGCACTGTGACGGGACATCTCTTACCAACCATTGTTTTTGTTTTCTATTGTTTCACAGAACAGAAAGATTATGTCAGTAATATTACCGTTGCACTATGAATTAAAATTTGGTTATGTTTAATGAGCAATTTTTATACGACTTAACGGGTGGTGTATGTTCCTCTGTTATGTAGAGGTTCAAGAATGACCACTGCGCCTCAGTTTTGCTTGCAGTAGAGGCAAGCAGGAAATGATGTCAAACAATATAACATCTAGAAACAAGTGACGGAACTACGAAGCCTCTCTCTTCTTTTCAGTTGTATTTGAAATAAAATTTTCAATTTGATTGTGAAATCTTCAGTGGTTTTTCCATTTATACTAAAACTTGCTGTTGTAAATTTATTGAAGCTTTTGATAAAATAAGGGCGGTAACTTAAAACAAGCCATTTGGAATTTAGACAATGTTAAAACAAAATCCTTGATTTCTGTGTTTCAACTCTAAATTACACTTGCCATTACTCGATGCAAGTCCTTCAATAGATAGATATTCCGTACTGTGCATTCCACTCTCCAAGCTTTAACTCTAGCATTTACAGAAACCTTAAGACACCCCAAAAATATATGTAGTAAATAAAGTCTCAAGTTGTCTCGTTCTTTTACATTATGATTTGACCTGTTGTTTTTTTATATTATGATTTGAACCTATCATTTGTTTATGCTATAATTTGAACCGGTTTTTTTTTCTGTGGTAATACCTAACAGAGTTTACTGAATTAGCATTTGTAAATTTTCGCTTAATAAAGATAAGCAATTTCTGTGAAGAGAAGATTGTTTCTATCGACTTCAGAAAATTTTAAGTGAAAACAAAGCAATCACACACTTATATTAATCTTTTCAATTTTTGGTTCCCATTAAAAAATTGATAGAAAGTTGTATTCACGATCAAATTAAGACGTATGTAGAGTTCAACAAATAATTAGATCAACATGTAGTCGTGCTACTGTACATGTCACGTAATAATAGTAACTATTAATAGTAATTGTTATTAACGATAATAATGAATAATAATAGTAAAGTTTAAGGACTATGACCATAATTATTGCTAGAAAATATAAAGTAATCAGACAGTATTAAAGGACAGAAAATAAACTCAGTGAATTCAGCAACGCTATTCATTTTAAAGAAGCTAAAGGACGTAAACGCATCCCACTTTACTTAATTTCGTTTCCATTACAAAATAATCGAACATGATGATATTACTGTGGTGTGTGATACGACTTAAAACTCTGCTTTTATCGTCGCAGACAGATGCCAGTCTTTTTTTAACTCTATTACCACAAGCACTCACTAAGATTTTCATCAAAAATGTGAACAGGGTCTTAACTATCCATACACACACTACACACACACTCACTCACTCACTCACAAACATATACACGCCCAAACACGAAACACATCGAGAGAAGATGACGTCTACGAAGAGTGATCACTTCAAGTATCGATTTGAAAAAAATATTTCGCTAATGTGAATTGAAATATGAATGGGAATCGAACTGCCCATCGATTACTTCTGTTTCATTATTGAAACCGTTTATGGATTTACATTTTTTGCGATTGTACTGATTGTTTTTGGTTTTTGTTGATATACTTTTCTATGAATAAATTTTGTTATCCTTCATCTCATACAAAATAAAACTTATCTATTGCTGCCATCTATTAGTTGGGAGCGCAACTTTCAAAGTCGACGATAATTCTTACAGCACTAAAATCAAAAATGTTTCCGAATCAGCCAGGAGTAGCACTGGTAGGTGCTACAATAACAATGGATCGTTCAAGGTTTGATCTTAATTTAGCCCTCCAAAATTATGAGCCGTTACGCGTACCGATGACAGACGAAGAGGTTGGTCATCTGTTATTTCATTTCATACCTTGCCTAGTTTTAAATTTTGTACCAAAATGTATTTCTTCAGCTTTTCTTGTCCTCGTTATTTTTCTGAATAAAAGAATGATTCTAGATAAATGGAAAATATATGATATTTCTAAGTTATGCAGTAATATTAATCCTTATTTTATGGAATTCGATTTCTTGTACGAAAATTAAGCATGGCTGTACTTTTGTCAGATGTAATAAAATTACTATTGTAATGTTAGTAAACAACAACTGAAATGTCAATTTTGCAGGTAGAAGAAAGATATGAATCTATTCGTAAAAGGTCTGGTGTACTCACAATAATGGGTGTTGCATACAAAGCACAGCTCTCTGATATTGTTGATACCAAAGAACTTGGTCGTGGCTCATTTGGTGTGGTGCGAAAAGCATTTTTCAAACAAACGAAAACACTTATGGCAGTCAAAGTGAAATTTTTTTAAAAACAAAATGCAACCATAAAGCAAATTTGACAATTTTCTGCTTCATTGCACTGGTAATATTGAGATAAAAGTCACTACAAGTTATTCGTGTATATGATGACATGTGGGAAGAGGTGACACTTTGTACTTAACTGATTTTTATAAGAATATTATCTTGTAAATTATAGTTTCGGAACTGTTCTATTTGTTTTCAGATAATTCCAATAACAGGCAATGCTGAGAGCAATAAGCGGACTGTGATGGATATGGATGTTATTATGAGATCTCATAACTGTCCAAATATCGTTCGTTGCTATGGATGCTTTGTTTTTGAGGTAAAATGATTCTTTAATTGTTACAAAAGTTGAAAACACTTTCCATAAAAAGTTATTGAAGGAAGACTTTTATGTTCAAACACAAAGTTCGTGCTTCTTGCACTATCACTAATTTACTATCACTTATAGTTGAAAGGTTTCAATATTTTCAGTTAGTTTCGGTATGTTGGAAATGTAGTGCGTAATAACATAGTCTTCTATCCTTCCTAAATTTGAAATTTTTTTCTTCCTTCCAAATTTGAAACCAAGAAGTGAAGGTAATTATATGATATATATTTACTAATTTATAAAGGAAAGTTTTCATGCAGTCAGAAGTTCGTATATGCATGGAGCTGATGTCAATGTGCCTTGATAAGCTTCTTAAAATTGCTCTACGTATTCCTGAGACTATTGTTGCTAACATTACGAAATCAGTGCTTCTAGCTTTGGAATATCTAAAGGAAAAAGAAGTATGCTGTAATTATTTATTTTAATCAATTTTTCTTTAGTTACATCTTCCTCTGTTCATCTTTCATTTACATGTTGTATTTTCCAACTGCTATTGCTCTGCTTAGTTTTTCATGTTTCCAAATTTTCGATCAAAACTTTCCTCCTTAATAAAGAGATATGGTTTTCATTTTCAAGATTTCAAAATCTCTTCAGGTTTATAATGTAGATACTTTAGAATATAATGCATCGAGATATTAAACCATCAAATATTCTGATTGACCATGGAGGAACTATCAAACTCTGTGATTTCGGCATTGCCGGTCGACTTATTAATTCAAGACGAGCAGAAACAAACACCAAAGGATGCGTAGCTTATCTAGCGGTTTAATTTTTGTTTTCTGCTAATATATTTTCTAAATGCTGTACAAATATCACATCTTAGCTAGAAACACGTAATACATGAGTGTAGTGAATGATAAAGTCATAAAAACATTGCAGAGGTAGCGGTTGTAATTTCGGAGTGTCAGTTTATTAATTAGATCTTTATCTCAAAACTTTGAAAATTTCAATAATCAGTTTGATAATACTTTCATGTTCCTTCGTTATTTAAATCAAATTTCATTAATTGGCTCTTAAACGTAGCTAATTTTCAGCCTGAACGGGTAGCCAGCAGCGATTGCGAATATGGTGTACGGGCAGATGTTTGGAGTTTAGGGATAACACTTATCGAGCTTTCTACAGGAACTCATCCATATGAGGGATGTTCAACAGATTTCGAAGTCCTTTCAAAAATTAGAGACTTTTCTCCACCGCGGCTTTGTCCGTCTGAACAATTTTCTTCCACCTTCTCATCATTTATTCAAAGATGTCTGAAGAGGGAACCAGTCGCTCGTCCCAATTATCATGAACTTTTAGTTGGTCTTTTTTGATTTCAGTATTTTTCTTGTCTTACTTTCCGTTTTAAATTGTGGTTTTGCTAAATTAAAAAATGATTCATACGAAAATAAATTGTGGCCTGTTTTTTTTCTTTTTTTTTGATACTTAATGACAGTAAAACAGAATACATGGAATGGCAGTTAAGTGACTTAAACACTAATGGTAATTAATGAATGAAAGCTTGAATTTTTCCAGGAAGATACATTTATCCGAAGTAATTCAACAGATACTGCAGCAGTCGCCAAGTGGTTTAATTCACTTTGTGCATAATTTAATTTTGGATCGATGCTAGATTGACTTTTATTGACGTCACGTGAAAATTACCCGCATCTTCCTAGAAAATCAAGATTTTAATTAGCTTTTGAAAAGTTTTAAAAAAACGCAGATATCTCATCAATTAGTTTCTAAGAAGGCTTGTCAAAGAAATTTTTGTGTTAATGTTGTTGGAATCAACAAATAGTTCTGTTTTTGGATGTAATCCTGTTATTATCAGACATCACTATAATATTAATATGTCTATGTTTTGTTGTATATTGAGTATTTAGGGTGTAATATTTTGCCACAAGTTCACAGTCATTCTTAATCATTTACATACGATTGGTTGACCATCACTTATTCACTCTAAGGCATTAACATGTTTCGCATCAAGAAGTTTAAGGCATATTTTGTTTAGCTTTTTAATATATTTGTTATGTTTTTTCTATTTTTTGTCCACAAACTCTGTTCTGATTTCATTATAACTTTTGTGCATGCCTGTAAGATATTTGGCATTATCACAGATAAAAACTGCTCAAGCAAAAAAAGTATTTCACTGCGCATATTCTCTGTTTCCTTCCATCACTTTTTCATTGGATTAGGTTTAATTTATTAGCACATTGTTTCGTATTGAATAACTAACTTATGCATCTAATGCGGTTTAGCTACATTCATTCAGTATGAAAAATATTAGCTTTTGTACAGTTTTTCAAAAAATGGCATTTTCACTGCTTTAAAAATAGTGATTTCACTAACAAATGTAATTCCTTTAAATTCGCTTCTTATTTCTGTAATTTTTCTTTGTATATCATTAAATGTAGTAATATGATTTCGAAGTTATATTGTTAGAAATGGTCTTTCAGTTTATCGTAAGAGCAGTCATAAATTTACTTACTAAAAGTTCATTATTTAGTTTGATGGGATGTAATTTTTATCGTTCTTTATTGATAAATTTACTGTAGTTTTTTCAGAATTCTGTACTTTATGATTTTATGTCTTTTTGCAATTTTTTCACTCGCCAAAAATTTCAAAATAAAGTCTGTACATTATTATTATCATTATTCAGTGGTGATATCATACGAACTTTAAATATTCAAACGTACTTTATTCATCAATTTATGAAACAAATTATCTTTCATTTGAAAAAGTAAATTGTCCCATTTAATTGAAATGATAGAAGTAAGAGTTTTTGTAATCTTCAAACGTTTATTGAACATACTTTCAGTGTGCCAGCATTTTTCATATGATTAAGCTTATGTTTATAATCATAATTACGTTATTAAATGGTTTGGTTTTGCATAATTGAATGAGCATTTCTTAATGTTTGCGTTTCTGAGGTCACTATTTTTATTTAAAACGATCTTAAGTATTTGCAGAGCCTAAAAAAAAATTCTTATCAAACGAAAAGTATAAACCAATTATACTGGGTCGGTTACGTGTTCATGATTACTTTAATGCTTACTGGCAGCTACCGCAGACGGATACAAGCTTATTCGCGCCAAATTTGTGCCAGAAATCAACTTGTGATTTCAAAACAGTTTACGTGTTCGTGCATTTAGTTTAAATCCGAAGGCTATCGACTTACTCAGTCGATAGACTTCATCGATAAAAGTTCAAAGCTCTAAAAGTTTCTGTGAAAAGTATGTTTGTGAAGCTTTAGGATGGATTAAAGATGCAACTGTAGCTTATGGTCAAAAGTTCTTGCTCTGAAAATATTGTAAAACCAGTTATTATTAATAAACGGACGCAAATCGAAATAGTGCCGCACTTCCTTACTATAACTTGAAATTTGCATCACACTGGCTACTGAATTACTTGACGTGAGCAGCTTATGGTAAGATTTGTCTGCGAAAACCAACTCATGTCGCATTTCCCAGTTTCTGAAGTAAATTTTTGAAGTGCATGTTAGAAGTTCTTGAAGGGAAATTAACTATTCAAAATTATATAATGCATAAAGGTCTGAATAAATGTGAAATAATTCGAAATTTAAGAGCAGTGCAATTTCCCTATTATCAAATTAGCATATGAACACAGCAGAAAGTGGCAAAAGGCTTATGAATTCCAGTTTTATTGGGAAATACGATGGAAATTAGCAACAGTATCAGTAGACTTTGATATGAAAATAGTACTGGTAATTACAACGATGGAGAAAAATGCTTAAGACAATTAAATAAATAAGTAAATTGACAGATTCACAAAGTAAAGAGTTATAAAATTGTAGAGAAAGTTTAGCAATTTGTAATTCTTCCAGATAATTAATTGTTTCCATTTTGATCTAAGAATATAGTTACAAAGGTACTTCTTAGATTTAAACTCCATTCGTGGAAAAAAATTAATCAAATTAAAGATTGTTCTGGTACTGGAGGAAGTTCATTTTTTTTCTCAGGAAACACTTTTTTAAATGTTCTAAAGTTCGTTATATTTAGCCTGACTGAATGTAAATAAAGACTTTCAAAAGTGATCAGAATTTAGTGTTAATGGAAAAATTTTAGCAGCAACGTTTAACCAGTGTTTTATGATGTAAAATTTTTGAAAAAAGGCACAAGTAAAACTTTGGAAGTAAAATGACTTTTTCATTAATTTTAATGATGCGTTTCAGTTTCTCCTTTCCATGTGGTTGTGTACACCAGTCACTTCCTCTTACGTTTACTTTCAGTCAAGCACAAGTATGATTACGGTGTACAAACTTTTTTCAGCATTTGCACTGCGCAGCTTTTGTTTTCGTTCTACATCTTACTACTAAATACTCTGATAAGGATTTTCGAATGCAGCTTGCATAAAATAATTAATCTTTTAGGCATTAATATGCGTGAGCAGATTAAATGTAGTGGAACGAAGTTTGAAAATTATCAGAGTTAAAATTAGTGTGAATGATTGCAAATGTTTTAAAATATTTTTAAATCTTTAAAATGAAATGAATCTACCAATTTTGTACGAATGATTGTAAATGGTCTGTCTTTGTTTAAAAATAGCGCATGCCTTTTATTGTACATACAGTAGCATTCGATGAACACCATATTCGTTTTTGATAAATACCAAACCATGATGACAACTTATCCGAATAAAATTTTTTTTTTGATAAAAAAGCTTTCATTTGTCTTTAAGTCTTATTAGTATTCGTATACTCAGAAATTTCTTCACTCTTATTATTGGGTGATAGATATATTGTATTGTTATTTCACATTACTGTAGGATGTAGACTGCAAAGATTTAAGATTTTTGGACGTATTTTTCCTTTCATACCGTATTCTTGGAATAAAATTCTAACATTTGAGCTGAACTACGCATTTGAAATGCATAGAAACTGCGCTCTCTATCAGTGAATTGTTGCGAAGGCTTGTGACGATTAAAAACAAAAAACTGATAGTACATAATAAATTAGGCCTTGATAGGTACTGACAAAAATCAAATTAAAGAAATATTTTTGTTTACTAGAGAAAGATTGGCGTGATGTTCGAACGGAAACTGCTCAATCCTTCTTATCATAAAGGCCCTAACTGGAAGGCATTATGTAGCTATCAAAAGTGGACCAAATATATATTATGGTCTCTAATTGCTTTTCTTGCTGGTCTCACTGTTCGAGATGTTTTGCAGCTGGTATATATTTTATACTCAATAAATAGTCTTTCATTAACTAAGTAAATTATTATATTTTTTTGGGAAGTCTTGTAAAAAGACATTAGAAAAGACGTTTCGGTTAGTAACGAAAAACATTATCACATTCCTCAGTCATAAAATATTGTAACTGGTTTTTCAGTGTTCACAATTTATCTCTGATCCTAAACAAACGGCATTCAAAATGATATTCAACGAATCTATGTCTATGCCGAATTTGACCTTTTGCATTTCAAAAGATCAAGCTTTTAGTCATTTCAATTTATACAATATGACTGAACTTGCAAGTGATTGGGATCTCATTGTAGAGGTTAGCAAATATATTCTTAACCTAAAATGTAAATTACCAAAATGTTTTCAGAACAGACTTAAACAATATCATGGTGATGTTTAATGGGAAGACAAATGTAGGAGAATTTACTGAATATGACAAGTCGCGAAAGTTTTCTGAACTCGGCGTGGGATTTTCGAGTCATCATAGAAGCTTATGAAGTAATCGCCGCAATTAGTTCCATAGAACGTGAAACAAGCTTAAATGGGTCTGCGCATTCTATCACTTACTTTCGAATTCATCCAGCTTTTCAAGAAAAACGGAGACTTGTTCAGGTATTATTTAAACATAAGAAACAAAATTTGAGAGTCTTTTGAATAAAAAATTTTCTTCAATATAGGTAAAGTTTTAATATGAAATTGACGATAATTATTTATTGCTCAATAATACTTCAAAATGACTTGATAGTTTTAAACAATTTATATCAGAAATTGCATATAAAGACATAATCCTCAAGGTATAAAATAACTTCACTGATAGCAGTAAGTAAAGGACTGCAATTTGTCTTCCTCTTCATAAACATCAGAATTGCTGCAAAAGGTTCTTTTTTAATCACTTGCAACATATTTCCTCACGAAAATAGTGGTGCAGATTTGGGAAAATCAAATCTTCACATCAAATCAAATCAAATCAAACTAAATCTTATACTTTGTTGCATAATCTTTTTATTATTCTCAATTTTTCTCTCTTCGTTTCTGTCAACCAAAAAAAGAAAGAATTACCAGCATCTCGTTATCAGATCGTTTAGTTTGTCCATATAAATGTTTTCATTCAAACTCTACCTTGCACTATTAATTTTCTCTTCACATTCTCAAAGTAAATGCGGACATTCGGTTTTTTAATGAAAAAAATAAACTGAAATTGCTTAAATTTGGACAAAAATGAGTATTAATGTAATTGATTTAACAGAACTTTTTTTGCTCGTGAATTTGATCGAATTGATTTCTACAATTTTGAATATACGTTTATGTTTGCCAGTTATTGCTTTACAGCAATGCACAAACTATTTGAATAAACACTCGTGACGATGGAAATAAATAAATAAAATTGCCAAGTAAATTCAAACAGTAATTGGAATACTGCAAAACGCTTTTAGATTTATTTGAATGCAATTAAAGAACGCAATGTCACATTCAGCGAATTAACGCAAAAAACCGGCACTGAAATATTAAAAAGGTTGTTTTTAAGTATCACATTTGTTTAACTACCATATGCTTCCAATGATTAATACAGTATTCACTTGTCTCTGCACTATGTCATCCCGTTATTTACCGATTTATTTTGACAGAGTTTTTTCAATATGCATGAAAAAATTTTAGATTTTGGCAAAGAGACACTTATGAAGAGATTATAAATTTTAACGATTGATTAATTAAATGCTTAAAACTTGAATAAAATATACATGAAAAACCGACATATAAGACATTCATTCGTATTTCTATGCACAGTTTTGCATTTAAATCACTTCGAAAACAATTTTTAAATATTGTCACAGTTATTAATCTCAAATAATTTGAATAATTCTTAATCTTAATACAATCTGCTGTGCTTCAGAAAAGTAAATGAAATTTTGATAACGGAAATTATTTTAAATGTTGCGTAAATCAAACTGTTAACAGCAAGAGTGTGCTGATTCCGGAAATAAGTTCTTTAGTTTGGAAGCTCAGTTTACAAGCAGAAGCAAAAGTGGAAAAGTGGTGGTGAGAGTCAACTCTGATAACTATTTCCCAAAATATTTCATATTCAAAAGTTTATAAAGCCTTTATTTGTATAAGCACTAATACAGAATCATATGACACATCTATGTAATATTTATCTCAAGATAATATTTGAATTACTTGAGAAGTAAAAGTACAGTAAGCAACATTCATTAACATTTGTGACAAACGAATATAATTTACTGCCATAAAGTTGGCGTTGTATGGAGCTTTTAAAATGTAATATATTAGCAATCTTCATGTATTCAAATGCTCAAATAAATATGATGCTATCACAAAAATACAATAACGTCCATGATATAAATTTTAAGTAAATCAGTGAAAATAAATCACTGTATTTATTGTAATCATTTTATTTATTATGATGTTCAGCTTCATCTAATCTGCAGGATCAATTTATTTGAATTTATAAATCAGTCATTTATCACTACTTGGAACAAACTAACTTCCAGTTTTCTTATCTTTAACCATATGCCATAAAAACCAAAGCTATAAAAATCAACATTTCAACCCATTAAATAGCAGTACTAGTTTGTTGACTAATATCGGTCGTAATAAATTCAATTCAAGTATCATTATCAAATAATCCACTTCAAATAGTTCATTTTTAGATTAATGAAACAATTTGCTCGTCTTGTATTTAGTGATGAAGAAATGATTTCTACAGACATTCGCATATCGTGGATCTCCCAAATGCAAATGTGCTTTCAACCATTATTTTCAATCGATAATTTTAAGCCCATTGAGGACCAGGTAGAATATTTACTCAATTTTTGCACAAAATTGAAAAATACAATTCGATAGGTACATTCTATGACGGATGAATAAAAAATTTGCTAGTTGAAACAAAACGATACTTTCTCAATGTAAGCTACTAAAAGCATAGATTGCAGTTGCCACGTGTTACCGTATTTGGCCTAATATTTTAGATAAAATCAAGTTCTTTTCGACTTAGTAATGGTTAATTCACCAAGTACAGATTAAATTATTAGGGGCCATTCTTCGTGTTGTTAATGTCCCATAACACTGCAAAGCTGAATGGAATTAAGGTGGACTGCATGTCTGTTGATTTTCATGGTCGGCCAAGTTCTATTGCCCGCTTTATGCAAGGCAAAAACCAAGTGATGGATGGGTTCATTGACGATGTGAGTTTGCTTAGCCAATATTTCAAACAAAAACAATGCTTAACAAAGACTGACTGCTGAGTGCATTAATTTTGTTAGTCATTACTCGTTGCTTTTGCAGCTTTGCCTTGGATTAAGACATGAAGTATTTATAAGCGTTCGAATATACTATGAAATGATTGAGAATGATAATGAAGGAACGGCATGTCGTGACATCGATGACAGTCAAGAAAACGAATTTGAATGTCACAGTCGTTGTCGACTTCAAATGATTCGCGTTCCTTTATATTTTATTTTTAAAACAATTAATAATTTAATCTGCCATAAAATATCGCAGTTAAATACTACTCAATCTGACCTCGTCATAAGTGATAATATCACGAGTTTAACATCAACCTGGTTATGTTTAAAAGTTGGCTAAGTATTGATAATTTTGGTGGAATAGATCTATTTTTTTAGTAATCATTACACTTCGACAACATATCGTTAAAAGCGTTAACTATTTTAAAGGAAATGTGCAACTGTACGGCGCACTCCTTATCTTATCTAGTGAACGATGATATGGAATATAATCAAAACCCATTATGCAATTACACCAAATGCATCATTGAGTAAGATTTGACTGACTAGTGGTATGTAATGGTTTCATAAAGTACACGGCTTTTAATTACAACGAAAAAATCAAATTTGATTATACGATACCTTTCAGCCAGAGGCAGAAATATGATGAGAAAGAATGCACGAAAAGTTGTTTCCGCAATTGCAAACAAATACGATTTCAAATCGATCGTGAAACGAATGGTCCAATGTTGCAAAAAGGTACAACAAAATATAATGAATGATATAGCTCTCGGTTATGATATGACAGAACATCTAGTAACATTCATGACATATACTGATTAAACACTACGACAAATAAATCGAAGAGATTCCATGCAATCTTTCCACTCAGAATTAGATGAGACTGAAGCATGCGAAACAAGCACCATTTACTTCGCAGGGTTTGGACAACGTGAGCTGCGACTGCTGTAAATGTAAAATTCAGATGACCAAGTAGATAATGATTTACATCGATTCCCACGGACAAACTTAACGTAGTCATTGTAGATTTAACAATGATACGACTGAATTGGCGTTCCTTTGAATACTTATCACTTGAACAAGACAGAGTGTATAGCATAACAAGCTTCATCGCTGAATTGGGTGGTTCCATTGGTGTTTGGCTCGGACTTTCTGTGCTGAGCTTATTCCAGGTTGTTTCTCTTTAATTCAAGTTTATTTAATGTAGCTGAAAAATGAAAAACCTTCTGACCTAATGAATCTTTATACAAACTACTTGAAATGGATTTTTGCAGGGACTGACACTTCTGCTCCGTCTCCTAAGCAGTGAGGTGAAACGAAAGATCAGACGCACAGATCTAAAGGTAAGAAGGATAAGAATCACTTATTAACAAATACCCTAATCCAAACTATTATGCAAGGGATTAATTAAAGAAATTATCGAAATTCGATGTCGAGAACCAAATACGGACTACTGTGCCAATTGAAATAACTGCAAATCCTTTCGCAAGTCCTTTTGATAGAACGAAGAAAACAACAAGATTTTAGCCGTAAGAAGCGCAGCCAGCGACTTGCTTTGTAGAATTAAACATTTTCTCGAAAAACCCAATCCCTTATTATATAATTCCCAAAACACAGATATTTCATAATTATCTATGTGTTTCAAAAGAATAAATTTATTATACTGAAATATTTTCGAAATACCAAAAAATCACTTAAGTGCATACCACAAATACAAATATAACAGCATAGCTAGATCTACAACCCATACATGGTACTCCGTGAATTACCTGAAACAGTTTGGTTGCGACATTCAAATATTTTACAAAAATCTAAAATTAAAAAAAGTAAAATAAATCGTCACCTGATTACCATCATCACTTACATGAATTAACTGAGTCATCTTTAACCATTTAGTAAACTGCTCATATTCTCTACACTTCTATGTTACCTTAAGAGTTGAATCATTCTAATTTGCTAAAAAAGGATGACCACTTTAAGGAAAGTTTTCTTTTTACTAACGATTTTATCTGAAGGAAATACATTTAATCAATAGAGAACAAAATAATATAAAAACATGACTTAACTGAAATAGCTGAACAACACAATTTGAACTCAAACAGAATTTTTTGCAAGATTACTACTGCATTAATCAAAACAGCTTTTCACAAAATATGAGAAAAGTATGACGAGCCAACATTAACATTTAGGCAGATGTGAGCTTTAGATGATTAAATTAAAATATCAAGCATATGAATATCTCTGCAGTCTTTTTTTTTTCAAAATATCGTCACGAATCGGTCCTCTTTTTGTAAACAACCTGGTTACGCATATTAATCGCCGATCATTTCACTGAAAAAGATTCATGAATCACTTTTACTGTTAAAAAATTTGAAACTATATTATCATGACTTGACTGACTTTCGGATCTCAAAATACAGCAACTTTTACAGAAGTTCAAATTACTGTAACTACATAAGACTCAGCAAAATGAGATATCATATAAATTTTGTAAGTCGCTAGTGAAGCACTGAAATACGAACATGACATTAGTGATGTGTGTACATCGGTGCATTAATCCACAGCTGCAATACCACTGTAAACAATCTGTCTCATCACGGTGTACAGCTTCTACGACACAGGGTGAATCATCTTTCAATCTGACTACAAAAGTCATTGGACTAATTAGGCGTACATAGTTGCTGAAAAAAACCCACTGAAATCCAACAGGAAACTTCAATAACAATACAGTAATGATTTCAATAAATATACATAAAAGTTTCAAACTTCTTAGAGAGTGGCGAATGGGAATCATTAATATCCAGAGAACAATCCAAATTTAACCCTGTTGACCCATCGCATAGTAATGAATTGCTGAATTGACTTTTTACTGACAATAGTATAAGTAATATAATTTTGAGCATTTACAGTACGGAAAACATGAAAAAGTGAATTTTTTAACATAAAAAATGGTAAAAAATTTCAGATAATAACGCAATAAAACGTAGTAACAAAAATACTAGAAGAAACGTTAAGATGCTCACCTTGTAGAAGGTAAATCAATGTGGCCAGCACCAGAATTAATATGATTCTGACAATCATTATCCACATATGAACTAGACTCGTTTACAGTTTCCGATGTTGACCGTTTAAAAGGACGATTTGCACATAGGTTAAATGCAGTTAAGACGATGTTCTCTATTGCTGGTGCATATGGTAATTTCGGTAACTAAGGAGAAAACATTTTATATGGATTTGAAAGTTTAAAAAAAGTAAGAGAAATGATAACTAACACTTTGTAAAAAGGTGGGATAGAGCAGGACCCATGACAGAACTATGTGCCCTGAAGTATGAATTAATAACAAAGTGCTTGCTTGACTGCCAGGAATCTATTTCTGAATTGCAGTACCTTTAAGTGACTTTGTTGAAAACGTTCTCTGTAACATTTCTTTAATCGCCAAGCGCCTGATTGATGAAAACCAGCAATAAATAACCTTCGAAATGCATTCGACAGCAAAAAAAGTGATAGAATAACGGTATCAAGAAATGCATTCGCCTCACAAAGTTGTAAAACAAGCTGAAAATACATTTAAGTCACGTTATGCCAAGTGGATTTCCTAGGATACAAAGAACTTAAAAATTCCTCAAGATATTTCATTATAAAATACAATTCTTCAATCACCTTGCTTAAACCTTTGCATGGACGCCAAACTACACCTTTATCAGCATCCGCAATCCCAAGTTTTTTCAAGTGCCATATAGAACCCGTAAACTTAAAATCAGACCACACATTATGAAAATAACTATATAATTCTGGTCGTTCTACATACCGCTTGCAAGCACTTATTTTTGTCCACATCTGCAACGTGGTTTAAAAGTCACAATGCTATATTCGACTGTAAATCTCGTAAGTTTGCACTGATTGAAGTTTGATTAATTCAAATGAACATAAATAACGATAAAGGATACTATTAAATATTATGAAAAAACTAAAATAAAAGATCTACTTCATCAAAAAGTTTTTCGAAAGTACAGCTCATCAAAATATTCATATCACTAGCATATTCGCTTAAATAAGCACCACCAAAGTGAGTTTCAATATAGCTGATTTTGACCCTTTTGAAATCATCCCAACATCGGATATGTTCAGCCAACTGAAATACTGATAATGAAATACTTATCACGGAAAGAAAAAATTGAAATAACTTTTGTAATAAATGCTGAATCTGCAACGACTGCAATAGTATTTTCATGTCTTCAATAACACGCACAAACTCAAATCATATAAATATGTAAAAAATTTTAAAGCAATAAACCGGGAAAGCATCTGCAGTGAATGAGACACCCTGACTGGTGATGATAACAAAACGACCATGAAGGACATCATTATATCTTTCATAAAGAGTCGACAAGAATCCGTCGTGATCATCACAATAATCTGGTGAAGAAGTTGAACTGATCATAAAAGCTAATGGCATAACCTGGTCACCTGGAATGCATATTAATCCAAATTTCATATGTAATATCCTGATGCATTAATAAAACAAAGTACACTTAAAAAGTGGCCACAAGCAAATGAAAGAAACCTTCAAAAAATGGGTGAATGAAAGCAAGTGTAGAAAGATGATAATCCATAGTGATTGGTTCTGTATGATAAAGAAGTTGAACAGTACGCAAAGGTGAACACTGTTGCAGAAAACCTGCCACAGCTACTAACTGCTCCATTAACGGATAACAAAACATATAAATGGCGGATATGCCAGTTTCATCAACTTCGATTCTTTCGACGAATGCTTCATCACTTTCATACTACAATGGATAAACATAAGAACTGAAAGAATTAACTCCAAATGTTCTAAAAGTCAAGTGAACTGGACGAAATTAATAACTGAGGGATAATGGTAATAATTAATATGAGTGAGAGTTAATGTACCAATAACTGTCCCTGCACAGTGTGAATGTTAGTCAATAATATTTCACGAAACTTCATCTTCTCTTCATCGTTTGATTGCAAACCGAGGTCAGGCAATGGAAGCAAATGTAACGATTGAAAATCTTCAACTCCTTGTTGTGCCTCACTGTATGCTAACATAGCCATGGGATCATTATTGCGCATACACTATAGAAGGAAAGGAAAATTTTCTCGACGTTAAAAAAGTTATTATCTTGAAAATAAATAACTTCTAGAAGAATTGGCACTTAGTTCATCCAAATTGAAACATTATGAAGACCAGCATCAAACTATTACAGCATTAATTAATCGTACAAAAGTATATAATCGTCATTTTTTTTCATCATGATTTGAGAGAAGGATTTTGCGGAAACATGATACATTACAAAATAACCCTCCCCATCCTTGACAATAATGGAAGTGCAGTATTCGATAAATTTGAACAAATTCCTTACTCTGCCTGAAACTTCCACTGCATGTTTTTCGTCACCAATGTAATGCATAACCATGATACCATAACTTTCCCCTTTTAAAGAAAAACGATACTTTCTGAAATTTTTTTGCCACTCGGAAATGCCAAAATCTACTTACACATAATCAAACAAAAGAAAGTATATATGGCTGTAACAAATTAATTTACAGAACAGCATTTGGAAAAAAATGAAAAGATACTTGAATTTGGGGTCACCAGCTGGATTACGTGGATCATACAAGAAATGATAAGTACGGACAAGTCTATTCCCAACACTCTGAATTAGTTTTACACCTTTTGAACGTCCCCATCGATAACCATCATTATGTAGAGCGCGATTTTGATCAATTCTGAATAACTATTACAAATATTTTGATAATTTCAATTTCCAAATTATATGAAAAGGAAAGATTTGAATCAAATAAAAGCATATCCAAAATAACAGTCTTATCTAAACACTGAAAGCTTAATTATGGTCGTCAAAACACTGTAGTAAAACCTAACCCATGGCAGTCATAAACGACTATTGTTCCTCCCGCAGGTCGAAGTTTTGGCATATCTACACTGATGATTGATGGATCTCTTTTCGCCCTTCCTGAGAGCAATATCAAGTTTTATGCTACCTTTAGCATTATAAATAGAGGAAAGAATGATTTACTGAAGAAAAATAATCCATTTCTGAATTTCTGCGTTCACATAATGATACAGTCAAATTAATGATGAACAACTTACGAATAAGATCCAGATAAAAACGATATGGATATAGACGGTGATGGCCTATAAAACAAAAATGTGGATTGTTCGGGTTAGGTGCTAATTCTTGTTGTTTTCTAACAGTGTACATAGATGGTTTTACATATTTGAACTTTTTTTGCACCACTTCGGACGGCCAAACATGGCGATCTATTCGACGAAGAGCATATGCTGGGGTTGTAATACGGCGCATTTTCATCACTGGTTCACTTTCATCATACTCACCATCAAGCGACCTGCATACTCACATTTTAACAAAACTTGAAATATGATAAAAACTACGAAAAAGTATACTTGAATGAAAATTAAAATATTTACCGTTTAGGAAGTTTGCATGGACTCACTGACAAGGCTCTTTTTAAAGTCATTGTGACAGAACTTCCTGAACTTAATAATTCATGGATTCCATCATCTTCAATACCACCTCCAACATCAACATCTGAAAGTTCATCCAATACGGCAGTGTTTGTATGCTGTCGTGTTGCGGAGCGTAAAACCCTACCCTCTCGCGGCATCTCTGGAATTTCTATAACTTAAAATGTTACACTCTTTGCTTAGAAAAATCTTTTCTCATTATACCAATCCCAATTTCCAACTAATATTAGTGAGCATTCCAAACAATTCAGTACAAAAAGCATCAATATTAAACAAAGATAGAAATGTGCGGGCCGCAGGCCGCTTTAAAAGTAGGCCACGATCAATATCAAATATAAAAGAATCTTCAGAAACAAACGCATTTCTCTACGGTGTCTGCTACATCATCTCACACTACGTTCTATAATATTTCCCGTTTTCACTACTTACACTCATCGCATTCTCTTTTTCAATGTTTATATTTTGCGTGAACTCAAAGCTTGTTGTGTACTAAATTGCAAGCCATCAAATGATGTCAGCATCTTATTAACATAATTCATGTAGTGCACTTGTTATCATCTGTGTCCATGTTTTTTGTAAATGTTGAATTGAAATTTAGGCACATATTTAAACTTCAATTAATATATGATGGATAATTTCTTCGCTTATTTCCTGTAGATATAAGTTTGTAGTATTATATTACTCACCATTTTATCTTATATCTTCTCACTTATTCTTTTAGATGAAAAAAGCTTGGAAATCGTTTTTGCGTCCACTTAAAAATCACAATTACCAACAAAAAGCAATTGAATATGTTGAAAATATGGAAAAAGCTGGGGTTTGTTTTTTGTTATGTTGCATTCGTAAAATTGCATTGCATTTATCCAATTATGCACTTAGAAAGGTTAATGGTGAAGTGTTGATTTTTTTAGGCGAACAGTTGAGATTTTTGTCTTCAGCGGCTTTTCATTTCTTATTTCACTAGTTTTAGTTATTCTAACATTGATTTTCATTAATTACTTTTAAAGAAACAAAAAAAAATTAACTTGAGTGAAATAAATGTCAGTTTGGGATATCTATCAGCTTCACCATGCTTTGAGCAGATATATAATCCCAAAATACATTTTCTCCTATGAATTATCAGTCATCATTTTCTCTCTTTCAGTACTCATATCTGTTTTATTGAAGCTTAAACAAAGAACTTCAGATTAAGTATAACTGTAGAGCCTCAGTTTTTATCAGTGTACTTTACTGACTCAGGTTATCGTTGCAGACTGTTCAGCGAGCACCTCGATATCCAACAGAGCAACGACAGTTTGAAAAAAATCAAGCAAATGAAAGAATTAGTGAAGTATGATTTGTTTTATGAATGATAAGTTAAAAATGTTTCTAGATTAGCAAATTTTCAGTGTTCATTTCCGAATTCTTCAAAAATTTTGAACTACTATCATCATCTATGCAGTTCAATAATTTTGTAATTCATGAGAGATTTTTTTCAGTAATCTTAATTTCTGATGAAATTTGGTGTTTATAAATGTACCTTGTTCCAAATTCAGGAAATACGAAAGCGAGATGATGTTTTAATTAGTAATATGAACAGGATTACTGTAACTTCATGTGAGCCCAAAAGTCGTTGGACACCCACAAAGTAATGTATTTTTTTTGTATATCAAAGTAATCGGAAAACTTAATTGATATTATGAGGCGTTGAAACGCATTAATATCTTAAATTTTTTGCGTAATTTTTCAGAGAACTACAGTTGAAAGATACTGAATGGGTTCACAGGAATGATAAAATATGGGAATTTGGATTTTATGAACCTCCACTAGAAAAAATGCCTAAGAACAAATTGATGTTTCGTGAAGCTTTGGAAGCAAGTTAAATTTTGAAGAGCTTTTTGACTGTGGGAAAGAAAGTGCAGAGCATGTTGGATTTTCACCTGTTTTTATTATGAATTTTTAGTCTTTTGTGTCTGATTCAAATTATCATCTTTAACTTTCGTGGTTGTACCTGTAAATATTCTTTACTTTTTAGATTATGCGAGCACGATGCGACAAAGATTATGTGTCGAAACTTGATGAAGAACGAAAAAATTTGTCATTACCTCAGATCTTGGAAAGTTTGGAACAACACCCGGTACCCGAATATTTTTTTCTCTGTAAAAATGCTTCAGTGAAGTCAACCCATATTATTTCCGTGGGTTACGAACAAAATTGAATATTTATAGGCTGTACAGAGAGTTACCAAGGAAGCTTTGGATACGATGTGGCAGTATTTTAGACCATTCGAACGAAAGGAAGAACAGTATGTATGTATTTTCTCCATTAATATTTTGTTATTTTCTCAGTTTTTCATTTGCACCCATGTTATGATGCCAGGGTAGAACTTCAGGTGAATATAAATTATAGGGGTTTTAATTTATCTAACTGTATCCGGAAACACATAAAATTATGTAATTTTTCTCTTAATTATATTCATGAAAGATTTGTATCAGATTTACTGTACTTCCTCATTGTCTTGAATTCTTCATACCGTGACTGATTTATGGAAAGTTATGTTTTTGGGCGGAAGTGCTCAAGAGTCATTGAATTACAGATCGTAAATCGGAAAGATTTAGTAGAAGTTCGTGACATGATGCTAGGTTTTTACAAAGAACCTAAAATACCCACTTTGGAAAGCATAAAAAGAATTAAACAAGAACAAGATGTCGATCCACTGTTACGCTTGGATGAAAATTTGGTTAGTTGATTTTAGTTTCAAACATTCCAGTTTATTGTAGTGTACATGTTTAAATTTTTTTTTCAGCAAAATGAAGAGGAAAATAAAAGGCTGAAAAGGTTGCAGAAAGTGGCAGAAATAAGAGCAGAAGAAGAAATGCGCCTTTCAAACGAATTAGAGAAGGTCTGCGTGTATTGTATTCTAATGCTTTTGACTCTATTGTACTTCAGGAAGCAAAATTCTCTAATCTGGTTTTTTTCTAGTTCGGGCTTGTGCATAAAGTCGACAGTACAAAACAAATGGCAGAGGATGATACCAAAAAGCAATCTATGAAGCAAGCAAAATGATATCTCTTAGCAGTTCTTTACATTGTATATTATTCACAGGTGTGTAATGTTATGAAATATCATTTAATGTTCAGATATTACAAAAGTTGTTGCTGTTGTCCATGTATGTAGGAGATTATGGATAAAGTGTTCAGTTTCAAGTCACAATTATGTAGCTATTGCGGAATATTATTTCACACGTGTACATCATAATGGAAACCGCAGAACTGCGGAACAAAATGATAGTAGAGTAAAACAGAATGCAGAATGTCAGCAGTTCCTTATGAATGTTTTTGTGTCTGCAAGTTTTCTTAAGTGAGGCTTCCTTATTGGGAAAGGACACCTTATCTTAGATTCTGGTACTGTGTATCCCAGCGATCCCTTGTGAGAATAGTGGCAAGTCAGACGTATAGGGTATATTATTCTGCGTAAAGGTGTAGTACTTATACTACAAGTTCAGGAGTTTCAGTGGTTGGACTTTATCAATTTTGACAATGAAACAGATTCGTAGAGTGGTATGTGCAATCTCTGGTGGGGTTGATAGCGCAGTCTCTGCATATTTACTAAAGAAAAGAGGGTTGGATGTGGTTGGAGTTCATATGGTAAAGTGTTTCACTTGTATTGGTCTTTTTAAAGTGCTTATGCAATCAATATTTGAATATCTGGAATATTAAATAAAAATATATTAAGTATTACATTTACTAAGTGATGATTTTTCAGGTTAATTGGGATCGAGTTGAAGAGGATTCAAGTTATTGTCCGCAGTCAGCAGATGAGATCGATGCAAAGAAAGTGTGCAATCATTTGCAGATACCGTTTTATGTGACAAATTTCGTGAACAAATACTGGAATGAAATTTTTACGTATGTTTAAATTTTGCTGAAAGCTCAAAATTTCTGAGTTTGAGTCATTATTTTTAGATTAAAATCTGTTGTGTTACAGATATTTGGTGGAGAATTATCGTAAAGGAAGAACTGTAGTATCTGATGTTCTTTGCAATAAAGCCATAAAATTCGACCAGTTTCATAAATATGCATTTAATGAACTTCAAGCTGATGCTGTTGCCAGCGGACACTTTGCGCGAACGAGTTTTGGAGATTTTCTGGAAAAACGTACGGAGACCGGAAGTAGGTTCTGTCTCGGATGTTGTATTATATGTTTCTAAGCTTTCATGTATGAAATTTTCATTTGCATAAGGACTTACAGACTTCATACATGAAATAATAACCTTTATAAAAATAAATACATAGATCTGTTTAACTAATGATTTTAGAAACAAAAGTTTTACCCTTCTACTATTGAAGTGATTTTATGTATCTTTTTATTTTATTTTATTTTTCCAGCAGTCATTATTAAAAAGATTAAAATATTTAATTGTCCTTCACTCTGCTGAGCTGTTTTGTAAATTTTTTTTGCTAGAATATGTGTACAAAAAAATTTAAAAAAAAAAATCAATATATTAGTGATTTAAAAAGTTCCTTTTGAGTCTTATTTTTTGTAATACTTTATTTAGCTGTTCGACTACTTACTGCTGTGGATCCCATTAAAGATCAAACATTTTTCCTCTCAAGCTTAACTCAATATCAGTTAAAAAGATCAATGTTTCCAATAGGATCTTTCACAAAAAAACAAATTCGACAGATCGCAAACAGTATTGGATTAACTGAAATTGCTCAAAAACCGGAGGTGAAATTCATTCATTATATCGTTTTCAGTTGCATGTAAAAATATGGTTGAAAACTTGGTAGTGGTCATCTGATGTGTCAAAAGTATTAAATGTTAATGGTCCTCTGATAGTTTTCTGAAATTATTTAGAGCATGGGAATTTGTTTCATCGGCAGAAGAAAGTTTGATTCATTTATTGATCAGGTTTGTTGATTTTAAGAGATAAATTTGACGAATTTCAAACAATTACTTTTGAAGGATGAATATTTTGGAGCTAATGAAAAAGTTATTATTCCAAATTCAATAATTCAGTGCAAAGAAGTGTTGCTCATTGAGTTTTGACGATTGTTTATCCGTTTCACTCGCATATAAAATTGCTATTTATAGTACATCGAACCTGTGATTGGTTTAGCAAAGAACATAGATACCGGCAAAATTCTTTTCGAACACAGTGGAATACATCATTATACAATCGGTAAACGAATTCGAAAGGTTCCAAACGTCTGCCAGAGTGCTGTTGGATTATTTGTTGCTGGTCTTGATGATAAAACCCAAACTCTTTGGGTGGTGCGCCATTTTCTTATTTTGGTTACTTAGAATTACTCTGATTCTAATTATATATGTATACAGTTACAAACAAATATTTTTTTGTCTCAAAGTTCAGTGGTTATAAAGTTAGAGAATCATCAAAAAGTACACAGTGATAAATGACTTAAGAGCTAATTTTCTGGATCAGCTAGAGATTTAGAAAACTTTCAACTAAACAAATCCTATTTTCAGAATTTCACTTGTTTTTAAAATTTTAGTTTATTGATGAAACATCAGGTAGAAAAACATGTAATGTAGGAACTCTATGATGCTTCAGTGTCAAGGATCCCATCATCCTGCGCTGTTTGCTCGTGAATTTATTGTAGATGAACCGATTTGGATATCTGATTGTCCTATGAATAATACAGGTTTTCAGTTTTTGTCATATTTTTTTGAATTTTCATGAGTCGATAATAATGACAATTCCTTGTCTCAAGTTGCATGACTTATTTTGTTGCATGCATTATGATGAATTATCATTCAGACATTGTCAAAATCCAATTTCGATGCCAAAGAACACATCCACCACTTGTTTGTAAACTCGTTCGCATTGGTGAAAGTTTATTGAAAGTTAAACCACAAAATCCAATACGAGCTGCCGCTCCTGGCCAGGTATTTATTTTTGTTTCTCGATATTTTGAAGAAATGATGATTCCGAATTTAAAAAAAAAAAAACTTCTTTATTTTGCTGGTTTATCAGTACTAGTTACAGGTTTGTGTCTTCTATGATGGAAAAAAATGTCTTGGCGGTGGTGAAATACAGCGTGTGGTGAAAACTTTAGCTGATCCAGAAAATTAGTGATTATTTCATTTATCCCCATGCACTTTTAAATAGCCCTTTGCAATATCAAATATTAAGATTTTTAACATCAGATTTAACTGTCATTAGTAATGTCCTTATGCAAGTGATAATTGATTTTTGATTTAATTATGTTTGTAAACTATGTAAGGTTGAGTCGTAATAGAAAAAATCGAGATCCCCTATTTTTTTTTCAAATAAAGTTATTTCCATGAAAACAAAATGAATTTCTTCAATCAAATCGGAAGGAATTTTATACAAATTATGATACTGAACATGCATTTTCTGCATATACAAATGTGCAAAAGTTCAGCGCCTTATTACTATTTTGTCTGCAAGACCAAATGTTAATTTATGATATGTCTTACCGGATATTTGACAAACTTTTTCAAGTTATTACTTTCGTAATTTGCTTTTAGTTTTTTGTATAAAGTTTTTTATCTGGATAAGAAAGAACTTTTAGAATACGGTATTCATTTTAAGCATCATATTTCCTTTTTAATCAGTTTCATATTGCAAACTACGTAGTTTTCATGATCAAGGTAACTGCAGCAGTGATCTTAAGCATTGTTTGGCCAGCCAATGTTTACGATTGGTTGCAGCTGTGTAGAATATGGATTAGCCACAAAGTTGTGCCATGGCATAGGCGAACTTCGAGGTCCACAACACATGCAAGACATCTGTGAAGTCGATTGCGAGTTTAATGATGGAAGTTGCTTTGAAATTTGCCGTTTCTGAAATACTTCCATTCATGATAAAACTTGTTAATTAGATTGTGTGTTGTGAGTGGGAATCTTAAATACTAACAACTCGAGGAAATGACGCCACTTGATCAGCTGAAGGATTAGTTCGCAAAATTTCTTTAGGATTTATGAGAAATCCGTTTATAGCATCCTAGAACATTTCAATATTGGTTATAAATAGCAGTTGTGCATCACAAGTTTTAAACCTCTTTTGATTTTTACTTTGCATGAATGATTTATTTTGCAATAAGTAAAGTCTTTCTTTGCTTGATTAAAATTTCCACTCGCTTTGAAATGCGTAGAAAACTGACCGAGCTAATTCCATATTGTCTGCAAGCCATCTTACAGCAAGCTTTGCATGACTGTTCGGAAGTAGTTGCAATATCAGCGCATGCCATTCTCACTGCTTTTGATGATCGATCCCCATAGGGTGACTGTTGCGCCTGAACTTGATCTTGTAGAGCCGTTTGAGTAGGACTGTCCAGCACAATCAGTATTGATGCATCCAATGTGCACACGTTATCTGAATGGAATGGTTATAAAAAGATGGATAATTAGAGTAAAATTTTCAAACTTATTTTTGCAAATCTACTTGGTATATTCAAACTGGAGTTCAGTTCAACTTTTAAAAATGCCAAGTAGTAAAGTGGGAGCTTATTTTTCTAAGTGAACAAAATTTGATAGTCCAAGCTTACTATCATCTGAGAAACTCCAAGATGCTGAAGGGGAAATGGAATGAAGTTGTCTCGGCGAAATCCAATGCTGTGTTGGTGTCCCAGATGGTATTTCTATCCAATTTTGCGGTGGTAGCCAAGCTTGTGATGGAATTAGTGGAGCCCATCCGTGTGATGAAGCAAGACCTTGTGAAGAAGATATACTCTGTGGAGGTGACATAACTTGTGGACGAGCCATTCCTTGTTGTGATGCTACAATTGGTGGTGGAACAAATGCTGATGAGGATAGCCAGTTGTGTGGTGCCGATGGTGGTCCCCAGTAATGTCCTTCTCCAGTTTTATTTTTCACCTCTGCCTATTAAAATAAAATGGCATCCCTCAGTCAGTATGAATTTCTTAGAAGTAATTAAGGTGAAAGATGCATAAATCTTTATTGCACATTTAGTAAAAAAAAAGAACTCCTAAGATAGATGGATGAAGAAAAGCAAGTTTGCAACAAAATTTGAGTAAGCCAAAAGTCAAAGCTTCTGTAAATTATTTAACTCAACAAATTTAATCCTCGATTGCTTACTCATGAAATATATCTTATTTCACATTTAACAAAAATAACATACACGGCATTCCTCAATAATGAGTACAAAGCATGCAACAGTAGCAATAATCCAAGCATCGAACATGTTCAGTTCTTCGCAGATGTCTAATATGAGAAGATTGCAAAGCTGATTCTTATAGTTAAACAACGCAACATATTGGGCGTGGCATTAGGATTGTTTTGAAGTTATCATAGATGTGATACTTCTTCCTTGCTATCTGGCGAATGAGCAGAATTGTTTTCGTTATATTTAAGAAGCATTATATGCTTTAAATGATCAGTGAAGATTCAGCGCCGTTTCAGAGGAGAAAGAATTGGCATAAAAAGTTCTTGAAACTTTGATTCAGTCAAATGACTAACCACAGAGATTCAAGGGTAAAGGAAAAACATCAAACTAAGTCAATAGTGAGCCTTGATAATTAATTTGGTGATCATCAGAAAGAATTAAGTTGAAACTGTGCAAATATATTCTAAGAAAATCATGTATATGCTGATCTTAATATTAAGCAATATAGTAGTAGTAGTTACCATCTGTTTTACGCATTATTCAAATTTTTTTGAAATGCAGTTAGATATAACCGGCTAGTACTGCTGATCTTAATAATTAGCAATACAGTTGATATTACCGTCATTAATAATTCATATTTTATTAAGGAAATACTTTTGAGAGGCTTTTCACACTACAACTTAATCATAATTCTAACTAACTAATTCACGTTTCAAAATCACGAACTCCTCATAACATTATATGTCTATGAATTCTGAATCATCTGTCTATGATTTCATCCTAGCTTCAGAAAATTCCTTGTTACAACTTCTCTTATCGTTAAAAGTAAATAGAATATATCTTATGAGAAAATCTTACAACTGCAGTTGATGCTGTAAAATTATTTTATGATAACTTCAAATATTCATTCTTTTTATTCCCTTATCATCATATTATCAGCTAATATTATTTTTCATTTTAAAGCCATCTTTTTACTGCTGATAAACTTTCTGTGTTACATTCATGTTCTGACATCATTTTCCAATTGATTGCTGGAACCGACTAATTACGCAAAGTTTATAATTTCTGATAGCATACTTAGGATAGCAATAACACAAACTGTACACGTTTTGTAGATAGGATACACAATAATATATACAGAGCATTCTCCTGAGAAATCTATTCGCAAAAGAAATAATGCGAAATTGAGAAATGTGTGAATCACTGACACCCCAACTTAATGAGACGCTACCTTTCATTTCATTAAAAGTTACATGGACTACTGTATCTAGTCAAGCACATCTTATTTCAGTGCAAATCAAGCACTGCTAAGAATTTCTGGCAGTTAAAGACCGACCATCTTTAATTTTTTAAAGGCAAAATTCTCAATTCCATACCCTCAGTAGTTCATGGGCAAATCAGTTAGTGCTATGTAAGATTGAATGACCGAAAATATTTAAAAATTGTGAGATTGAGAGACACAATTTTCAATCATGAAATTATTCCATTTCAACAGAAAGAAAGAACTTTGAAAATATGTTCGAATCTACTTTTCCAGCTTTATCCCAGAGATTTTCCACAAAACCCCTGATGATATTTAAATTTTGCTCGCACAATCTTCATTTTTTGTTTGTGAATTACACACAAGAACCGCCCCCGCATACAAGTTTTCAACTGACATATAACTGGCTTGAGCTGCATACCATCTACATTTTAGATCGTAGCAGAGTTCCATACAACTACAAATGCTCTTTACAATATTTCTGCTTTCAACCTTAAACTTCTTCATTTCAACCGCACAACAAGAGCCACTTCCTGAGGTTTGTCTTGCTACTTAACTCTCTTCCATAATGATTTCACAAACTTGACTGGTTTTGTTTTTGAATAGTAAACTGAACTCTATTTTCAAGACATCTACTTCATGCATTAATAATACTCCTTTTCTTTTAGCCTAACAAACCAAATACAACGAAAAATGAAGCTGGTGCAGCATATTGGTACCCTCCACCAGCAGTATCCAATTTTCAGTCCTTTCCTTCTGCTTACAATTTACCAGGATACTTCCAAGTCCAACCCAGTTACTCATCACCATCATGCCCTCAAACACCTCCACCACTAATGGATCGCAAGTTTTTAAACCTTGCTATGAGTAAATAAATGAAAAATAGCAGACTAAGCTTCTTAGCATGCATTGAAAAAATTATTCGCTTGGTAAAATTAAAAAATAAATTAGAGAAATAATATCCAGATATTCGGGCTTAGAAATATAAGGACAACCTAAAAAATCAAATACTGGAAGTTAATGCAGAGTAACAGGTATGGACAAAAAAGCTTAGCATCCACTGTCTTTATTACATGAACTTTTTGTCTCTACTACTAACCATTAAAGCACTTCTTTATTTTACAATAAAAGAACTCAGAATGTTTCAGAAAATTACTGCTCAGCACACGCATCATTCGCGCTGATAACAGGTAAAATCGAACGATAGCAATTTTACCGAGCAACTAAATATATAGCAACTTTACCATAGAGTAGCTGCGTACAATAGAATTTGACAATTTTTTTTCAAGTGATTTAATTTCTTGAAATTCCTAAGATAGGAAATCTCTCAAGTATTTATGGGATGAAAAAAGCTGTACAAATACTTATGGTAAAAAATTTTTTATCCGAGAACAATTTTAAAACAAATTAAAGAGGACATAACCGGTAAATAAAAACCTAGGATTGATTAATATTAGGTTATTTTAATTCCTTCAATAGCAAACTGTAGAAAGAATCCTTGTTTATAGGTGATCCATCAAGTAGGTTGACACGAGAATTCTGTCGCTATGCTGCAGCAACCAGTGAAACTTCTTGTAACACATGCTGCAAAATAGCTGCTCGACACCATGCTACTGCAATCGTTTGTTTAAAACATTTCATACAGTGACTGCACTGCTATTAGGACTCCCTTCATTTACATGAGGATTATGTTATATAGCGTAAATGTATACATATAGGCAAAAATATCAGGGAGTAGAAAAAGGTATGTGCCAACCTTGCAGGAAACTTGTGAAGACGGTGGACCATCTAGCAGCGAAGCGCAAAAAAATGTTATATCATGACTAGACTAGAAGAAACAACGAGCTCTCCTACGATGCACCTATTTAGGACTCTGCAAGAAGTATGGTCTGAAAGCATTCCCGCGCATGAGAAGCCATTCTATTCAGGAGGTCGTCGTGAATGAGAACATCGAGATTAGAGTCGATAAGTGAGAGAACAGTAAGACAAGTACGGATCGACCGTATATCACGCACGACAAGGAGCGACGTAAAGTAATGCTGATAAAGGTTGACATCACTAGTCAGGACAGGTTGACAGCAATCAAGACCGACAAAAAAACGCAAATATGACTTACTGGCTAATAAACTTGAGTCAGAGATGAAATGTAGAACCAAAATAGAACTAAAATAATTCCGTATATGATGACTTGAAATGGGATTGCAACGAACTTCCACAAACGCTACGTGGAGATCAGTATATCTGGTCACGTCCAGGCATACATTCAATCGATAGTGCTTAAAAAGACGATCGAAAGCACCTGCATTCGATAATCGCAATGGATCGCATGAGGATGAAGCAACGGAGAAGAGCGCATTAAGTACAGCCAGAGCGGTGGGATATGATCCAGCGCCAGAATTAATGGAGCGGAAAAGATTAACCTCCATGCCCATAATAGTCTAATCTATGAATAATTCCCCTTGTATCCTAGAAATCTAGTACATAATATACCTCCCAAGTAAAAGGCTATTAAACTTATTTCAGGATGAGGTGCGAGGAATAACATTTTCATTTGATCCAAAAATGCCACCCATAGCCATGAATTCGATGATTCGAAAGAAAAGAGTATGCACAGTATTCTTTTTGATTTAGGTAATGAAAACCAAATGTGAATTACATGAAACAGATCGTAGATACTGCGCAAACATGTTCACCAACTTTATATATCCAACTCTCAAGTTAACAAAAACCATACTTTGTGCTAATCTTATCAAATAAAACTGCAGGATCAGCCAACTACATCAGAAACCTCTACCCAGTCATCATATCCACCGGCCTTTCTCACGAAAACGCGACGTTTAACTCCATCACCAGCCTCACTCGGTTTAGCATCTGTAACTGGAAACATGAGAACTCAAAATAACATAGCACAATGCTTTTGTTGCGCTCCAGTGAAATCGGTCTATTCATTTTAATTGTAACATTTCAATCCATTCATTAATACGACACTACTTCGACCTAAAATGATTCTCTGACACTGTAATCAAGCATACAACAGTGCTGACAAGTCACACAAGTCAGATCCCTGCACACTTCTAGGAAACCATTAAAGACAAGAAGCCACACCATCCACGAATATGTCATTTAATTCCAGTGGAGTCCTCACAATACTGAATTCAATATCCAGAACAACCACCAATGTCCCCATGTACAAATAGAGAACAATCGCTCTTAATCTAAAGCACCTCCATGAATGCATTAATAGTAAACTCTAACCACCTTTTCAAGTAAAAGCTCGAAGCCCCAACCACGTAGTTACTAAATTTTCAAACAACTATCTCACGATAAATCCTGATACCAATATTTAAATGTTAAAAAAATTGCACTTTAGCTAACTACAGGATTTCAAGTCCACTTGTGAAACTAACTCCAATACAAAAAACATCCCACAGAGTAATACAATGAGCCACCTTCACGTTAGTGTACTGCCAAAATCAAATCTCTCAACGCATCTCCATCTCTACGTGGAAAAAATACAGAATGCACATAATACGATACAACCTTTCCTAACTAAATTATATAGGCACGTACTCAAGAAAGATCGTGCTTGAAAGACTACAACGATAAAATACTTGGTTACGCAGTGTGGAAATGAAAATTCCCCCAGCTATCTTTCGGAATTTTTAACACCCATTCCCTAAATAGAATGAAAAGAATACATAATTGATCACACCAAAAACGTTTATAAGCACATGAACCAATAACAACGACCAATTCATAATACGAAACAAGTAACTCAAAAACCAGATGCACTACAACATAGCAATTATATTGCTGAGTTGTACACTATCCTTATTCACATAATCTAATGCAATCAGACTCTTTAAGATCAACTGGATCAATCCTTGTTTCTCACAGTGGATCGTCCACTTTTTACTACAAGGATCCCAAACAAATCATCCAAAGATGCTCCAAAAGCCTCACAAACGATTACAAAATATTTTTAAAATTATGACTATTACTTATGATTGAATCCATTCAGAACCGACAATTAGTGAACACAAGATGACAAATCTGTTCTACTCTGCACTAGTAGTGGATACGTTTTTCCGATGTTTCCATTCAAAATGTTGAACAATTTGAAATCTTGAATAAGTATTTCGCATAAAAAACTGACGTAACGGGAAATCAGCAGCAAGGGTTTTGTTGGAGATAAAGTTACATTAAAGACCACGAAACCTGGAAAACGTAAACCCATCAGAACCAGAAATTCTACAAAAAAAATTGAATGATATCACAGGAAATTACAATAAAGTGTTGAATAAACAATGATGAATATATGTAAATAGATAATATACTTGAAAATATAAATACTTTGTTAAGAAGAAGAAATATATTTTTAAGAAATATTCACAACTATCAAAAAAATATCGAAATTCTGTTACGGAAAACTCAACAAAAAAACGTTTTTCATGAACAAAAATTTCGTATTAGTAACCCACGCCAGGCATTACAGTTGTAGCCGCAACTGGTGGCTTCATACTTGACATAATAGGTTCTCTCATGATAAGCGAATCTGGAAACAGCTGTGAGTAACTGGCGACCGGAACGTAGTTAGCTGTGATTACTTTTCCTGTAAATTTATAATAGTATTAACAGAAGCTAATGACTCATAATAGTGAAAAATATCACATAATAATGAAAAATATCTCATAATAGTGAAAAATATCCCTATTACGTCTGCCAATAATTGAGATTTCGCAATCACAAGCACGAATAAGGACGGGACCAAATGAGAATGAATAAAATGCGAATAAAGCAATACAAACCTGAAAACCATCGTCCATGCAATGCATTCACTGATTTAAAAGCAGCAGAAACGGAAGGACATTTTACATAGACATTGCCATTTGGAGATGCTTTGTCAACAAATATATGCAGTATCCCTATAAGACACAAAATTTCAACTTTAACAAAATATACTTCATATTTGTCAAATAATGATAATCACATATGATTGGATAAATTACCTCCATTCTTAGCACACTCCTCTATTACATCATCTCGTACCTCCTCCGCCCATGTTTCACTTGTTTCTCTACAAAACAAATATGTTTAATATTTTAGCACGAATATTCCTACTTCAATTCATAAATAAATTCTCGATTCCATTAGATTATCCAGAAACCGAAATTTTCACAGTGGAAGACTTACTGAGCTGGATCAAACATGTTCGAAAGCATGAAACATTGTGTTGCTATTGGTGGAATAGCAGGATTATTCGACGTAACGCTGTCTAATTGCTGCTGGTTCTGTGCTAACATATCTTTAGCACTTTTTGGTAATTCTAAGCCACTGCCTGTAAGATCCATAACCTTTAACTAAAGAACAATAGAGAAAAACATTCGAAATTTTAATATTAAAACAAATTCCTCTCGAAATTTTGCTGAAAAGCTGTTTTAAAAACTTCTAATCGATGCACTTAATTTTACAACAAAGAAAAAACTTAAGCCAGATAAAAACGAAATCTATTCTATTTTCGCCAAAGAATATAAAGAATCTAAAATCCATACCATAAAACCTTAAAATGTTACCTTCAGCTAACTTAGCCATTAAATGCAACCGACCACTAGTTCCCAAATCTATCCCTCGTCTGTCTGCATCATCATTATCAAGAGTTCTCTGAGCAGCAGTCGGCAGTTCGTCTCCATCAACAGAACAAACCTTCAGTACAAAACTTGAAAAAAATGTGCTGTATGGGAAAATAATAATGAAAACTAAGAATAAATTTCTTACATCTAATGTAAATGTAAAAATTTAACAATATAGCACCACAATACATATTACGCTAAAGAGATACAGACTTTCATCGGACGGCCTGCTAATTCAAAGCCATTCATTTGTTCCATGGCTCGCTTACCATCATCTGCATGTCGAAACTGAAATACAACAAAACTACATATTCAAAATGAGACAAAATCTCACAAGATGACTGTAATTTGAAAATATTTTCCAGCCTTTATTCGATTTCTCTATTGGGAAAATGAAATTTACCGTCACATAAGCGTATCCTTTGGAGACACCACTGAGATCCGTCGCGATTTCAAGACCTTCTATCTGCAACACACTACCATGAAAGATTTCCATGAACAAATAATGTCAGAGAGTAAAAAGCCATAATGTCTACATGAAATTACTTGCTTTCAAAATACCTTTCCAAAAGGGTCGAAAATCCTCCCCAACATATCTTCTGTTATGCTGGTATGCAACTGGCCGACATAAAGCTTCAAAGGACCGATAGTGTTCGCAGGACCAAACCCAAGCGTTCCGCCCACGGTGTTATTAGCTGCGCGATTTCTTTCAGCTAACGTCGGCTGTATTACTAAAGGTGCACCAAGTAATTTTTGTCCATTTAATGCAAGAGCCTTAAAATGATAGAACTTGAAAAATAAAAAAAATATCCACTGACACTGTTATTTGATATATTTCATGTAAAAACTATTAAACACATTTTCAGATAGTAACTGTAAAACGAAAAAAAACTTTTCACGATGGAAGCCACTAATCCAAAAATTTTAAATACACGCAAATGCCTTTAAAAAATATCACGCTAAAAAAATTTCAATGATGAAACAGATAAAAGTATAATAAAATTAAATTTGGAACCTCTCACAAACAAACAGCAAAGAACAAATAACAGAATTTACATGACACTAGATTATTTTCTTCTGTCCCAAAAATGACTGACTAACCAAATTGACACTTTCGATTTCCCAGAATTCTACGTAACATATTCCCTTCGACCGTCGAGTTTTTGAATCTGTAATAATTCGCACGTCCCGTACATGCCCCACACTCGAAAAGAACTCTTCTAAATCACGTGGTCGAGTTTCCTTTGCAATCTGAAAGAAACTTTACTGTGCCTTCAAAAACTTGAAAAAATGTGAAAAATACGAATACACTTCATGCTAACTTCTCCAAAGGTACCTGAAGTATAAATACGGTACGCTGGTCTCGCTCTTCAGAAGTCATGTCCATTTTGGCATTTGGTGGTGGCGAACGACGTGCAGTGAATGGCATACTCAAATATCAAGTTTTATTTATATGCTAAGAACTAAAAAAGTGATAGGGGAAAATTCTTATGAATTAATAAAGGAAAAATTTTTTGAGAACTTACACATCCCGTCTTTCTGGGCCTGGCAAGCGTGGTCCACGAGGTGGTGATCGCCTCCATGGTGGTGAAAATCCCCTACGATCGCGATGATCAAGCACACGAGGACGCGACCTATAGTAATAATGTATGAAGATTTTCCAAATTTATAGGTCATTCATTGTATTTCAGCACCTAGATAAAATTTATATCTAAAATAAAATTAAAGAAGTTACCACGATGGACTTCGTCGTCGACGATCCCTAGAACGTGAACGACGTCTACGATCACGTGACTTCGATCGAGAGTGTCGACGTGACCGCGATCTGCGGTGACGATCTTTTGAACTACAAATTAGCTACTAAAACCATTCTCAAAGCATTGCTTGTTTATGAAACAAATTACCTCGAAAAACTCTTAAAGATCACGTAAATAAATTTAATTCATAAACTAAACATACTGGTCATAATTGTGGTTATTCTAAGGCATACTGAACACAGCACAAAATTTACCGTGATCTTCGGCGAGAAGGGCTACGCTTCCGAGAACTATGTTTACGAGATCGTGATCGCGAGCTGAATAAAATCACTAATTACACAAGTTCCGTTCTTCTCTAGATATAAAAATATATTTTTACATTTATCATAAAGATATATACCAACAACACTGACGAACATGTTACGCAAAAAATCCCAAGAGTTCGTAATAACTCAATATATCACAAAACGCACCCTATAAAATGTAATGCAGAAGTAAATACTCACAATAGTTTATAATAAAAGAAAAGTCAATGCACAGTCCTTAGTACTACAAAAATATGGCTATGGAACGTCCATCATTAAGATACAGTCCACAGCTACATAATAAATGAATTACATATGTTAATCATTTACCGAGACTTTTTTTTGTGATCACGACTACTACTCCGGCGTCGTTTCTTTTTATCCTTATCTTTGTCTCGACTACGAGAACGACTTCGAGACGAAGATCTAAATAAATTAGATCGTGAGCGAAACCGCAGTTAAAAGGTATTAATGAAAAATCAAGATTGGCAGGATTGAATTTCCTGGGATAACTGTAAAACATAGAAAATCCATCGTTCGGCGCGAGTATAGGCTTGTTAAAGTTGAAGCGATCGATGCCCACGAGAAAACTGTGGTAGTGGAATTAAGTTAAGCGATGATCCACGACCCTCTCGTCCGCAACGCCATATGCTATCGTGTTATGCCTGTAACACCTGGAGCGCGCCGGTAAATTTCGAAAAGTCATAAATTTATAAAATCACACTGCATGTTGCAATGAATTTCACCCAAAAATGTAACAAAAAATTGGAATATGCGGCGCGCTCCGACTGCATTGATAGGCATCAACACATATACGACATTCTCGCGTACCTCATCGTTCATATTTTCAATTCATCTTCATTCAGATTCCAACAAGAAGCAAAGAGTTTCCCGAAACATCGATCGAGCTTTGTTCATCATTATAATGCAGAAGGTACAGGGTGACACAGAGCTGTATCAATCGAATTTATATCTCTACAACGACGATTCGGCTTAGTTTATTGTTTTTAATTACTTATCATTGCTGACTCATTTATGGCTCCCACATTATGACGCAGGCACAGGAATTTCATAAAAATGATGGACATAATCACAGAAGCAGTCTTTTATAAAAGTCCCCCTTTTCTAAATTCAATTTCACTTGCAATTGGCATAATCTTAAATATAGTGAAATAAATTATATCATTGAAATTTTGTGTAAGTACTTTTTTTGTATGAATTGAACTGAAAAAAATAACATCTAACACTCATGATGAGAAAATCTAATGGCAGAACTGACCATAATTATGACTTGAAAATGAAAAAATAATTTTTTGAAACTACATTTTTGAAAAGTGGACACTTCACTTTGAGCAATAAAACTGTACTATAATGCACACACCCGGACCAACTCTAAAATATCACGAAATGATTTTCTATAATAGTTGTGAATCCTTTCACCTTGTAAGGTATTCTTTATAAATATTGTATATATAAACATATACCCTAAAGTTAATCGGAAATGCAGAAACGCCTGATAGAAAATTTCTTTTCATTCCTTCTGAACCTACCTAGACCTGGAATGTGAGCGCTTCTTCTGCTCACTGCTTTCCTTTTTCTTTACACTTGACGAAGTCTGCCTAGCATCTTCAGTTTCTATTTTATCACCCCCACCATTAATAGCATTTCGTGCTTCAGTAGAAGTTTCTTCTCCTGATGGTTCGTCATTTTTCGGCAGCTCACTTCGTATTAACGCCTCCATCGGCTGCTCATGTCCATGACCATAATTTCGATCAGACTATAACAAACAAGATAATCCAAGACAGTAAGAAATACAAGTACTGAAGCAAATGCTCATCTTTTACGACAAATAATCTATGTAGTTCTCACATCTTCTATTTTATCGAGAGCCTCCTCGAGCATCGCATCTACATCTTCCGGTTCGCCCATGTCACAAGTAAGGGATTTGGTAGTACGTAACTGGAATCAACATAATGATGGCCTTAATGACCCTGACAACCTGATAAAAGTTAACAGCAAAATATTTCATTGGGCATTAAAATATCTTAGCAATGACGATGTCGTAAACGCCACAAAAGTCCGACTAAAGCTTTCTACCACTACTAATAATAACACGTTCCTCACTACCCTGATAATAGGCTCCTAAATACTCTGATAATAGGCTTCAAACTGCCTTAACAGTACACTCTTTACCGTCCTAACAAGGAGCCTCCCACTGTCCGAACAATACGCTACTCAATGTCCTATCAATTTATGCAACAGTATCACTATACTTGCTATCGACCGAACTTTAGCATAGTTAAAAGTCGACCCCCGGTCGCACAGTGCAAATATCATGATGGAAAAAGTCCAATTCCTCTTTGAATTACTTACGCACCAGTAATTCACACCCGTAGTCTTATAGTCCACACACTTATGGTAACTTTTTTTAAAACTAGAACTGTCAAATTCATGCGGGTATTAAAGTTCAAGAGACAATTCCAACGTCACAACAACCAAATTTGCATTGAGCCCTCATTGGTAGACAGTTATCCCCTTCTATTCTATCAAATTACTTTTTGTCCACAGTACACTAATCTTATTCATTATTTACATAAATACTGCTGTTCGAATATTCGGTCAATATAGGCAATACATACAACAGTTTTGTGTTAGCTGTTCAACACTGCTTTCAAAATGACAGAGTAAGTGGCATAAATAACATCTGTTCAGAATATATCTATTTAATTTATTGGGAGCCAAGAAAGACAAAAAAGACGTACGCTGAAAATGAAAGTAGCGGTGTAACAATGACACTAAAGCTAATTATATGAAGATTAGTAATCATAGTAAATTTCGGGTGGTTCATAATCTGAATCTTTCTCAAAGTAATAATCAGCGCAGTATCCACACGTTCGCTTGCAGTTACGCCACATGTAGAAACTGTGGCGTCCTTCCACGAAACAAAAATGTATTTTACTGCGACAATCTATTTCCAGATCACTACACTTTTTCGGTATATCAGACACTGTATCAACGAAATCACAATAACCACATGTATGTGCACAGTCCGCTTGCATCCGTTCCTGAAATTCTATCCGTTCGCAGAGATGTCGTTGGTAATGGCACTGACCAAATTTATCCGAACATTGTTCAGGCTCAAAGTTTTCTCGGTCATAAACTCTGGAAAAAAAAGGTAATAATAAACTATCAGAGCAAGAAACACGCTAAGTAACTGTACAGAGCACTAATGCACAAGTACTTTCTAAAAGTAATGGTTACTAATGCGATATCCTCTTGTGCCTAAGCCAGAAAGTGCCTTATTTCATTACCTGCAAAACGAACATGTCATGCGACATTTGGATTGCATAACTGCCTGATGCCAGAGTGAAGCAGTACAGTAACTCACTAATTCCCCACAGTTTGTAGCTAAATCTGCACAAACAGAGTTACAAAAACCACAAGTTTCTGGACATGCATGATACATGCGTTCTGCAGTTTCGACAGCAAAACAGTCACTTTCCTTAATTAAAAAGAGAATGATTACGATAAAATTTGTTTAAGTAGTTAATATACAATTTTTTACTATATCTGAGCATCACAAAAAATAGTCTAGATCAGATTATTCCAGTAACATCAAAATCAAACTACGAAGTCATTTCAACTTTTCAATTTCTACAGCTGAAGTGAAACGAATTCTTTAGGACGAAAATTTTTCTCAAGCAATTCCAAAAAAGAATTTTGGTTAAACCCGATGCACACAATCGTCTTCTTTATCATAGCATGTTCTTGTACTATTCATTTCCTCATAACACATGTTGCATGTTCGTCTACAAGCTTTCTTCATGTAATTTTCGCGAGTTTTATTAATACTTACACACCAGCCTTTAAACATTGAACATAGTGGATCCTCATCAACACACCAATCTGAGGATATTCACCCCTTAGTGACTAATACATGATGAAAATTTCAGATAAACTCTTTACGAACACAAAAGTAATGTAAATATTGAAGTTGATGGTAAATAAAGTGTAACTGTTTTTAGTAATAACTTGAATAACATAAAATTCAATGTGAAAAAACTTAAACCTAGGAAGTTCAAAACAAAACATGAAAGGGTGGATTACCGGGCCTCCGCTCATATGAAAATGCGAATGGTACACGATCTTCATCCCAGTCATACCATATCTGTCTTTCAGGAAGTGGCGTAGCACTGAGAATGGAGAAATGGCAAAACAGGTATGCAAGAGCCGTTTCGATCATTTTATCAGTAACAACAAAAATTTCTAGCTTTAGTGACAAAATAATGCTGAAATCATCAGGTGCAGTTTTTCAAAAACACGACAACTTCAAATGATCATATTACAATAAAGTTTTCAGATTTGTAGAAAACGATAGAACAAATCCATATACAAACAATCAGTGAGAGACAAGAAAATAATGTGTAACTGACCGTTACTGAATAACAGTCATTCGTGACCTTTTGATAATTGATTGCATATGTTGCTGCTGAAATGACTCTATCAAACAGAGTTACTAGAGGTAATAGGTAGTATTTCCTGCTATATATCTGCATCACTTTTTTCTTAATGCAATGCGATGTTTTGGTTGTTGTGAAAAAACGCCAAACCCTCACGGAACACTTTTACTGCGCTGTTCCTCTATCTTTGGCAGTGATTATGATAGAATATTTATCATGCAAAATAAAATATGGAAACAAGCAGAATTATCTCCCATGGAAACTTTTTTATTCAGAGATACCTTATATCAGCACAAGATGGTTAGAAAGTGTAGTGAACTGCCTTTCCTTAACAGAGCCAAATCTAACTCTACTTTCATATTATCAGCTTTCTTCATCGCCGTACACGCAATAGCAATACTAACTATTTGTTACTTTCTGTGGTAAATAAATAATTGAAGATAAATATAATTATGCATATAACAACTGCTTAGGAGGATATTATCAATGGTCAATTGCAATTTCAATGGTGCTCCAGAGCTTGGGAATCAATGCATTGTGATGCAATGTAATATTACAACAGTAAACAGTCAGATTACTTTTTCTTAGTCATCGTCATCTTCAGCTTTAGGAACAAATATTTCACTGTCTCTGAGGAACTGAGCTGCTTCTTTGGCTAAATATGCGCCGAGTCCAACTGATGACGTCGTTACAAGAACTAACTGCAATTAATTCCATCATTTACACCCAGTAAGGAAAGAATGACGAAGAAATTAATTAGTTTTGCTTATGAATAAAATATAACACACAGATTAGGAGTGATTCATAACATATTTTTCGTGCTTAGAAGATTACAAGAGTGAAAAGAAAGAAAACAGCTCCACTTAAAGGTCACGTTTTCATGAAAACTATCATGTGAACAAAAGCGCTTAACAAGCTAAAGTTAGTGAGCAGAGGAGCAAACTTTAAATATCCCAAATGGAAGTGTATAAGGCAATGAATCGATCGGTGAACTCTCCAGATTTGTAGAGATGGATGTGGGTGGCGAAGATCGAGCAAAAAACTTGCGACGCATTCTCAACAAAAACGATGCAATATGGTTCATCAAATAGTACTTCACTCCTAAAAAATTTGTTCAGTACAAAGGACGATGAATAAAAAGAGGCATATAACTGTCCCGGTTTAAACATCATGAATAATTCGTACAGAGCTGTAGAAATGCAATGAAATATGTTGCAACCAGAAAAATAGACATGCTTCAGTGGATATTTGAAATTAATTAAAGCAAACTGGAAATGACATGCCTTGTAAGCATTAGCAGACACTTCTTGCAAAGTAGCCTCTGCAAGTAGCGAGTGAAAGTGAATTAGAATTCAATGAAGAAAACTATCATAGTGCTCCATTTTCGTCTCAACATCAAAATTATTCAAACTCGCAGAATCTTTCTCTGGAAACTGAACCCAATAAATGTTGAGACGAAAATAGACATGCTTCAGCACAAAATAAATGGTGTAAGGAATATATATGCAAACTTCATTTCTGCAATATAACCAAAATCAAATCCAATCAATATCATAAGAAGATGAATTTTCTTTTCTGCATTATTGATTCTGGCGCTGAATAGTAATTAGGCACTCTCTCTGCACGCGCTTCGAAGTTAGTTCTGCTGAGCTGATTTCCGTACTTCGTCCTCGTGGCACTGATCGAATAAGATGCTTTCGAGCGTTTTATTGAGTACTGTCGACTGGATATATGACTTGACATGATCGAGATATACTGATCTCTGCATAGCGTTTATGGAATTTCGTCACTATCCCATCCCAAGTCATCACATACGGAATTATTTTTATTCTGCATTTCACCTCTGACCCGAGTTCATTAGTCAGTAAATCATTCTTTTGCTTTTTCTCTGTCTTGACTGCCATCATCAATCTGTACTAACTGGTAATGCCAACCTATATCTAGAGAACTTCGTGTCGCTTCTCGTCGTACACCAGGGTGTCCAGTCGATCCGCCCTTATTCTGTACAAATAGTGAGACCTGTACAAAATAGAGAGACGGAATTGCCTGAATGGTAAAGAACAGGAAGCAAACTACCTACCTGATTCCTAAAGGTGCCCCAAGTAAAAGCAGCAACTTCACGCCAATTACTTGTATGTTGAACCCTTACAAGTTGACAAAGAAATGTGGCAGGTATCATGAATGTTGTCAAGATGAGCCTACTTACAGGAAACCATCTAGGAAGGTTCCATGTGGGGAGAAGTAGGCACTGTTGAACCTGGCGATTTGCAGAGATTGCGGGAACCAGCTCTGTACTACGTGGTATGACATTAAAAAAGTGTTCGATTTAGTTAATCACGAATACATAATTAACTATATTGAAAAGCTCAATGTGCTAGCGGGGATCGATAGGTTCCTGAAAACCATAACACCCAGATGGTCAGTTGTATCGAAAAACAATCGAGATACATATCATGATAAATAAGAAAATACAGTGAGAAGTCCTTCAGAATGAGTCTTTCTATGCTGCTGTCCGCTTAATGCTTGGACCCATTGACTGCTCAATATCAGATACCCAAAGGTGGCAGTTTCTACTTATCAAGGAATTCATGTAACTGACTATTCATTATTTGTTGATGATCTCAGCGAATAATGAATAATTCGTAATATGTATTCTAACGAGAATATCACGAAAGTTAAAAACGAGAAGTACAGAGATTCTTTGAAACAGTGAGGTCAGCCACTATATGTGCTGATAAGGAAGTAGCTTGTAATAGTGGTAGATAAGACTGGAAAGCCATGATAAAGTTTAACATAATATTTTTATGAGAATTGAGTGATTGATCGAAACTTCATCAAGGAGCATACCAAAAGTCTAGTGAACTGTTGTATTAGAGTGCTAATTTTAGGAAACATTGAAGACGGTGGAACATCTGGCATCGTAGTGTGAGAAATAATGTATCATGACTATACTAGAAGCAAAGTGAGATGCTGCGATGCATCAACCTGAGACTCAGTACATCAGTCTTCACTTCAGTGACAATGACATATTAGTACTTTTAAGGTGGGTAGCATGTGGTAGGTAATTCTGTAACTTGATATGTATTTAATAGCCAGAATTTACAGTTTTTAGTGATAAATGTGGGATCAGTTAATCCGTAAATATTTCTTTTACACTATTTCTAACTTCGTCATAAATTAATTTTTAAGGTATGCTCATATTTAATCCATAATGAATGCCTAACGACGATAAATTAATTATATAAGAGGAATGGATTAATATGAAGTCCCCTATGTTCTAGACGTAATAATCTCACTCATAATTTAGATTAATATACAAAAGTCCAATGAAGGAACCGATTAAAAAGGGGCCAAATACCTATCCTTGATACACCACACTTTCGATGAAGGGAACTTGTAGTGATTTTAAAAGTCTAAATCCATTTATAGCAACTTCAACATACTTTTGCTCTTTGCAAACTATAACATGCCACAGTAGTATGTAAAGATCTCGTCTCCCGATGGCTCGTTTAAAAAATGCTGAGATGATGTGCCAACTTTTTCCAACGGCTTAATTCATGGCAGTGCTTTGTGTTGTTAATAACAAAAAGATTTTGAGTTACTTGCTGTTCAGTTGTATGGAAGCAGACATTCCATAATCGTTATAAATTGAAATGCATACAGAAATGTTGTATTTAAAAAAGTCGAAAAACTCGTCAGAAGTGTATTTTGTCTTCATATGAAAAATAGATTCTCGTGTAGTATGCAAATACATTGCACAAAACTACATATTCATAATAATGATTACATTGCTCTAGAGAACCTATTTTGACAATAAAGAAGGCATAACACAGTTAAGGGAAGTCATTTTAGAATAGGCATGTGCGTGCAACCCTTCTTGCGACTTGTCATGTTGAAACTGCAACTGTGATATGAACAATCGTCGCTTATAGTAAATTATATGTTCAGGAAATCTCAAAATCTTAATTTTGATTGGGGTTTAGAACTTTAAAAGTCACTTCAAGTAGCAAAGCGTTTGTTATGCGAGAAGAAAATGAATTATTAGATGTAGATGGTTATTTATGTTCTTTTCTTTGACTCTTTTTCATGGAATGAACACTAAATTTTGAATTAATATTCTATGATGATTTAGTCAAATAATTACAGGTAACTGTAATATTTTTTTGATGCTTTCACAGAATGAACAATTTTTACCAAAATATAAAAAATTATGCATTACATGTGCACACATATTTTTTAGCAAAACATTTCCGTGAATCCACTTGATAGTAAGTGGGGAATAATAACTAATCATCAAAAGAAATCTAAGACTGATGCATAATGAACTACTTTAAGTGAATGACATAAACACCAATTTATTTTAAAAAGGCACAATGGAATTTGATTTTTGAAGATTAACAAATAGTAATCAGAAAGCCTGAAAATCTTCAAAGTTTCATCTCTTACTGAAAGAAATCATTAGCATGATCACACGTATCTATAAATGCATATAAGTGCAACGTACTCATAAAATTAGTAATACTACATAATGAATGTATCAGAGAACTTCAATACCAGAAATTACGTGAAACTCATTACTTTACCTTTTAAAACTGCTGTAGGATACGGCTTCCAAACAATTTTATTTATTCATACTTAAGCAGCCAAATAAAATAAAGCATCCTAAAATTTTCATGATGTCTAATTCCACTCATGTAACAAACCTTGTATGATGGAAACAGCTTTCATACATTTTTTATTTAGAACTAGTAACCATATCATGAAATGGTCATTTTCAACGATCTTACGATATTTTAGAATAGTTAATATAAGGCAATGAACTACAGGTAAAATAGTGATTACTTTCAAGTATTTACTGTCGTGCAAAAGTGGAACCATTAAGACCCCAAAAAATGCTTATTGCTAGCGCAACTACAGCGATCCCACCAGTAGCACCAACCAAAATATAATTTGGTTTTGATACCAAAGTTGATGCTTGCTCATTTTCTCGAAGATAATCCCTTTCTAGTGCTGTTAGCTGCTCTCGAATGGGATACCAGTCACTTGATGAACCACGGTCACATTTGAGATTTTGTAAACTTTCAACGGCGATGATTAGCTTTAAATAAAACACTGAGACCATAAATGAGGATGAATTTCCATTATTAAACAACAAAGGTTAAACGTGTATCTGTTAAAAAGAGCACTTAATTTTGCACACTGCAAAAAAAAAATTTTCTCGAATCACAAACAAATTTGGCTTACTCCATCAAAAAGGCAAATTTTTAAAATACCTCATGAACATCAGCATCGGCTGATATCCATACGTAACCACTATTCTGCATGAGTAAAATGAGTTGACAAACAAATGGAAGTTCAGGAAGACGAGTATATAACTCAATATACATATCCGTCAACAATGGCGTTTCTATTTCATAGAAACTATAGTTAACAATACCATCAAAAGCCCGAACAATTAATTCGTAATGACGCACTGGGCACCTTAAAATCTTTTTGCAGTTCAATTTTGATTCACTAAAATTGAGACTAGCTAAAAGTAATCACTTTGAGAAGAGTGAAAATTCTTAAAATCGTTAAATAATACTTCAATTCTAACTTCTGTGATTTATAACAGCTATTTCTAAATATATTTATATCATTTATAAATGAGGTGAAAATGATGGATTCTATATTTGCAGAACCTTCCTCACACTCTTTCTAATAAAATCTATGTTGTTAACTAGTAATCATTTTTCTATTAATGGAAACTCCATTTCTCATTAAACAAAGAAAATTATCTCCGATATTTGTTTTTTTATTTCAAGTTTTCTGAAATAATCAAATGATGGAACAGAAAATAGTATTTATAGAAATCTAACCGATCGTTATCAGCCACTAGCAAAACTTGTTTCTCGCCATGGCACAATTCGGCTAAGTTTATAATTGATTCCAGTTGTTCCCAGGTTTGCACAGTTTTGGCACCTCCTAACTCATGCGACTTGAGGAATGAGAAAAACTCACTCTGGAAAAAAATCTTGAAAACTGTGAATGCTTCGAAGAACAACCGATGTTAAATGCTACCGAAAGATCCTTAGACTTTGAAACTAAAAAGATTTTAACATCGTTAGTTATAATTACTCAGATAAAAGTTTCATTCACTTTGTTTGCCAAATTACTATCGTATCGAAACAACCGTCCACTGACAACATAAACCAAATGTGGTTTAGAAGCATTCTGCGCAGAATAATCGTTGAAAATACCATTATTTCTCCAGCTACCATAAAATTGATAGCTCAAAGATCGTCCATATGTAGTTTCATTATTCTGTTCCGAGAACTCGCGAATCCATTGAGGAATCTTTGAAAAAAATGTGCAGTTCTGAGTTCCAGTAATTATTACATTTCTATGCAATTATAAAGCAAAACACAGATGGCACCAGTGTTCAATTTAGTTTGCTTACTTATAGAGGAAACCCAATTCGAGCAACGAGTCATTCACAGCTAAACAAGCCAGAACAAATCCACAGTAGTTGCATTAGTTATTGCAAGAGAATGCTTTGTTTGTTTTTAATATGCATAAACACGAGGTTAAGAATGGGCTGCTTTGATAATCTACTACTGTCTTCATCCTTTTTCCACTCACTTATGACCTTCATTTACATGTCTCCGAATTCATTTTTAATTTTTACATGTTCCCTATCGATAAGTACTTGCACTATACAGAGAGAGCTGTATCGCAAAACAGTTCTTTCCCATAAGAGCTATTAATCTAACTTCATGAAGCCTTACTACACCTTCAACAAACATTATTAACTAAAAATTTCAAAAACATAGTTTCTTGTATTAACTTGCGAGAATAAGAATAGTTTACCTGAGTTTGGGCATGGTAACATTGCTTGACACAGGACAATACTATAAGCCTTTCATTTGAATCTAGTTTCTGCTTAACAGCATTGACAAGACGTCTAGTTTTGCGATCATAGACAGGGTGCTTACTAGTTTCTAAGAGATTAATTTCAGTTCCAAAGTGCCGATCCCATGGTTGTATCCCAAACCCGCCAAATGGCCCCCAAATGGCTACAATTAGTGCACATTGCACTATCAACATTTACTACTTTGGAGAACTGAATAAAACCAATTTGACTGGTTACAATGTTTCGCTATCACTGCCTGATAACGTGAATTCCGGAATGGACAAAATTGAGTAAACGTTTGCTTCAACTTTTCCCTTTTTTAGTATATATATGCAATGATTGCACTCGTAATATAGAGAAATTATGTGCTAGAAACACATCACAAGAACTAAAATATGACCAAATGATGCTGCTTATGATAAATATTTAATTTTCTAAATACACGACATTATGAGAAATTTCAGAAGAAAATGAATTTAAGAGTCAATAAATAATTTTCAGGGGGAAATTTTAAACTGATATTTGTGAAAAAATGTTATTATTCATTTTTTCAAGAAAAGCAAAAGTCAGCTTCATGTCAAAGACGATCATGTGTCACGGAACCAAATTTATGGTATTCAGAGTCACTCATAGATTTTCTGAACTCATGACTTGCATCAATCATTTACCTCGCAAAGAAGATACTTAAACACTAGAATTAATATACTTATCTTTAAATCTTAATGCTCCTAGCACCTTTAATCCTTTAATCTCCAAAATGCCTTGGCTTTAGAAAATTCAAAAAAATTTTCAAACTAACACGTGAATTATAATCAGAGTCGCTTAGTTGAATTAATGCTTTTTTTTCAAACAATTAAGTGTGCTGTAGTCTTTATTCACTGACAGTGACTAACAAAATAGAATATGAAACTTTAAATATGCTTTAGTAATCGTTACTACTAGTAAAAAATAAAATATTGCTCACATTTAGGCAGTGAACTGGTGAAATCAATAACCTCACAATGATAGATAAAAAACTAAATAATTAACTAATTCAACTTGACAAGCAATAAGTTTGCAAATGAAGGATAATTTGAACACCGCCATATACATTTGCTTCATATGAAACGCAATAAGTAAAATATCAAAACTAAAAGTTTGAAGATTTCAGTGGAAGAAAGGAAGAGCAGCTGGTCGTTTCATTTATCATATTGCATAGCTTGAAACTCCTCTTCCTCACCCAAGATAAAATAAATTGTAATTGATAATAGTAGAGAATTTTACTTTTATACCATTATTAATTACAACTTATTTCTTACAGAATATAAAACTTTGATTATAGCTTTAGTCACTGTTAGTGAATAAAGACTACAGCACACTTAATCATTATTTGAAGAAAATGCACTAATTCAACCAAGCGACTCAGTGAGCAATAGGTCGTCGATTAATGGTTGAATAATGAACTTAAAGTAATTGAATTAGTGATAATAAAACGGTGAAAGATCGGTTGATTAATGATCTTGTGAAGTAATAGAACACCGAGCGGGAAAGCAACATCACCCATCTCAATCAGCCACACAACTAAGCTAAACTAATGAGCCATTCATTCATTCACTCCTTTATTCAACCTTCCCCTACATACTCCTTCAATCTACTATGGACGATTTCTTCTTCGTTTGTATTCTATACATTTTGCTGTTTCTGAATTCTACTCTGTCGAACAAGGAAATAATTCATTCATAGCAGATATCATTACTGACAAATAGTGATTATAAGTGTCAAGGCTGTTAATGGACGTGAAGTCATCTGATATCATAAAAATATTTTTCATTTCATATTTGCTGATTGATATTTATCGTATTTTCCGATATTTTTTTTGCCTAAACTTCGTTATATCTTTATTCTAGTTTTCATATTGTTTGCTTGTCAAACTCCCCTCCACTACTGCTGAGATTTGTTTTGTTATCATTCATTCCTGTAAAACTGAAGCTTATTTAATTTACTGGAAGCACTTAACATATTTGACATGTATTTAGTTACATACTTATCGCATTTATGAAAAACGAAATAAGAAACTTTGGGAAGAAACCAGATAATCAATTGAAAAGAATTATTGCTTTTATAGTGTCAGATCTATTTACATATTTTTTGATTTTTAAGAACAATTCAGATCTATTTACATATTTTTTGATTTTTAAGAACAATTTTAGAAAGCTAAAACTTTCAAAGATACAGTTAAGTGTTTTTTTTTCATATTAATTTTTCTTGAATCGAAGTCTAAATTGGTGAGAATTTATAATTCCAAAATTTAAGTTGTGAAATTAACTTACGGAATTGAGTAACTCAAGATATTGATTATATTTAAGTTCGCTTAGTGTAAGTTGTCCATAAAGAAATTGTCTATAAAGACTATTTCCAGTACTTTGCATATTTCATCGACTCTGACTTTACCTTGCTTCAAGAATCGTCTGCCACTTCATAATCATTTTGTGGTATTTTCGCAGATACCATTTCTTCCTTATCTGAAATAGTTTTGGAAGGAAAATTCTCGTTCTCTAATTAAATAATTACAGCGAAAACTAAATGGATTTCACATTTGACTGCTTCTTGGTGTAATCAGTTTAGCATTCTAGCTCAACAACTTTTATAATTTCCTACATTTAAACAATAATTGTGCTTAGCTCATTCTGAACGTCCTGATTGTAATTGAAGACATTCACGCACACTGTTTGATAGACCTCTTACACATTTACACCATCAATATGCACTGTCATTGGTTTATCAGTTTTCTATACTTCGGTCGTTGATGCTTCTATGCTACTATTATAATGTTCAGTTCATTAAAGCTGAAAGTAATTACGCAGTCTTTATGCATTTCTTGGATTTAGTCCTTGTCAGCCAAGGACTAAGTTACGTTCTTCTAATGTGAGATCACTAATAATGAGAATCTTAGATTAGTCGTCAGGAATATTGTTTTACAGTGATACTTGCTGTTCGTCCGGAAAACCATTACTCTGTTTTGCTTGAATTTTTTATTATAAGAACTTTTAGTTAGGTTGATATGGTGAGATTGGTTTTTGTGCCTTCTTTGATGTTTAAAAGTACGAATAACTCCCCGCCATTTTTTTTCACTTCAATATACTTTCCTGATAATAATGCATCGCTCGAGACTTGCTAGAAATATTGTGCAGCGATAAATTCTAATTTCACTGACACAAACTTTGCGTCTTAAGAAGTAAACTAAGATGCTCTAAAAAGTATCTTGTATCAACTCCAGATGCTTTATACTAATGATAATTTAGTGTTCCTCTGGAGTGACGGTGAGAGTTTTTAAGGGTTACACTCTGATCTTTCCCACATCATCCTTAAACGATGGAAAACAGCACTTGGTTACCTGAACGCAAAAGCGAAATTCTCAGTCTTTACTAGTCGAAGATTTTCACAAGGAATCCATAAACTTTTCCTCTAACCTTTATCTTACACTTTCTTGTCTTAGTAACATGATGATTTCACTTCGTGATGGCGTGTAAGGACTCTGTCTGTAAAGAAATTTTTGGAAATGGTCACTGGAAGTAAGCAAATTACTAAATGTTAGGTTATGGAATGCTTCTAATTATTATTTTGGTATTGAGAAAAATACACTAATTAAGGCTACAACAGAGGTTAGAAGTAGGGACAGGGAAGGCGCGATGCTTTGCATTAACAAGCGATGACATCGACAAGCAGCTGAGTAGGTCATCCAATATTACCTCCAAAATCTTTGTTCTCAGGTGAAAAAAAATCCCTTGCCGCAAAACCAAGTTAGTGGAGATATTGCTATATAAAAAGTTCGAACCGTACGTGGGTAGCAGCGAAAAAGCGAACTAGTAATAGAATGTGGTGATTTGCACTCAGTTTTAAGGGCAACCTTTTGCCCCTTTATTTTAGTCATGTTTTTTATTCCCGAAATGCTGTTGGATGCGGCAGCAAATGTGAATAATATAAAAATCAAATTTCAGTGATAGTCAAGTTGGATCTGTTTCAGTAATCGAATGAGAAGTACTAGTGAATATGTACTCTATCAAAGTAACTGTGGTAAGTAGCAGTAGTAGTAAGTGGTTGAATGCATTGATTTCCGTAAAATGTTTAAAGTAGCGTAAAGAGTGCGAAGGTGAACGGATAGACAGACGGGTGGATGAATGACTGAGGAAATAAATGAATGGAAGATTGAGTGAGTATTTGCGAAGCAGTTATTTTTACACTTCTGTTCACAAGACTCACATTGATGCTTGCTAATTTTGTTCCTCTTATCTAGCAGTAATTTTATACATACTAGTGGTAGCTAAGAGAGGCAAAACGCATGAACGCGTGCTCGTAGATTTTCTTAAGTCAACTTGGGAGTTTTTTTTAAGCTTTTACTTCAGTCAACTGCGATTTCCATAGCGAACATATGGGATGAATGGATAGACAGGTCTGTCCATCAGGTAAGTTTCCTGCCAGACTTTTGCTATTAATCAGTTGCCGAGTATTCAAGCTTTTATCATATATCGATACTTTTTACTCCTCTTTAGTGAAGTTCAGAGACTAGATTAGTTGACTACTGTACAACCATTTTACTCAACATTAATTTAAAAAATGGCATCGATGTCTGCAAATGAATCACTGTTCTGGAAAATTGCTGTTTTAGCCGTAAGATATGATACTCCAACATTCATTTTTGCTGAGGCATTCGAAGACATGTGCGAGTTCTTCCTGTAATGATAAATGAGACATACGTCACAGTTGACTTCTTTTTATGAGGAAAGGAATATCTTACTACTCCTTCCTTCTGTAAAGGAGTTAAAAGCATGTGAAATACCTGAAGTCCATCGATCACATTATTCCAGATTTTGACGCTTTGTTCTCTTTCAGCAATAGGCATTTTTGTTCAGGTTTACACAGCTTTCAGTGTTTCTTTGGATTAGATTTGATCTTTTTACTCTCTCTCATATTTTCCTTAATTTCTCTATTCATTACTTTTCGCCGAGAACACTCCAAAAGCAAAAAGAAATGCTAAGCTTAGTTAAAATAATTGCCATATTTCTTTTATTGACTCAGTCAGAAAGAATTAAGTTCGATCACCTGAATGACTGCTTCTGGAAATGAGAGAAACTACGAGCAATCAATATTAGGAATGAGTGGAAAACATGATTCTAGTACCAATACTAACTGGGTTAACTGTATCCAGGCTTTTCCGGAAAAATTCTTGCAAGCAAAAACAGTATGGATTAAGCTCATTCAACCCAACCTCTGCTTTACAGATACGTTGTCAGATAGCTAATACATTTAGTTTCCTGCAGTCACTTTCCCATTTGCTGAAAGCACAATTTCTGCCAGTTATTGCCTCGAGTTACACTGCTTCACCTCTGCTACTTGTTACCGTTTTGTAAAATGTCAACTTTCGCTATTATTTCTATTTGTGTTACTGCTTGTCAGATCAAAAATTAAGGGAGTGATTTATAATTGATAATCTTTTGAACATTATCAGCAGTGACACTGAAACATCGATTACTGTGACTTGTTTTTTTCTACGGCCTACGATTAGATCTTCCTCTTGTCTTATGGACCAGTTTCGCTTGCGAAATCCTAATTCGTCTAATTTCTTCTGTTTTGCTCTTATTGCTAATGCCAAATGTTGAGTTTGTTATGTTTGCGTACTTGCCGCTAATATTCTTTTTTAAGAAAGATGAGATTAATTTTGAAACTGCTCGAATTATTTGGCGTCATTTTAACTTTATTTTGTTGCTTCTGATGATTTGTCAAATTCGCAGCGCAACTGTTCATGATTGCTTGTTCTGATAAATGAATTTAGGATCTGGAAATGTCATGCCTGTATGTATGTCTACTTACTAATATTCTTGAATTTCTTGTTAAATTTCCGTCAAACAAGGTCTGCAGCTTCTAAGCTCACTTCCTGCTACTGAAAGTATTGGTGGAAGTGAATCGTGAAAGTAAGGTTAAGACTCTCGTTCTCTCTCGTTGGTATTAGAAAAAAGGATGAGTAAATGGGCGGACATGTGAAGATGGTAGAGATGACCTTCACAACTATCTATCTCTTTTTCACCATCTTTTACATCAGAAGCATTCTTTTTTCTGTCTCTTATTGTCAAGGACCTTCTCTTCTCATTGTCGTCTCACTAGTAAATTTCCATTATTTTACAGTTTTTTTCATATTCTTATGTTAAGACATCGCGATAGGATTATCACTGCTAGTGATGAAGATTTCTTAATTGATTCTGAGATGAAACAGCCTGCTACAGCTGTACCAACTTTTATAAAGCAGTTTCATTTGTTGATGCAAATGGAATCCAGGCAAACCCTTATAGATATGTTATTGTGTAATCAGTTGCTGATTTTGATGGCGTGAAGGTGTAATAGAAGTGTATCACCATTTCGTATCTTCCACTACAGGAGAATAGCACCTAGTACTGATCAGTTTTTTTGCTGTGATCTAAAACTTATTTCAGTATACACCTGGTGATGGACTGCAATAACCTGACTATTCCTTTTTTTGATTTATGCATTTGATCACTTCGCATTTAGCACTGAGAAATGATTTAAAACAAGTAAAAGTTCATAACTAAGGAAATTTTTCGTCTGTGATGACGTATAGTTCCTGGGACAAAAGAAATGAATTGAGTAATAGTAACGAAATATTATTTCGGAAATTTATGATGCGCGTTATGTTTCAGCGAGAATTTCACCAACAGCCATCTCTAGGCTTTTGTAAAAACTCTTTTTCAACTTTAGTGATGAAAAATGGTCGAAAAATTACCAACTACGAAGTCTAAAATAGCAGCCAGTAAGCTGAGTAGTGTCAGAAATAGTTTATTCAGTGGTGTATCACCGCTTATCGGCCGCAATAATAAGAACAGCTATCCAACTCCTGATAAAAGTCACGAGACGACAAAACGATTTTCAAGGTTTATGTTACTGTCCTTTTCTGTTAAGTCTTACAAGTCATTTGAACTATTGTTTATGATGTAGTTAGTTTTAAGCCATCATTGCACCATTGTTTGTGCATGTGAAAAAAATTAATACGAGAATCTAAAGACTTTGAAATGAGTTTTTATTTCAGTGACTGCGTTTTTAAGAAAAAATATCAAGTTTTTTTCACAACGCAGGGTTTTTTCAGCTTTGTCAATGTTAGTACTATTTTAAGTTTCTGGTCATGTGCAGCTTTATCCTACCATATGATTGTATAAACTGGTATCAAAAGAGATTTTTTGCATGTTTCTTGAAAAACTTAGTGGAGTTTTTTAAAACACTGCAAATAATAAGATGCTGTCACTTCAGTATCAAGAAACTAGTCGATCAAGACCATTTTCATTACAAAAGCGTCAAATTAGGACCGATTGGTGTGACTTTAATTGCTTTCGAACCCGACGCTCGAACACCCATCAAGCAACTTAAGTTGCAAGTTCAAAGTGGTGGACGAAAATGGTTTCTCTATTAATCATTTATTGAATGATTTAAATGTATTTCACCAAAGTTTGACTCTTTTTTGTAAGGGGCAGTTATTGTGATTCTTTCCAACGCTAAATATAATCCTTTGCTTTCAGCTCCTAACTTACAATATAAAGTATATTTTCAAAAAAGGAACAAAAATCCCGAGATTTCCGTGTTTTATGCGATAGATTGGATGTCTTTCTTTCCTTTTCTTTAATCCACATTTCTGTACATTATTTTGTTTCGGTATGTTAATCATTTTAGGAGTATAAACCGTAGCGTAGAGCAGCTGTGTGAGTTTGACCAACAGTTACATAGTTGCGTATTCAGTCGCTCATACAGTCATTTACGGGATTTATCTGCGGAATTAAAACAGAATGATCCAGAACACGCTCGAGTGCATATTGTCCTTTTTTTGCAAAGATTGTCACATATCACTGGAAACTTGATGCGCTGTAATTCGGTTTTAAAGTTTTTGGAGGTTTATAATTTTTTTTAACTGTTGAGCTTTGTCCTGCGTAGTTTCATTTTTATCGTATTTTTTGTCGTTTATTACTGATGTAATTTAGAAATTAAAGTAGTTCAAGAAGGATATATTTTATCAATAGTATTTTCTGGCTGAATGTAGTTGTATAGATTTTTAGTTTCACTCAGTACTTATTTTCCACTTCATACTCAGCGTTTTTCGTTCATAATATGGTACTGACAAAGAACTTTCAAAGTTCTTCTGAATTCATCTACCAAGTAAATATAAATAATAAACAGCTATTTCTTCCTTTCATTATATATATAATGAAACGAAAAAATAGCTGTTTATATATATGTTTATTTACCCATTCATATAAACCTCCATGCGATATTGATTTGATATATCTGCAAATAAATGAAGCACAAATCAAGCCTCCTTAAATTTGTAGATGGACAGTCATGGAAATCGTTTGATGTCATTAGAAGAAACAACATTAAATAAGCCTACTATCGTTAGCGCAATTGTCACTAAGAATTTCAATGCGGAAACAAGCGACCAAATTTCATTGAGAGTATGTTTTCTTTCTTGTATTACAACGCACATTTCACGATCTTGTTCGTGAAGTGAACCAATATTTTTTCTCCGAAATGTAACAGATCCTGTACAGTCTGTTCTAAACTTGTTTCACTTTTAGTCGATGTTACCTCTCTGAAATTACTCACATTGGTTCATCACTCTTTTTTGTTACATATACTGCTCTACCACTTTCTTAAAATATTTATTGGTCAGAAGCGAAATTTTTTAGTGGAAAATGATTACTTCCAGAATAGTTAGAGTGAATGAATTATGTCATTCATACTGTCAGTTTGAGAATCTTTTCGGTCTTTTATAGTCGAAGATTTCATCCTGCAGTGTTGCCAATATTATGTTGTTGATGAGTACATGAATGTGATATACAGATAAAATGTAATAACTTGTATTTCCGCATGTACTAGCTTAACTTGAAATTTTGCTGGTTTTAAAATTATCGTAATTAACTCATGGATTACAGCGTAATATATAATAGTAATATTCAGCATGATCTTTTGCTGATTATTCACTATTACACTTTCAGAGGAAATTAAACTTAGATAAACCATAAGCATGAGCTTTGTCATTTCGAGGTCACTGTTGGATGCGCAGTTCCTTCGAAACTGGGTAGCAGAAATGTTTCATTTTCATGGATTTTCCTTCTTTCATTTTATTTCAGATATGTATTCTCTACCTTTCATTGCATTTTCATTCGGTTATAATTGTGCTCTACTCCTATCAATTCTCTCCTCTAGCTGTACTCTCATCTAGCAATTATTTGCACAACTGCTAATATTCTGCGCATCTGCCTTTGCAGTTTATTGAAGTAATTCGATTTTGTATGCCGTATTGTATGACCTGTTGGCTTGTTTTTTCATCTGAATTGACTGCGAAGATTCCCTTGAGAAGCCATTTTATCAGATATGCTTTTAGTCTGTATCGAAAATTAGGATTAAAATGTACATTCGAAATAGAATCAAGATACCAAGTCAAGTACATATAATTCCCTCATAAACGTGCTGAAATCAACTTCCTTGTCTCACTTAAAGTACCCGAAAATGAAGCTGATTCCTGATCTGTTTCCATTGTTTCAACTCTTTTACATTTTTTTCAGATGGTGTTTAATTTTTTTCATACGTCTATATGTTGTTTCCTAAAGATTCAACATACCGTATTATCTAGATATTTATCATAATGAGAAGTTTCTAAACGTCTTTTGCTTTGTCTTGTTGATTCTGATTTTCTCTAAAGTAACATGAAGAGTGCAGCAAATAAAAATTTAACAATCTAGTGATTCGGGTTTCATCGCAGGAGAAGTTAGCTTAGGTGTAACGGCCTGAGAAAATTCAGTGAGTACAGTTTGATACAGTATTCGCATCTTTAATTTGAATTTTGATATTAGTCATTAAAGATTTTGAAAATTATGAGAATTTGGAGAGAAGATTAAATAATGGTGCTGGTGTATTTGTTGCGAATTTTCTACTAACTACTGTAAACAGAGTTTATTTAGATGACATGCATAATTGTAAGTTAATTTTTCTCGCTTAATTTCTTTCAGTGGCATAAAAAATATATAGGACTGATTTTTGTAGGTTAACAGTTGGTAATAATGGGCTTTCTCTGCACTATAAGTGTTACCGGTCATAATTTTTGAAACTTCTTCACATTTAAGAATAATTCTGAAATGTTTGCTTTTTTCCAATTCACATTTTATTTTGTAGGGCATTAATTTCAAAGGAAACTTGTCCATCGTTTGTTCAAATTCATTTTGTTGGATTTCGCTGAGTAATTGCCTTTTCCCATTGCTTTGGCGACCTAAATGGTTCAACATATTTCCGTCTGTCGTACTTGCCAACATTTTTAGGTTGCATTATGTCATAATCAATAGCTGCAGTAATTACATTATAGCTGTTAATGAATATGTTGAAAACAGTTTTACTAGGTTTGTTTGGAATAAGTTATTTCATATATATGTAGCCCTAAAGAGAGACCATCTTTGACTATATTTTCTGTAAGAATCACTGTGCAAGAAAAATACATTATTCAATATTGTAGCTTGTGAAGTAGTATTGTTGCATTTCTATGCCTTTAATTATTTCAGATGAAAGCTTAATCTGGTGTGAAACGGATGAGATAAAAGTGAATCAAAACAGTTTCGTCGGTAGCTAGCAAATAATTTAACTCTAAAATCATATTTTGAAGAGTGCGGGTAATATTATGACTACGGATCGTTCATGGTTACAAGCAGCTTTTCGGGTAATAGTTGAACCATGGCAATAAATTTGTAAATTTGAATGTCATTCACTGTTTTTGTTATTGACTTGGTGCTGATTTCATTTATTAATAAATTTACTCCTTGCTTATTTCATGGGCTAGAACGAGTGGCAACGTAATTTTTTGTCCATTATTTTCGTATGTATTTTTGGTTGATGATTGTTTGAGCATTATATGGAACATTTTTTCTTGACATTTAATTGTTTCATTACTTTACTGATAAAGCAGCATGATGTGACAGAAGCGCTAACCACTGTTTTCTAAAGTGATTTGTATTGTAGTTGATTTATTCTTCAGTTAGCCTTGATTCAGAATCGTTGTTCATCAGAATGCTTCATTTTTGCTTACTGTTTTTTGTTAATGTGTAAAACCAGATTCATTAATTAATTTGCAGTTATTAATTTTTCTTGTGTTCAAACACATTTAGGATGAAGCGTGGCAAAAATAATGGAAAAAAATATGAATTAAAATACTAAACGTTATTACAATTCAGTAGTGTATTAAATTGTTTTTACAATCTTTTCAGGTTGGGGATATAGTATCTATCATCGAAAAAGTGCCTTCTGCTACCAGGGAAGATAGATCGTGGTGGAAAGCAAAATTGACAATTTCTAAAGACGAAGCTTGCAAGGCTGGATTTGGCAAAAATTTTGAGGTCTTATTTTTTTGAGTCTTTTTTGAAAAAAATCGCAGGAGCCGTAATGCAGGTAGTAGCAGTTGAAATTCCTTATCTGAAAGGTGTCAGGAAATCTCTGAAGAATTTTTCTAAATATTAGCAGTCTAGAATTGCGTTATTTCAGTTTGAGTATGAAGTACAAGTGGCCATTGGAATTAAATTTCTGAAGATACCTAACTCTTAGGGCAGTGTAACAGATATATTTACTAAATTATCTACATTCAGGTGGGACTGTTTCCTAGTGAATGCGTCAAAATATTCGACAGTAAACCAGAATCACTTACCATCGACAGACAACTCTCAGAAAATGTTACTATTAAAACAGTTGAGACTAATATTCGTGGAGAGCCAATTTCGACCTTGAAAAAATCGTCAGATTGGCATCGGCCTCGAAGGGATCGTTCTTTAGTGAAATCTTTATTACGACGACACGTGGAGCAACAAGTTCCTCCTGTATTTGGAATTGATTTGGTTGAATATCTGCAGAAAACCGGTGATGATGGTTGGTAATTTGAATTTAAGGTTTTTAAAATATAAAACAAATATTTTGCGAAGTTAACATTTTCAGTTTAGCTTACAGAAAAAAATTTACGTCATAGTGACTTCACTCAACTCAGAAAACTAGAATTAGAAATCAGCAAAATTTGATTTGTGAGGTTAGTAATCACTTGAAGACTATTTGCTTTTACGTTTTTAATTAGTGAACCTAAAGTCATTACCGAAGAGCATATGCTTCAAATATTTTAGTTTCCCTTGCATGTCTTGTTAGATGCAAAATATTTTTTATATTTTTTTTTAAATTGCCATAATACAGTGCCATGTTAACTTGTCAGTTTGTTTATTTCGGTGCAAAATTTCTATTGATTTAAATTATCAATCTTATATGCATTCTTGCTTTTTCAGTACCACAGATACTGAAAAAATGTGTGGAAGTAATTGAATTACATGGAATTGTCACGGGTGTTTATCGTCAGTGTGGAATACAATCGAATATACAAAAACTTAGGTTCAGATTTATGTTCTGATTTTGAGTTTCTAATCTGGAACTACTTTAATTTCGCTTTTATTTCCATCTTATGGTCAGCGCTTGCTGTTCATAATTTCATTTTAAACCAAAGCTAATTTTCTTTAGGAATGGTTTCGATTCAGGACATTTGCCGGATTTATCTGATGACACTATTTTAAAAGATATTCATTCAGTTTCATCACTTTTAAAGCAGTACTTTCGTCAATTACCTAATCCACTTTTCACATTCGAACTCTATCCTGATTTTATTGTTCGTGTGTTTAGTAATTTAGTATTCACTCGATGTTATACCAAACATTTTTAATTGTATGATATTCGGCCAACATGAAAAATATTAGGAAATCATGATCATAATCTGTAAATATGACTGCGCTTAATTTTTAAAAAAAAATTTGTGGACATTGTTTTTAGGCATTGATTTATCAAGGTTCCAAATTACATTAATTGGAATTAATTGTTTCTGCCTTTTTGATTATCCTTGATAGCACTTACATTAACTAATTTAAAGAGCGCATACGAAACCACCGATGAAAAACAAGTGGAACGATTTAAAGATATCATCGGAAGATTACCTTGTGAGCATTACAGGTAGGTATTTTTTACTTTTTTTTTCATTCATTTTATTACAACTCGGTAGTAACCATTTTCTTGCTGAGAGCGGAAAAAGAATTTCTTTCATGGAATGAATTATTTCTGTCGAATAACACTTTGTCATTGATATTTATAATAATTTTTATTAGTTATTGTCTGCAGTTTCACTCCAGATTTAGAATTTTAGGATCACTAAAACCGCTGAAAATGATTTGATACTAGAAAAATGTTTTGACTTAATAAATAAAATAAATTCTTTTCGCTTCATACAGCAAATACCGCTTAACTTTTATCTGTTTCGTAGGACGGCAAAATATTTGATTCGTCATTTATCTAAATTATGTCAGTGTACGCATCTTACGGATATGAACTCCAAGAATCTTGCGATTGTTTGGGCTCCGAATTTGTTCAGGTTTCTTCTTACTATTAATCTGTTTATATCCTGTTTTTAAATAAAATATTCATTATATTCAGTAATTATTTGAGATGCCCACCATGTATCGATGATGGTACTGGCAGCAATGGTGGCAGTGACTCCTCACTTTTACAAGGTCTCAATGCACAAACGGGTCTTTGTAATTATATACTTGTTCACGCAGTTTACTTATTTGCGCTAGAAAAAGATTCTCTCTCACTTCCAAGAGGTCCGTATTCATGTTCTGTAGGTCATTCAAGCTAAACCTCTCCATTTCAAGCAAGGTCTCTGGCAAAATAGGATGGTAAACAAATTTCTTGTGAAATAAAACAATACACTCCAGTTTCCCAAAGAAAAGTATTTGCACTTCGTGCAATAAAAAGTTGGTAAATATTCAATAATCATACAATGAATATCAACCGCAAAACTCCATATACATATCTTCTAGTCACAAGAAGAACCTAATATTGTAAATCACGATTATTTGGATCCTATTTAGTAGACAAGTGAATGTCTAAGCATTCATTCATATTTAAATTATTTTCTATATATATATATAGTTATCATTCTCGAGTCTTTGTTTACGGAACTTTTGTAATTGCTGAGTGATTTATCTGAATGTGACCAAAAGCTATTCACCCTTTGTTTTCATTTAGATGCAAGAAGCAGATCAATAATGTCATGTATATCATCATTACCTTTGCCTAATGGTGAAGCTTTATCACAACCGGACCTAAGGAGTAAAAATTATCTTGATATTAATGTTAGCCCTGCAATGCACCCTTCATTTCGTAGCATAACTAATGGATCGAAAAAAAGGTTTAAAATTCTATATATAAGATTGTAAGTTAGATTACTTGCATTCTACAAACAGAAGATAAGACAAACGCATCTATAACTTGGTACCTAATACGTATTTGTATTTGGCGTAATTTTGAAAATTATTCTACTCTCTGAATTCGTTAACTGTAGCAAAGAAGAAATCTCTTTTAAGATTTCAATTACAATTTATAAATAATACAAGTATAGAGAGGTAAGCGCGCAACCTTGTGGTAAATGGCGACGCATGTTGCGCGGGCCTTCAGTCGATAATGCATTTACCAGCTTACGTACACGGTGGAAGAAACAGAATGGACTGCACGTGAATGATAATTCAGGGAATAATGTGAAATGGCGAAGGTGGAAAACATTTGCATTATAGTTCTTCGAAACTTGACTTTTTGGATTATTCTTCTTTGTATGATGCTTTAGGAGTCCTGTATCAGATGCACGTGTCTCACTGCGTGCCGCGCGCAGCGCATCGTTGATTTCGTTTGTCACAAAAAGTGTGGAGGAATTCCGTAACGGTGTTTTACGTAGTTGGCGTCACTGCGCACAGTCACGTGATGAATCAGTTATGAACAGTTCTGGACAACAACGGCATTCGTCAGCCACAGCAATAGCAACGGAACTCGTTAGACGTCGAGGCTTGACTAGTTTTTTGGCAGCAGATCAAAATCCATCAACAGTAAGTAATAGTTATGTTTGAACACATTTTAGAAGCTTAACACTGCTGCTTTTCAAAAATTTCTTCGATGTCAAAAGTTCTTCATTTAAAAAAGCTTTGAATTTTGGAAAATGTTTCCGTGAAACAAAAAATGACTAAGATTGTAAATTATTATCACAAAACAATGTGCTGAGAGTGCAAAATATCATGTGCACGGAATAAGTCGACGGTAGATGCAAAGCATTTCTATCAGCATTTAGATAAATTCAAAAATTAAAATTCTATTATCACTAAACCGTTGTGTTTCAGTCAGTAGATACTAAACTTGATTCAAGTCCAAGGGATAGTATACCAGAAGGGTTGTCTTTGAATTCCACTAGCCAGCCTTCTTCAGTCACTAGGTTTGTTTACCAGACATTATTCGACATAAAGCATGGTAAAAAATGAGTTCGAAAGAAAAGCTCAATTTTTTGCTACATGGTAAAAATATGCGTTATTTAGATTCGTATGCGGCAATGAGTTCGAAGAACAATGAAGAGAGAGAATTTAGTCATTTCCATTCTGTTCCAGAGATGAGTATGCAGATGATGGTTTGAGTTCATCGTCCGATAGTTATCGTTTCTTTGGTTTTTGCGATAATGAACCATTGATGGATAGAATAAGTTTGCACAGTTTGGAAAAAACACTGACGGAACAGAATTGGTCCAAAGTAGAACCTGATGTTTTACGGCTTCATTTCCACTCAAACATAGCAATGGAAAGGCGAAGGGCAGATACTGCTGTCAATTCACGATCTTCTTCTACAGATGGATGGTCGGATTTTGCTAGAAGTAGTGGAATTAGTAAAAGTAGTAGTAGCAGCACTAGTTCACATCACAATGACTGCAGTCGATATGATAATGTCTCGCCAGGTTTGATTTTGAGAAATGGCTGAGTTCCTTGTCCAAAGATTTTTGTTAAATTTCGTCACTTTCATGAAAACTGTGAGATAAAATAAAATGAAATAAAGATTAAAAAGTTCATAGCTTTTTGTTACTGACATAATTTTTATCTAAGAGTTAAAATGTTCTAGGAGGAGATGATAAAGAAGCACGATACGTGGAAACACCGCTGTCATTTTATGATTTACCGCAGAAAAATATCAGATCTGTTCGTTCAAATATTCAGTTGTACTTTTTATAAATATGGTTAACGTTACTTGAATTTGACTTTTCTACATTTCCTTCCTCCTGAAATAAATTTCTGTAGTTACAAGCCTATACCCATTATTTGTTTTACGTGTATAAAATATGATTGCAATGTAAGAAAAGCACCGGAGACGAAAGACAGATTACGGAGTGTATATAGAGGAAATGTCCAACAATTAGTTGATTTTTTAATATTACCTCAACTAAGGGAATCTAAAGCAAATAGCACTGTTTTCTGAAGCGACGATTTCTTTGAGATTGTCCTTTCAGCACTGGACTGTTCTAATTTCGAATCCACAAGAAAGCTTTTTATACAGTATCTCTTGGGATCTTTTTAGTCTTTACTTCATTTCGTTGTTGATGCACAACATCGTAGAAACAGTCCTGGAGGACCTAAAGTATAGTACTAGGGGACGGTTTGTCCGCTTTAGCAAAGCAGTGCTACAGAACAAAGACATTGAAGACTATCGAAAAACTGGAGATGCAAGACATGACATTTTCGCCAAGTTAATGACGGTGACGGTTACATAGTGATAGTCCATTTTGTTGAGTTCATCCAGAAGGACAATAATCAAAGACTTTCTGGAACTGAGTAAAACTGAGATTTTCGATTCGCAAACTAGAAAGTTTTTCGTAGAGCCTAGATTGAAGTATATCAAGCACATTGTTCCATAATCGATGCATAATGAAATGGCTCCTAACTAGGTAGAAGACGTTACTTGCGCGAAGAACGACAGCACACCTGGTAAATAGCAAATACTCCAGTAATGTTTGCATGCCATCTCTCGCTTTACTCGTCATACTCAAAAACAGGTAGTAGTGAGTGTAGATAGAACAGGTACACTTGGAGAGGCAGATATTTGTTAGCGGAGTCAGAGTCAGGGTGCAAAGGCAGAAGGAGTGGGCAGTGAGCGATGTTGTGGCTAAGCTGTGGAAGGTGCACGAGACATCAAGCTGTGCCATTGATCGGGATTTTGGTTGCTGCCAAGTTCTTTTTCTGTGTAAGTTGAAAGTTCGCACCATGAGTATAGATTAGTCAGGCTGTCTGTTTTTACGACTAGCTTAATCGATTGACATCTATAATTAACTTTGCTCCGAGAGAGTTTAACATACTCAGCATTGTTTATAATACATTTTGAGATTTCTCATTTTGTCTCTGCTACCGCAATGCTTCAACAGTTTCCAAGTGTTCAGCACTCATATCCTAAATTACTATTTTTGTAAGATAACGGCAGTGTTTGAAAATGAGATGTAGACTGTTTATGGGGGCACAATCTGCGTACAGCAAAAGGGCGGTTTGATTGTCGTTCTCACGCTTACATCATCGCAAGTTCGCGCCATAATTGACAATGATTGGTAGGCAGTTATAGCGGTAAAACGTTTTCTCTCTGTATAGCTCATTTATTATTTTATGTCAGTGATTGTCTGAGGAGACATAATCAGCAGCTGATAACAAAATAACTTACACACGATATCACCGTTGATAATGTGCCTGACGGTGTCTGTTATCATTCTGAAACTCATTTCCGAAACGAATCCAAATATTGTTATTTGAAAGATATAGCAAAAGGCATAGCAAGGTCATTTCAGATCATATGAGTTTTTTTAGTATGAAAAGTTGGGAACGTAAGGAAAGTGTCAAATAATAGTAATTAATCTATTAAGTAGTACAATTCTTGGAAAATTGGGAAAATTTTCTTACAATTCAAAATAGTTGTAGGAGTGATACGTTCACTTTACTTTTCACTTCCGTCAAGTCATTACATTTTGCGAAGTATTTGTCCCGCAGATGAAGGAATGGTAGTGTGGACGTACTTACTGCATCAACCACAGTGTCGCTTTCGCCACTTCACTTACTTTTTTCCTGTTTATTCATTCAATTATGCCATTCTATGTTCACATATCTTCTTGTATGTTTATTCTTGTTCTTACTTTGTTTTCCACTTTTTCTTCCATTCCTTCTGTAAATGTGAGGAACTTTGGAATTTCCCTGTACCAATTATCTACCATTCATGTACGCAAGTTGTTTTTCAGCATTTTTTGGTGCATTTTCTACTAAGAATGGTAGATTGCAAAATATTTCATGGGAATTGATTGCTATCGCAGTTTAATTTTTCTTTCCTTCATCAGCTGTAGTTGTAAGTTAAATTTCAAATGCCTCTCATTCTCAAATCTCTTATCGAGTCGATATCACTGATACCAGATTTAGTTTGCATATTGCTCATAAGTTAAGAAATGCATTTTATGAGGTACAGGTTAAGCTTTACTATGGCTTTATGTAAGCCAGTAATATTTGTTTTTATTTATCTTGGAAATTGGGGTAACTAAACGACGTCTTTTGTGTCTCTTTTTGCGTCTTGCTACTGGAACAAATAAATGGCTTTTGTTATTCACATTGCTTTCAAAGTAACTATTATGCTCTTTGTGGTTTTTATAGATGAAAGCACAAAAACGGTGTTAAAAAAAAGAAGTGCATTAGAATATTAGTTAATAAAGGATTTGAAAGTGTGATATACTTTGACATGAGCCTTCCATTTTAAAATAGCTCTTTACACCACAAAAAATGTATTTGTCTTATCAGTGTTCATTGATAAGAAACATTGACGTCTTGCTGTGATGTAATTTTCGATTTTTGATTTGCGATATTCACGGTTTTTTTTACAATCATCTTTCCAGATTCTTTTGTTGCTCTATTTACTCTCTCACTCATTTTTTTGCTATTTTACACATTGCTGTGTCGAGCGCATATTTTAATCCTTAGTGACGAAATCATTTCAGATCAACGCTAATGTGCATATAAACTCTATCTCTGTTGTCTTTTAATAAGACATGCATTCAAGTCATTGATAATTTGATTGAACTAATGTTGATTTTTGTTTTGCTTTTTTGCAGCGGAAATTTCGCTATGCAATTTCAATCTCAAATTTTTTATTCCATGTTTTCTCGTGAAAGACAGATAAACTGTGCATATTTCGTACGTTTCATGAATTTACTCTGCTCTCGTAAACGTTACAAAATTTTCCATGTTTTCCGGTGATTTTCGAAAAAAGCAAAAGTCTGTATGAAAATTCAGCACAATTAATTTTGTGGATTGTTACTTTAGTGATGAGTCATTAGTATCCATATTTAAAAGTGTTTTAACTATTTAGGACTGCTTACTGCAGTGACAGTGGGAATAAATGTACAAACTGGATTTTAATTTCAGACCAATTTTTAAACGCTTGATTTCTAATGAAAGACAAAGTCCCAACTGTTTGGTTCATTTGTTTTCTTTTTTTATTCTTCTACTTGCGTGCATATTTTTTAAACCTGTCTAAAAACCTTGCTATTTTTCAGTAAATGTGTCAACTAAATTTCTTGAGAAAAATTAATGACTTTACATTTACATGCTATAAGTCTTGATTGTTCTTGACTTCTCGAACATATCGTAGGTCTAGGCAAAACAGAAAGATCGAGATGTAAGGTTCTTTGATTGCTATTCCATAACAACTAGAAAAGTGCACGTTACCAAATAGTTATGTGAAGTTTCATATAATATTTGTTTTTTTCATTCTTTTGATTGTTCAGAAATTATGAAGAAAAGTTCAACTGTATTGATTGGATCGAGGTTACTAATGACAGTCTCATTTAACATTCTCGATAAAAGTATCATTGAAAGATGTAGCAGCTTAGGCATTTCTTGTTACTTATGTACTGAATGTTATTTCTCAACACATTCATTCTTATAAAGTATCAGGTAGTTTACTGTTGTGTCTTAACTAGTTTTTGCTTAGACGAAATTTGCATATTCATTTTATCATGTAGCACATGATCGACCAGCAGAGTGTGACATTTTAATTTCCTACCACCATTGCAAAAAAAAAGCAAAGAAATGGACAAGAGAAAGGTGCTGATAGATAAATAGATGGTTGTATCAGTACGTGTTGATCAGTCAGTACTTTTTCTCGTCCATTTGTAATCGGTTTGCAACTCTGCAAAAAAGCGGTGTTAAATTTCATTCTGTAGTTGCTTGTTGTTTGTTTGCGAAGCATATTTGAAAAGTGACGCATTGTATGGTTTTAGCAGAGCTTACCGAATATAGATCTCGTCTAGTAAGCAAGAAATTTTATGTGTGCAGTTTGGAGTGGCTGAGAATTTTGCTGTTAGTCATGAGAAAAACTATCGGCTCTATTTATTGTTACACTTTAGTTTGTTTATTATAAAAAATCATTTGTTTACTTTATGATAATTCAATGATCGTTTTTTGTTGATGTTTTCATCACTTTTTTATCATTCCGCGATTATTGACAAAAAAAATGAATGAAAACAGAAAATGCGAAGGTATTTGTTTACTTTTCATATTCATTTGTTGTTAATTAGTTTATCGCACTGAAAACAAGCCAATTGACCTATAATTTGCTACTTCCAGTAGATCTGGTTCCAACATTGTTTACGCAATTGTATGCAAACAGCTAAGTTATTACTATATCACTGTTCCCTTTTTTAATTAGTTATGTTAAGAGCATTTTTCATTAAGAGCTAATTGCTACTAAAAATGACTTTTTTCTTATTTCAATTCGTGTATACTTAAGAATCTAACAAGTACACTCATTTAGCCGATTATTTAATTAGTATATTTTCGATCATTTTTTTTTGATCAAATCTCATTTCATCGTTTGATTGCAGAATTAAAGATATGAAATTGGACTAGTAAGAATCGTCACTTCTCTTTTTATCAATAGCAAATGGTATTCATTTTCACTAAAAATCAGGCCCCTAGTTGTGGTTATCTTCCGACACTTATGAAAAATGCAGACCTATTCTGTTATATTCGTTCCACTTTCTCCATTCTCTATCATTTTTCTGCAAGTTCGTTAAAAATGGTTGGAAAGTTAAGGCTTAATAAACTGTACATTCTGTGGTAAACATGCTTGTTTGTTGTTATTTCTAAGCATTATTTCTGGGATCATTTTCTTCCGGCAGTGTGTATAGAAAATATGTTATGACGTTAGACTCAGTTGGTAACACGCGTTTTTGTCTAATTTGGTCCGAATTATAAAGTTAAAAGCAGACATCTTGCAAAATATGTAGAATATTGGATAAAGTAGTAAAGTGTCACCTCTAGCATGATAATACTGTTCTGTCCTTTTCATTCACTCTAAAAGGTAACATGTTTTTTAATTTGATAGTGACGCGTGTGCTATGATTCAGAATTTTATATCAAAGAACTTGGTAATAACGGTCGTTTAGGAAAATAGCAATTTTAATTTGCTTACCACTTATTATTAGCAAAGGAATTGCAGATTTATTGAATTTTCATTATCCGTACTTTGGTAATCATTACAGTTTTTAAATCTTTATAATTTAATCTGTTTTGCAAAAAATGCTTGCAGAAGTATTTTCCTTGTTGACCATTGTAATTTCGTCTTAAACGCCTCATTTGAATGTCATATTGCATTAATGTAAAAAGTATTTTCGAAATGTATTTTTCATTAATTTTACAGTGCATCTTGGAGCCAGCAGTAATAGAGAAATTATGGATTACCTTGCGCAGATCGTATGCGATTCAAGCGAAGTACAGGTGTGTTATTTTGCCGAGTAACAATTCATTATTCATGTTCAGGTTATAGCACGTAATAATTACGAGAGAAGTTAAGGCTGCTAAATGAATTAATTACATGACAAGCTTTCTGCTCTCTCTGGTCTCATACTGCTATAACACACCACTATTTTTCATCGCATTCCGCAGTGCTTCTCTTGTACAAAAGTAGCATGCAAATAAAAGAAAGTCTTCTTTTAAGTAATAAGAAACAAAAATTTTGATGTGAATTTATGAAAGTATTATGTTGAGTGAAGAGATGCAGTTTGATAGTTGCTACATGTGTCTTCGCTTGTTCCTTTCTTGCTTATAAATAGAATCGAAGTTTTGTGAACTTGACGTTTACTGTGCATATTGCCAACAACTTGACTGTTTTTACGTGGAAGAGTGAAAATTATGTTTCAATGACTTACACTAATTTGTACTCAGTAAGTAACACTTAAATTTAAGAAAGTGAAGTGTTAGAGATAAAATGGAATAATCGATGAAAATAGGTGCATGCAGATACTCATTCATCTTACCCATTTTTGCTGATTAGTCAATAACTTGTGAAATTTCAAACTTGTGTACTCTTTTATTGCATGCAGCAATGTTGGTCTCTTTGTAAATGTAAGATTTCTATATTCTCAAGCTGTTTATTTACTTGTAATCATTTTCATTCAAAAGTTGCATCTCTTCAGATACTGGATTATTCGTTCAACAGCACTGTACCACATATCACGCCCTGTACCCAAGCATCCTTGCTTGTCTTCATCCCATTTGCATTTTTAGTAGCTTTTAGTCCTTTTATTTTATATGACCTCAAAAAAAGCCGTCATCCTCCATTGGAATTTTATTCACCAACTGTTGCTCGAATAGTAAGTTCAAGAATTTATTGTAATTGCAAACATTGACAGTAATATTTCAATCGTTTATTTCATCCATTAAGTCCTATTTGATTTACGCATTGGTCACTGTTGATAGACTCTTTCTGTATTTGGTTTTCTCCAAAAATATATTCAAATTATTCGTTGATAACAGCTAGTATTTTCAGCAGTTTCTTAATTCATGGCCAGTAGTTTTCATTTACTCTCAGATAATTAGCTGAGATATCAAGTTGTGTTTTTAATCCTTTAAAAGATAAATTAGAAAGCTAAACTCAGTCTTTAAGGTTACTTTATTTTCTTTTTATTGACACTTCAATTGAATTCCTACAATAACAAGGAAATTTTCGCTTTTTCCATGTCAGATTAATATATTAGCTTTCTCTTTTCCATTCACGTTGTTCGTGATAGTAATCAATGTAGTAACTGAAAAGCAGTTTATTATGTGTGTTTTTTTTTTATTTTCAGATTCTTTGTTTTTTATTGGTAATAAACCGTTTCATTTCTATGATCATAAATCTGTTAACATGGTTTTGGGCACCATCGTCTTATCAGCCATACAGTATCACGTCCTGTTTCTGGCAAACTTTAACCTACTGTATCTGTCTTTTATTACTAATTGCATATCGCAATCGTGGTTTAATCACTTCTGGTGTCTTATTCAATTTCTGGCTTGTTGTTGCAATTTGTGCATTTCCAGAACTACGAACACGAGCCAGCTACTTCGAAGAGTCAACCTCTGTTCAGGTACACATACACACTTCTATTCATTATGAAAGGAACATCTCTCATAATATTATTTTCTTTTCTTGATTAATGTATCGGTAATCGAAAATGTATAAAATATTTCAGGCTGAAAAGCCTGTAAGCAGCTGCTTCATTACTCATCATTTGTTTTAAGGTTGAGCAACAAATATCAGTGCAGTATGTATTGTATATATTTTATTACTCGTTTGTAGTTTTCGAAGTATTTCTGTCTTGCTTTGCTGATCGACCAAAACATTGGATAAGAGATGTGAGTAAGAAACTTTTATTGCTTCTAAGTTTCAGTTACATTTCTTTATTAGAAAAGAATTTTGATTAAAGTCATGTAGTGTCATTCATTACACAGTTGTTTCAGCCTAAATTTTGTCCTGAAGATGAATGCTCTTATCTGAATAGAATAACTTTTAATTGGTTCCATAGCTTAGCAGTTCGTGGCTACAGAAAACCGATAGAAATTGATGATTTGTGGCGATTACGCTCACACGAAGAAAGTGCAAATTTAATACCAAAATTCAAACGCCACTGGGTACCTGCAGTTAATGGGGAGTTGATGAATTTTGACTTAACTTTTTAATACAGTAATTACGAGTTATATCGATTGTCAGTAGTTGCGATTTATAATTTCGCAGCTTTATGTGATTGCACACAAGAGTGCAAAAAAAATTGAAATTGTTTCACAATACAATCTTTCAAGTGTTCAGAGATCCGCTTAGTTTTGGAGAATAGTTGTCATTTCTTTATCGCAAAATAAAAGGAATCATGTAAATTTAGCAAATTTTCGTTAAAAGCTAGTGGTAATGTCTTTTAAAGCATCAAAAAATAATCATTATCTCCTTTCTATCGACCAAACTGAATTTATTTTTTGATTTTAGCATATTTTGAAAGAAAATGGGCTGCTGAAAAGGCGAATCCACCGAAGGTTTCCTCAATTTTTTCATTTGCTAATGAGTATTTTCGCCTATTTTTACATTTTACGCCTTTCATTTGTAATAATATATGTAATTCTTCAGAAGCTTGGTCCAAAGTCTCAACCATCATTAATATGGGCGCTTGCAAAAACCTATCGTTGGACTATATTTGCTGGTGCTGCGATGAAATTCATATTTGATCTTCTAAATTTTGTCAGTCCTCAACTGCTCAGGTTCTCATATTTTAAGTTGTCGATATTTGCATTTCATTTTTTCTCTTGCAAATTTTTATCGTATTTATTCTGGAGAAAGTTTTGCAGCATAATATTTTTCATCTTTTAGCTTCACATCAATATTTTTTTCAGTTCATATATACCGACGTAAATTTGCTTCATTTTTATTGCTATTCAAAAGAATTGTTTATTTCTTACTTCATTGTAGTTCTCAGAGATTGTACTTGGTTAGGATATGCTTGCTTCTACATGAAACTAAGAAATATTTTTAATAATGTATGAATTTGTAACCTCCTGAAAAAATATATCTTTCAGTGCGCTAATAACATTTATCGATGATATGAAGCGACCGTTTTGGATGGGTATAGCTATATCATTATCCATGTTTTTTGTTGCTGCTCTTCAGTCAATGGTTTGTGTACTAATTAATTAGTGGCATTAATAGATTATAGAAAGTGATGCTTATCACAGAAATTGAGGACAGAAATACTTGAGCGACAGTGCAGTACGTATATTTATTAAAAAAACAGACTCAAATTTCTGAAAATAGAAATCAAAAACAGAACTTTAAAATGCAATAGTAAATAATATGCCGTATTCTCATATTTGCAGATTTTGCATCAGTATTTTCATAAGATGTTCATGTTAGGTGTTGATATACGATCTGTTCTTACTAACGCTGTATACGTTAAGGTACACTGTCTTCACTTTCTTTCATTTTGTTTTGTAGCTAAATTTTTTCCGCATTATCTCATTCATTGAAATGTGACATGATAACTCAAAATATATTACTTTCTACTTATTATTGTGTCCTCATGAATTATTTTTACAGCATGTTATTATATGGGTACTATAAACTTAAGTATTAAACATTTTTTGAATGAAATGGTAGCATCTCGTAGTTTTAATTTCTTGTTACAGGCTTTAGTTTTATCTAACTCAGCTCGAAAAAGTCGAACTGTTGGTGAAATTGTAAATTTAATGTCCGTTGATATTCAACGCTTCCAAGACATCACTAGCTTCATTATGCTGTTTTGGTCAGCTCCATTCCAGGTAGTAATCTCGAATTTAAAGGAATATGTATTCTTTGATATATGTTGTAAATCAGTTTTTAAAGCGGATGTCATCCAAAACAAGTTGATTAATAATATATAATTTACTATGTTTTCATCACTTGTTACTCTTGCTGTTGAAGATATTGCTGGCTGTTTATTTTCTCTGGCGATTACTTGGCGTTGCCATCGTTGCCGGTCTTACCGTGCTTTTCGCTACGATTCCATTAACTTCATATATATCCGTGCGAATGAAAAATTGCCAGGTTTTCATTTTTTAGCTTATTACACCAAAAAATTTGGTTGACGTTTTAAACAGTTAAATGTCTTCAGTCGACATGATGTAATTCAGCGTTAGAAAAGCATTATTTTTCATTTGTAAAGCATTATTTTTTATGTAGAAGAATTTTCTTAAGCTCTTTTTTTGCTGGGCTGATTTGATCAAAAAAGTCGTATTTGATTTGCGACTAAAAATTTCAGGGAAAGCAGATGAAATTGAAAGACGAACGTTTGAAATTAATGTCAGAAATTTTGAATGGAATCAAAGTGATCAAATTTTATGCTTGGGAAAGAAGCATGCAGAAATTAGTCCGTTTACAGTGATTTTCAAATGCAAAGTCTTAGTTTTCAGCTTCTAAAATTTTGGAACCCAAATTTCAGTTTGAGTGAAGTTTGAGTTCCAAAATTTTCCAGATTTTGGAAATCCGAGAAAGAGAAATAGCCGTACTTCGCGAAATTGCTCTTTACAATGCAGCAATATCATTAACTTGGTCTTGTGCACCGTTTCTCGTTGCTGTCGTTACTTTTGGTTTATATGTTAAAATTGACCCACAACATAATCATCTGACGCCTCAGGTTCTTGAGAAAATATCTCTTTATCTCAGTTACTTGAATTTATTCAATGGATACAAATTATTGTGTTATTACTAATATTAAATTGAATTATTATAATTGCTTACCGTCATTTTAAACACAGATCTTTGTGATTTTGCTTTACTGTTCTACAGGTGACATTCGTTGGTCTGTCACTCTTAAATCTAATTCGCTTTCCGATGACAATCTTTCCGTTGATATTCAGTCAAGGAACGCAGTGCTCGGTGAGCAATGCTCGACTCAAATCATTTTTGTCTGATGATGAAATGCATCCGTTTGCAACAGATGCATCTCTATCTGACGGTTAGGAATATTTTGTCATGTGCAGTAGTTTTGCTCATATATTTTGTTTATTTAGTTATTTTCATTTTATTTTGAGCTTGAAAATAAATGTATTTTGAATGCATATGGCCATTACTATATATGTAACCTCAAAAGCGGTAATGCACAAATATACTGTTGGTAATACTTTAATCTTTGATATTTGTTTACTTATCTCATAATTGTTCAAAACATCTAGGTTGTTCGATTTCAATTCAGAATGGTAATTTTTTTTGGGAAAGTAATGAAGTGGTATTGAAAGATATCAATTTGACAGTGAGAAAAGGCGAACTTGTTGCTGTTGTTGGAAAAGTGGGCAGTGGCAAAAGTAGCTTGCTATCGGCTATTTTAGGCATTGTTTTTGCAGTTTTACGAGCGTAGTAGTTTTTGTCTTGCATTTCTGAAATCTTTACATTCTATTTTATGCTACCTTGCTTCGAGAATATCTGCAAATTTGTAGGTGAAATGGATAAGGTAAGCGGTCATGTTAGTATTAGTGGGTCAGTTTCTTATGTTCCGCAGCAGCCATGGATTCAAAATCTATCATTAATGGATAATGTCTTATTCGGCACACCGATTGATCCGAAACGTTATGACACAGTAATCAATGCATGTGCTTTGAAACCTGATCTTGCTACTTTACTTGCGGGTGACCAAACTGAAATTGGGGAAAAGGTTTCATTTTTCATTTTTTCAAATTTCAGTTTACTCACTGGTGATGCATTTTAGGGACCGGTGAAGAATTAATTGTATGAGTTAATAGAAACAATAAGAGATATCTTGTTTCTTATCTTTCGATTTTAGGGGATAAATCTGAGTGGTGGTCAAAAACATCGTGTAAGTCTTGCCCGTGCTGTATATGCAGATTCGGATATCATTCTACTAGATGATCCACTTTCAGCAGTTGATATTCATGTTGGCCGACATATATTTAATCATGTCATCTGTTAGTTTCTTCCACGTGTCATGCAAAGATTTCGTCACAGTATTTATGTATAAACAAACTAATATTTTGATAAATAGCCAGAATATCAAACACAAAATAGACTCAATGAACGGTGAAACTAAGGCAACTCTTTTTAGCATCCCAAGGAGGTCTTTTAGCCAAGAAAACGCGTGTTTTGGTCACAAACGGATTGCACTACTTGAAATATTGTGATCGGATTATTGTAATGAAAGGTTCAAATTTTGGAAAAGTTTTCCAGCCTTCGTTGGAAATATTAAAAATTTGATCGTTCATATTCTTAAAAAGCATGTTTGCTGTTTTCTTTCATTAAAGCAGATATTTACAGGTGGTATGGTAGCGGAAGTGGGCACATTTGAGGAACTAATTCAAGCACAGAGTGAATTCTCTGAATTTCTAGAGGAATTTCTGGTGAAGGAAGTAAAAGAACGTGTACAGTCTCAAGACAAAAAAAGTAATTTATTTGTATTTCAACAGTTTTTTTTGTTGAAACTTTTAACTTTGACATAAAAATTTTTGTATTCATCATAAGACTTGTTGATTTCAATTTCTATTCATTGTTTTTTATACACATAAAAAGAATTTGCAGTTGCTAATTACATGTCTTACGTCATATTCTCCGTATTTTACATCTCACAGTCATAATTTCATTAAATTATATCATATACCAAGTATTTCCGTCAATTTAAGAATCTGCATATACAGCACGGGCAATTTTTAGCAGAAGAAATGGAAGAACTTCTTAAGGATTTAAGATATTTAAATCCGCAACAGCTGAAATGTTTGGAAGCTCTGACTATTGCAAGTTTAACGGGAGAGAAATATATTATCAATTCAACTAATGCATCATCTGCTAATGATTCACTTCCATTAGAAAAAGTTTCAGAAAGACAGGTTGTTTGACATGTTGCATAACTGTTTAGATTGTCTGAATATGCGAAAACCTTATTCAGGGACATATTGTCGAAAACAGTGCTATCATGGAAAAAATCAATCATGGGTCACCAAAAAGTGAAGGTCGTGAAAAATCGGTTGCAACATTGGCAGATATGAAGAATACACCAGTTATCTCAGATAATAATGAGCGATCTAAATTGATTGAAAAAGAAGGCGTTAATGTTGGAAAGGTATTAGTTAATCTTATTTTAGCAATTAAAAGTTGTTTTGCTTGGGAAATTATTTGCACGAAGAAAGTCACGGTACGAATTTCAAATAGCATTATTTAACGGTAGGTGAATTTTGTGATCGATTGCTTTTTAATTAGTGCTAAATTTGGTAGTTAATATGTTTAAGATTGTTCTGATAAGTAAGAATTTATAGTTGTTAACTGCTTTGCTATTAAGTACTGCGGCATCACAGCGAAACTGAAATCAATATTTGCATTATTATTACTCTATATGTAATGTTGTTTAGGAGAAAATCACTGTTACAGGTAAAAGTCGACATATATCTTGCATACCTTCAAGCTATTGGTTACGGCTCAACTGCAATCTTTATTACTATTTATGTCTTTTCGTCAATACTCGGCGTTTTATCCAATTTGTGGCTAGCAAATTGGTCAGATCATGCTAAAACTGTGAATGTCACAGAGGTAGATGAAAATGATACAAACTGGCGGTTAGGGATTTATACAATTCTGGGTTTGGGTCAAGGTATGTTGTTCAAAAACCTTTCAACTGTAAATTCTAGTTTGTCTTAAATGTTTTTCAATTCTATCGCGATTTTTATATGCATCTTTCTACTGTAACGTATTCTGATTTCACGCGGAAAATACTAAGAATTTCCAAAACATTCGCAGTGGTGCGCAATCCTTTCCAGTCGAGTATCTGTTTCCATTTATTAAGCTTCTATGGTTTGCATTGGTTCCATTGCTATGGCATGTGGTATGGTTTTTGCCAGTCGTAAATTGCACGAAAAAATACTTCAAAATATTTTGCACTTACCTATGGCATTCTTCGATGTAACACCTCTTGGACGTATTTTAAACCGGTTTGGAAAGGTGTGTATTTATTTTTCTGATGAATATAGTTATTTTATAATTATTTTGGGTTAATTTTTTCCCCATTTGGATGTCAACAACTTTTATTTTTACGTCAAAAGTTATAATTTTGTTAAAAATCATAAGAAAGTGAATGTCAGTAAATAATGATGGTATTTTTGTCGGGAAAGAAGTATAAAAATAATATTAATATTTCCATTTCTGCTGAAAAAAAAATTAAATGTTGTATAGACAACATTAAAGAAAGGGACAAACAAAAGAAGGCGATTAAAAATTGATACAGTTCTGAGTTTAGGTGAAGTATGTTCTTCGAGAATCCTTTAACGAGATGGATTTCTGCAAAATGAATTATTAAAGCTTAAATCTAGCACTGCTAGGATACATGCGTTCTTTTTTTGCATTTTCAAAGTATCTATGAGGTTCCTAATGTTTAGTGATATTTTCTTTCAGCATCTTGTTTTCAGTTGTTTAGATGTCGCTCTTAAGAAGAGCATGTGATTTCGAATACAGAAATCTATCCTAATGTTCACAAAACTTTATCATTTGAGGTGTCATTGGGATTTATACATTATATTTTCAAGGCCTCAATCTTACTGAGGTTTCTTCGACGGATGAGTAGACGATATATGTGTCGTAGATTTATTTTTGCACAATAAGTCACTAATTTTTAAGTTATGCATCGCTGAGTTGCAGTCGTTCTTATTTTCATTTGCAAAGTGTTCATCAAGTTCCTGATGTTCTATGCTGTTTTGTTGAACAGTCTTTGGTTTCAGCAGCACGTTTGTGCTAATTATGCTAGTGAGATTTTGTTTAGGAGACTCATCTGTAAATTAGTTTCTTGAGAATTCTGAAATTGTAAGAACCGGTTTTTTAAAACTATGATTAATTTTTTTTTCTACTACTATACCTGAAAATAATTGGAAAAGAATTTCGCCTTGAAATCTTTTTGCTTCCACTTTTCAAAATTTACCAAAAACATCTGTAGACTACTAAAGAAAAATATTGTGAGATTTATCTGTGGAGATTTCTTGTTCAGTTTTGTAATGTCTTTTCCAATTTCGCTCTTTTGTAATGTTGCATAACATATTATATCATTCTTCTTTTCGGCAACGATCTCTTAGTTCTTTTGTAGTTTACTTAATGATTTTTCTCTTCTCAAGTATTATTAGACTTACTGGTCGTGTATTTTGTAGAAGATATCACAAATTTATATCAGCATGAGGTGGAATGTGAAACTTTCATGTTTCTTTGCCCGTAAGTAAACTTTCCTGAAGTATTTCATCTGCCGGAAGATTTATCTCCATGTTCATTTTTTTGTACTCACAAACTTTTGCCCTTGACTTATTGTGATGAATTTTAGAGTGGTGAGAGAAGTACCAGGGTTTTGTTTCGAGTAACAAGAAAGTCTAAGTTGAGAAACAGGCATTATAATATAAAAGAAAAATCGTTTACATTGTTTTAATCTTTATTCATCATTATGTGACTAGTTTTCCTCAAGCAAATTTTCTTTGCTTTTGTACTTATAGAGTAATAACCCATAATGTCTAGCTGATTAATCTAAATAACATCCTTCGTACCTTTGAAAACTTCATTACAAATTTCTTCAACTGATTAACGTTCAAAAAGTTAGGAAATGACACTATTTATTAGCATGCAAGAAACGGAAATCTATCAATTATTTCCATTTGCTAATCAGTTAAATTTGAATTTTTTTGAAAATCATTTTCGCTGTTGATGTAAAATTTCATTTTCTTTTATCTTTTCTACGTCTCTCTGTTTTCTTTTTGCATACAAATAAGTGCACATAGCCATCTGTGTATTTATTATGCTATCGGTATCAGTAAGCAGAAGTATCAACTTCTCAGTGAACAGTCACCTGTTTACTTTTATACTGAATTGAGCAAGAGCTAATAAAACTATATTTGTACTGAAGCGATTAACTATTCAGTATAACTTATTTTATTTACAGTAGTGACTGCGAGGTAGGGATGCGAATTGTGAAATTAATGATGAAAATGTTGACATTTTCAGTGTGGTCAGGTGGATTTTTGATTGCCAACCAGTTAAATGGGAAATTGCAGGATATAGAGATAGTGGACACATTACTGCCGCATACATGTCATTCATTCATATCAACCGTGCTTGTTGTTTTAATGACAACGGCTGTAATTTTGTACGCGACACCGATGTTTTCAATGGTCATTCCTTTCCTAGCGACTGTTTATTTCCTTGTTCTGGTATGCTTCATGAGAAAGACAAGAATTACAAGAGAACTTTAAAAACGATTCTTTGATAATCCAAATAAAATACATTTAAGTGCTTTTCACAAACGTTAATTTTGGTACTTAGTAATCGGTAACATTTTTCATCATTTTCTTCTCTAGGAATTGGTTTTAAGATTAACACTCAGTGTTGATATTGATATATTTCCTTGTCATTGAGTTGCATTACTGAAATATGACATGCTTGCATTATTAACTTTGAGGTGTGATTGTGACGGTATCATGCTGAGATTTATGCTACTTTCTTTCATTTTTTCTGTCCTTTATTAAGTTTTATGTTTTGAATCTTTGTTCTAGAAATCTTCACAGTATTCATTTCTTTTGATACTGCGATAATATCTAGCAATCTACTTCATCTTAAATGATAACAATTAATAGTGTGGATTTGCATAAGTCCTAGTTAATCTTGGAAATAAATGTCAGGTATCATTTGGTTGTTTATTTTCTTCGCTTTTCTGTTACTTTTGAAAATAAGGCTGCGTTGTAAGAATTAATAAATGTTGTATGTGCTAATACTTTTTTGCATTCCAATGGATGATGACTTGAGTCTTCTCTTCGCACGTAGTCTGAGTTTTGTTTACTGCGGCAGAATGCTTGCCTGGATTACTTATTTATTGATAAAGTGACCATGTGTAATTTATTGTGCATGAAATGTTTCGAAATTAAGGACGGCATCAAATTGCATTCTTCATTAAACTATCCGTTGTTGTCCAAATGCTTCATCGAATTATTATGGCCTCTTGTTTCCATTCAATGTCAAGGATGCATTTTTCGGTGATATCATCATACTGATAGATTATGTGAGTGAGTTTGTTGTGAGTTCTGATATTGGCATGTGTTTTGCATGTTTGCAGGATATGCAAGATGTCGACCAGCGCTTATCATCGTCACTGACGACCCTGATCGGATGTGTTGTCACAGCTTTTATTATTATGATTGTACCGGTACTTACGACGCCACAAATTATCCTCCCCTTCACTGCTCTTTTATTCTTAAATGTTATGTTAATGGTAATTTTTGAACCGTTACTGCATGATAAGAGAAAGAACATTAGTGTTAGGCTCATCGTTCTTTATCATTTTCTTAATTTCTCACTGTAAAATGTTGAAGTCCGCACTTTCTCCCTTCATGTTATAATTAATTTTTATAATATAGTTCTCCTGCACTAGCTTTACTTGCAAGAAATATGATCTTATTCTAGTCTGCATTTTGTTACGAGTTTGTTTTAATCGCTAAGTAGTTAATTAAATTGTGTAGCACACCTAGTTATTCTCCCTTACTTTATTAGAAGACAGAATGATTTGTTTTTCGACGACATGCTATTTGTACTGAAGTTATTCCAGAATGAAATTATTAAAATGTGATGAATTTTTCGGAGTTTTCCTCGTGCATATTTTAAACCTGCTTTTCATTGTCAGTTATGGCGTTTTCAAATGTTTGGTTTCTTGTGCATTCATGTATAATGCATGTACCGTGTAAAACACTGTAAAATCTAATACAATTCAATGAGCAGTTCTCTCATGCAATTCGTAATAACTCAACTGCTTTGCTTGTATGATATTGTTGCCTAGTAATTACTATTATTTCCTGTGTATCTCACGACATCAACCCTTTAGTTGTTACTAGCAATCTCTTGAAAATATTCACACTCACATTTTCTCTTGTTTAATTATTGTTTGTCCGTCGTTTCCATTAATAACAGCTAAGGACTCACTTTACTAACATACACTGTTTTTCTTTATTTTATTCTTTGCATAATTAAGGGGGGATTATTTTCATACATTTAAAGAAGGAAAAGATTGAGTTTATCAAGGATTAAAGAGTGTGATATTAAAATGAATACTTTTTGCATCAGTTAATTAGATAAGTGTTAATCCTTCATCCTTACATCCTTAACAGTTTCATTTTGACTATGAATTCAACATGCTGTTGTTTTTATCCTATGTTATTCACGCTTTTCTTGCTGACTTTTTTTAAATTTTCCGCTGCAACACTCATCACATCGAGCTTTAAAAATTTGAAGAACAAGGTTTCATTTACTGCCTCACTACTGAAGTTGGTAAATTAAATCTTGTTAAATAATTGTCACTTCAAAATGTTTCGTGTTCATCTTCATCCTATGCTATGTATTTTCAGCGATTCTATATTTCAACGTCACGACAGTTGAAACGTCTTGAGTCCGCTGCAAGGTCTCCAATTTATTCACATTTCCAAGTAGGTTGCTTTTGGTCGATTGTCAAAAAAAATAACTAAAATGTTTTCATTTAGTTAGCATAAGATATTTGTATCACATGAAAAGTCAGTAGCAAAAAAGCTTCTTTTCCTGTAAATATTAAAAACGAACTTGGTGTTAAAACAATTATTTTCAAATGAATTTTTATACTACACAAGAATCTTCTGAAATATAATTTCTCGAATGTCTTAGCTTTCACATTTATTTCATATATTATGGCTTCATATTTGATAACTGTGCCGAAAAATTGCAATGTTAAGGAATCGATTCAAGGAGCTGTTTCAATTCGAGCGTATCAGTGCATAGATCGTTTTGTTCATGGATCTCAGAGTCTCCTTGATAATAATATTTTAATACAGTATCATTCTCTGGTTGCTAATCGGTATGAAATGAGAACATTTTGATGATTTAAAGTTGTATAGTGACATTTTTCATTCGGAGAAATAGAGAACAAATTTCAGTATCTTTGCTGTACTCAGTTTTTAGATGGCTGGCAGTACGATTAGAACTTATTGGCAATCTTATTGTATTCTGTTCTGCAATTTTTGCAATATTTTATCGAGAAAGTGGTTCAGTAACTGCTGGTTTAGTTGGATTGTCCATTGCATATGCTCTCAGTGTACCTTTTATTTTATTTAATTATTCATGCAAGTTTTTTGCTTTAAGTAATAGCTTTCTTTTATTCTGTACGCAAAATATGAACCAGAGATTGCGACTAATCCATTAGATGTGATGATTTGATTTTTCTATTAGGATAAATGTATTCTTTGGGTTTTGCAGAATTATAAAAGCTTTTTTTAAATTGTCATAATTATTACTACACTTAATGCTTATTTACGGTGATTTTAGATTACGCAAACTTTAAACTGGGCCGTACGCATGGCAAGTGAGTTCGAAACCAATATTGTAGCTGTTGAGCGTCTCAGGGAATATACCGAATTGCCTACTGAGGTACTATATTTTATTACTTTCCATTATGTCAAGTCTGTGTTTATCCCAGAGAACATATATTTATCAATGATAGATATTATTTTTGCGCCTGTAATGAAAAATATTCATTTCAAAATTTCTTACAGTAAAATTAAATAATTTCATATTTTTTTAAAAACTTTAAAACTCAAATAATTATTTGTTTAGTTATAATAATTGCTGTTTACAGTGTTCATCAAATCAATCCTTTCTCTATAAACCTCCGCGAGATTGGCCAAGTAAAGGAGAAATCGTATTTGAGAAACTGAAAATACGCTATCGTGAAAATTTAGAATTTGTTTTGAAAGGGATTGATGCGAAAATTCGTCCAGCTGAAAAAGTCGGTATTGTTGGTAGAACTGGTGCAGGTGAAGTGGCATTAAAATTTTTTGTATACCTTTTCGTAGAATTTTTTAGTTCTCAATCTATTACAATAGCCAAATAATAATTGTGCTTCATGTTCAAAATTGCTAATATATACTTTAGAAATAATGTAGCTTCTCAAGATTCTTTCCGGATTATTTGCGGACTCATCTGATTTTCAGAAAATTTGCAACAAAATTTCAGGTAAAAGTTCCCTTACCCTTGCTTTGTTTCGTATTGTTGAAGCAGATTCAGGAAGAATACTAATTGATGATGTTGATATTTCCAAAATATCTTTAAATGATCTTCGTTCGAAACTTACCATTGTTCCGCAGGTATCTTTTTGATTGTCCAGTAAATTCAGTAAGCCGCTGAAAATTCGACAAAGATTTTAATACAGCAGTATTTGAATTTTTGGCCAGAGCTTACCCTATCTCAGTATATTTTTAAATGTGTCATTTTATTTGAGCTTTTTGTATCTATTCAAGGATCCTGTTATATTTTCTGGAACATTACGTATGAATCTTGATCCATTCGGTCGTTTTGATGATTCTGTATTATGGGAAGCATTACGAATTGCACATTTGGATTCACTTGCACATTCATTCCCCCAAAAGTTGGACCATCATTTGAGTGAAGGCGGTGAAAATATAAGGTGAAAACAAGAGTATTTCATCATTTCCCGTGTTTTTCAGAAAAATATTGTTTAAAAAGTGGAGTTCAAATTTTTCGAGATTTTTTTGCTTAAGTATTTCTTAAATTTGTAATTGTTAAAATTTACTAATCAGTTCCTACAAAATATTCTCTAGAGTCAAGATATTTATGTTTGAAAGTTAATAATGATAATATTGCTTTTCACGAATTTTTTTTATATCTCTGAAACCGTTCAAAATTATTTGAGTGTGGGACAAAAACAGTTACTTTGCTTGGCTCGAGCAGCATTAAGAAAAAGTCAAATTTTGATCTTGGATGAGGCAGCTGCGTCCGTGGATATGGAGACAGATGCGCTCATACAAAAAACTATTCGAGAGCAATTTTCCAAGTGTACAGTGCTCACAATTGCACATCGCTTGAATACTATCGTAGAAAGTGACAGGTTTGTTGTGTTATTGAGTTTTCTTTGTATTGTTATTGTTTTAATGTTTCTTATTTTAATATTATTCACTGGATTGAAATTAAAGACTTGGAAGTGATAAATTCTAATGGAATTTTATGTTTTAGAGTATTGGTTTTTGAAAAGGGCTGTGTTCGAGAATTCGACACGCCAAAAAAGTTACTAAATGATCCAAATTCATTGTTCTACTCTATGGCTAAAGAATCTGGCTTGGTAAACAATCCATAATATATTTTGCGGCCAATGTGGTTTCATTGTTTTTTCAGATGTCAATTATCAGTGAAACTCGATTTGTATTTATTATGTCATTTAGCTTATTTGATTGAAGTCATTGCATATGCACTGGAACAAAATTTATTTCTGTCAGTCAAATTTGGCGTTGAAAGAGCTTAACGAATAGATTAGAAATAAAAGATTTTCCAACCGTTTTCTCTTACACTTGTCATTGATCTATCGTATGTTCATTATGATGATTTCAAGTATAAATTTTCCCAAAATTGTTACTGCTTAAAGTTCTTCAGTGGTCTGAAAACTTGTCTATAATATGATGTGATTGTCTGATTTCTATCTTTACTGTGTGATTGTTTTCATTTCATCTGATGATCTTCCATTCAAGGGCAATTCTTCTCTATTTTCGTTACATATTTTGTTGTCGAAAAGTTCCAATTGATTTTACAAATTAAAATCATTTTTTTCATTTCCACAATGAAAAGCAGCAGTTGTTACCTCGAATGAATGATAGTAAGCATTGCTGTATACAAAGCAGTAAAGAATAATTTTAGATTAGCGATATTATAATGTAAGGCAGAAGCCGTTGCAGTAGACAAACAATTCATGTAACTTGCACTTAAGAAGAAATTTGAAGAGGTCAGAGAGGTCTGAACTAACGCTTTGAATGTTTTTGAAAGCAGCAAATAATTTTATTGCACTTCTGATTAGTTTCTGTACAGTGAGTCAGGGAATCACTGCAAATTTGTGTATCAGAGTAGTATTTTATGTACAAGTTGTTGTGAGAGAGCAGAAAGGGACTGAATGCTAGAAGTTTTGGCGTACAGAACAAAAAAAGTAATGTGAGGCTTGTCGTTGCATTATTTTGTGATGTAAGATTACCTTCTTTAACGTTATCTCTGATTGCTCTTGACCATTTGTCAGTAAAATAGAAACGGCCAGCCAAGTTGAGAGATAGGTTTTGTGCTGATAACGTTAAAACTGAGCAAATTATTTGAAAAGTTCTTGGATAGTAGGAAAAGTTTACATGTGACTTTGTATGAGTTCTCGTTAGGAGCATTCAGTTACTGATTCTCCAGTTTGTTTCAAGTCAATATGAATAACTAACTCAAACAATGTGTGGTCGGAAAAACGAGAAGTTACATAGAATAAGCTCGGAAAAACTAGCAGAATGAAGTTAAGTGAAATGAAGTAATTAGTTGAAGGTATCTTATTTGCTACCTTAATAAATGGCTAGCTGATGCCCTCCTCACCATATTCTTAATTTCTTCTCATTTCAGTTTATTACGTCTTTCCAGCAGTGACTTTATGCTTCAGTGCTCATCAAATAATGTATGCAATTACCGTCTTCAGTAGATCACAACTGTACTATTTTATCAATAAATGCTTTGTTCTTTACACAGCAAAATGAAAAAAGTAGTGAAGCAGAGAGATAGATAAGTAGTTAGATAAATATATAGACAATCTAATTTACAAACATTTTGATGGTTGTGGATAGATAGATGTATTTCAAAAATGCCTGCTGTCACTGCTCTTCAATCTATTGAAGTAAACAAACAAAAATGATAGTGACACCTTACTGATTGCATTATTTGCAGTTTTGTTACGAATTTGTGGACTTTGAAACTTGGTGGCTTTTTCTAGGCAAGGAAGTAGCTGCAAAGTTTGGTACTTACTTGTAACCTTCTCTTCATTCGCTTTTGTACATGAATAGTGGACTAGAGTCAGCATAATATTCCTGAATTGGTCACGATTTCTTTTTAGTGATTGCCTTGTTTAACTAAAAGTACCAGAATGTACGAATATTTCTGAGTATAAACAATTAATTTTATTTAATTTATACTTTATAAATTTATCTTTCTATTGGCATTCCAACAGTTTTTTGTTCAGTACTTCAAACTTTTTCACAACTTGGAAATTCAGAACAATCAATCTGTAATTATGGAACAACAAAGGTTTTTTACATCCAGATTGCGATTTCTGTTGATCATTGTATGCATTTACTTTATTCTGTTGTTATCTTTACAATGGCTTTCGATTCTAAGATATCGTTTGTCGACTCCACCAAAAGGCTTCTACAGCAGCGAGTTTGAAGCCGTAGCTAGAGCTTTCAGGTATCCTGTGTTTTCACTATTAAGTTTTCTAAGATTTTTATTCGTTAATAAAAGAACATTAACGAAACTCAATATTTTGGGGGTAAATATTTGGTTACTGAAACTTGACTTTGTTTTAAGATTTTGAGGGATTATTCAAGTTTATTAAGAGTTATTTTAAAAAAATATCGGCTGAAAAAGCAAAGAAGGTTAAGTATACAGCTAAAAAGTAAGTACAGTTGCACATGATATGGAGTACAACATTTTAGAAGGAATTTTGAAAAAGGCTTGGAAAGGGAAGGGGCACATTTAACAATTATAAGGAATGGAAAAGTTGTTATGAATTTGTGGAATGGTTATTCTGATTCAGATTCATATCGTCAGTGGGATACTAGCACCAGGACAGTTTTATTTTCAATTACGAAGGTATTTTAAGTTTCGTAATTTTCAGAGATTCTGTGAAAATATCAAAGTTTTTTTCTAACTTCTCATCATTTTATACGTGATGGATGGCGTCTAACAAGATTTCTTCAGTAATGATATCAAAAATGGGTTTATAACAAAATCTGTAGAAGTGCATTTTCACGTTATTCTTATTTTTTACTCTTATATCTTGTTTTTCTCATACATTCAAATTTAAGAACTTGTAATTCAGGATGGGAATTTAAAACATTTTTATTTTTGAGCAAAATGAACTCAAGAAATGCCGTCATTTTAATACAAATTTATTTCACAGCAGCTATGCTTGCTGTCCTAAAAGTTACATTATAAGAACTGTATGAAAATTAGCTAATTCAATTCTAGGCAGTCGCAGCGCTTTGCTTAGCAATGCAAGTTGATAGAGGTCGTTTGTCGTATGATGAGCAAGTAGTAAAATATTGGCCCGAATATGGACAATATGGAAAGCATATTACCACAATTGAGGATGTTCTGACTCATAAAGTTACAACTTCATTGTCAGCTCACTTGTAATATGGCATTGAATTTCCGTATTTAAACTTCAAGTTTTTGTTTGTGTCGCCAGTGTCATGTTGAAATTTCCAACGTCCACTCTCCCTACAGCAGCAGACATTAATAATTATTTGATTGATTTTGAAAAATGCTTGATAATTATGCAGGCTGGACTCCCATATCTTGAAAACATTACGATGGCAGATGTAGTAAGTGAAAGAATGATGAGGATACTAGAAGAGGCAAAGCCTGTATGGAAACCAGGCACTGCTACCGGGTTATTTTTTGACTCTCAAAACGAGTTGTGTTTGGAATGTATATGCAATACGCACAATATTTATTCATAAATTGGAACATTCCATTGTTTCAGGTATCACGCTCTAACATTTGGTTGGTTGTTAGATGGCATTTTTCGGAACGTTGATGAAAAAGGACGAGACATGAAGACATTTCTTCGAGAAGAAATTGCCCACAAATATGGTAGATATTATTTCAAGGATATTTCAAATGGAATTAATATAGGACTTTTTATCATGAAAATCAGCAAATGAATTTTATGACTGATTCATGCATAGTGGAAGTTTAACTATGAGTTGGTGAAAAGAATTTTTAAGGTATTGATGTAAGTATTGGCCTGGATAAAGAAAAATTTCACAGCTTGGCGCGAATGACTCAACCGGGATTACTTGAATTTGGCCGAGATTTGTTAATAGACCCACGAATGTTTTTCATGCTTGCGATATTTGGTACACTGTCAGATTCTATTGTTGCAAAGATTCGTACGTCATGGCTTCCACTAAATTTTGTATGGATATAAATGACCTTCTAATCACCTAACATTCCCTGGAATTTTTGCTAGTTTACTCCTAAATATTCTTTCTTGTTAATATTTTGAAGGTTAATTTTTAAATACCAGAATTACTGACGTTCCCACAAGTTGTTACTCTCATCACTTCGCGTCTTTTCTTGTATTACATTTATTGGTACCAAAACTGAATTTGATTCTTTTTAGGATACAGTCCCTTTAAATGATCCAAACGTTGCTGAATTGAACGTGGTAGCGATGACGGGTATCAGCGATGCTTACAATTTAGCAAAGTTATTTTCATTAGCAATAGATGGTACACTTCTCAGCAACCAAACCCTTGCTCTGCTAACTCAACCAACTCTGGAGAACTGGCATATAGAACGAATTATTTTGTATCCCTTCGTCAAGGGTCGAGGATTCTTCTTTGAAAAGCATCCAATCAACAAAGTAATATATCTGCAGGAAGTTCATCATAACTTATCACTGTCAGCTAAGACGAGTATAAACAACTCTGTAGCAATGAATGACTTTCAACTATTCAAGATTCTGATAATGTATATCTCTTTATTGATCTATAGCATGTTTGGAATTTGGAGACAAATCAAGTCTATAAGACTTTAAGTGTTTATACTGCCCTCACCAAAACATATCTCACGAATGATTTATGTGTATGTACGATACTGGATGTAAACGTTCGTGATATATATATATATATATCGAATATTGAAAACCGCTTTATGAGTGTTTGAGTGTTTTGAGGAATTGAGGAGGTTTGTTCACACGTAATATATATATACCACAAGCGTTTACATCCAATATATATATCAAATCAATATCACACGGAAGTTATTCATTTTTTTAATTACTGATTCTGGCGCTGGATTGTATTCCGGCACTGGCAACTCGCCTGCACTCGCCTTGCACTCAGTCCTGCCGTACTGATCTATCTCCGCTGCTTCGTTCTCGTGGAATCCACTATGCTGATCGAATAAGATTTTCGAATCCTTTTCTTGAGCACTATCGGTCCCATCTAAGCAAATCTGCTTTGTTATTTTGTATAGATCTGGATGTAAAAAGATGCACTTAATGAGAAAGATATACTCTAGCAAAGTCAGCCGCTTTTTAGTTACGCAAACAAAAAGCTATTTTCCCACATTCGGTTTTTGATAGGACAGTATCATGTATCTTATAATTTGAAATTAATTCTTGCAGATATTCATTGTGCCGAATATCATCATCTCCTATTTTCAAATTCCACATCGTCGACCAGAGCTTTGTTTTTTTCAGTCCCTACAGTATGGATAACAGGCTGTTCCCTCAAGTAAGTTTCCTATAAAACCGCCTTCTGAACATCTCAAATCTGGCGTTTAGGGTTTTGAATGCACATCGGGTCCCACAACTATCTTACTTTCGTGAACTCTCGTACATTCTGTCAGCATGCTTAAAGGCTCATGACAGTCACACTTGAGAGAAAGCATGAGATTTATGCTCCTCATACACCTCTTAGACTCCCCCAGGTTTTTACCTTCAAGTACATCACCGATCAAATACCGCTTTGTGATGAGTGTTTCGAGGAAATTTGTTTACATTCATCTTCTTTTCTACCCTTACTTCCCAGCTCAATGGCTTCTTTCGACCTCTCATGTCAACATAACATTCTTGTGCTACCTGGAGTTGCTTTGAAATATCGTTTATTAATTTGGGGGAGTTCACCCCTCCACGCGGTTTACCACTCGAAGTAAGTGGGTCAACTTTCTCCAGGATTATCCCCCACGTCTACTTTGCCTGGTTTATGTTATGCCCCTGGTCTTCTTTTATCAGCATCAGGTACTTCTCCACCTTTACATCCAAATATGCTGTATACGTATCATGTTCTTTCCTCTATTTGGGTGTTATGTATCTTGACATGCTTCGCTATATTCTCGAAGATCCACTTCTGTAAGCACTAACAACCTGAAGAATAACTGGCGGTTTCTGCATTCGCTTGTTTCTTCAATTCTTGATACACACAAACTTCCTGCAACACAATGAACGACACAAAGGCCATCGTCCTTCCGGCATCCTTCCGAAACGGTCAAGAGCCACACTTCCCTGATCAGCTGCTTTGCGAAACCTTGACCCCTCGAATGAGTACTTCGAGCGTAATTATCCTGATGGTTCCTGATTTCGGGAAATTGGGTAAACTGGCAGGGTATTCTCTTACATCTTTCACAGAGCTATATATATATATCAATCAGTTACTGTGTATACTTACACATATATATATGTATACTAACTGATTGATCTGCTAGCTAGTCGATCGCATCCACAAAGTAGGAAATGGAAGATAAACCTAGAAAAACCGAGCCTTGAAGCACAAATGAAAACAGGTGTTATTGAGGAAAACCCTATGAAGAACACTCGACCACGGTACCGGAACCACTAAAAGTGAGTGCAGAGCAAGAGAGTGCCAGAACACGACTCAACGCGAGAATCGAGATTGCAAAGAAAATTAACCTCGGACCTGCTGCGCATGATATTTTTTATTAACACTAATGACAGCAATAATTTTATCAATAAATAAATTTATTTATTTATAAAATGTACAGATAATTTATCCATAAGTTGTTTTACAGAGAAGTTACTTGTTTGGTCATCCAGGATATGGTTGCCAAGCACTTGATGTCGACATCGAAAATAAGATTGTTGTTGTGTATCTATCTAATGGTTTTAAGACAGGAACTGGCATAATGTGTGCAACCTATCAATCAATACTTCGATCTCTTTACAGGACATGAATAAAATGCTTATGTACTTTATTCCTATTCAAAGAAATTTGCTTGCGAAATCATCGAATCACTATTATAAATACTACACCTTCAGCATTCGCAATATAGCGTCTTTTCGCATACTTTTCTATCAACAGAAATGATTTTAAACGTTACTAACAACGAAAGTGAAGCGAAATCTTACTTTCAAAACATTTTAGTACTTTTGCGAATAAACTTTTGTATCAGCTAAACAAGTTCTGGCAATTTAATTCTGTGTGATCAGACAAACTACTTAATGGCTCAACAGTGTGTGATCACACAACCATCAATCGAAATTTTTTGGATATCAAAGAATTATCAACGACACATGATCTGAATCACTGTTTTGATTTATGCACAATATTTTCTACAGCTTTATTCACTAAAGGTGCAGATGCATAACTTAGAATTATAAGAAAATTTATAAACCTGATGTAAAGGGAGGGAGTACTTTGCGCCTTTTTTCCCTTATTGCGCATGCTTTTTTACGCTCAACAACCAAATCAAAAAATTTTGATAAAATAACTCGGTTAGTAGATCCAGGTAGCATCGGGCGTCTGCAGTTTATTAGAATATGGTCGTAAGTTGTCTGAAAAATAATGAAATTTTTTTGTATTCAAAATTTAAAAAAGAACAAGTAACAGGTAGATTGTCGCAAACATTATGATCATACTTAGAAACCATATGTTCGCAAAAGGAGTATGATCACGTTTGGCTGTACCTGTTTGGCGCGCTCCGGTGCTAAATCAGATTTACATCCCACAACTAATATTGGAGTCGGCGTGCTTTCAATATCAATTAGCAAAGATCGTGAATCAGGCGCTAATGTAAATGGTGAAATCATAGATGGAATGGATGTTTCTCCACGAAGCAATGCAAGCCATTGTGATAGGTTATGTTCACTTTTCTTGTTGCTCAAATCATGGACTAGTATTGCTCCTGTTGCTCCTGATTAAAATTTATTTGATTCGATTTGATAAATAAAAATAAGAATCTGCAGGGAAACCTTAAGTTGCGAGATCAAGTAGATCGATTTTTAATAAGCTGAGAATAACTAGAACGTAACTAACGTTAGTCATTATGACCATTCAGATTTTCCAGCAATCAAAGTGGAATAATATGAACATTAATAACATAATGAAAAATTAAACCCTCAAGAAAAATCGAAGATGCAGCTTGATGAACTGTTGAACCACCAATATCCCAAAGCTCAATAAGTTCTGTTTGTTCTTCAGCGGTTCCAGCTCGATACTGGTGAGCGACGACGGAAACAGCACAACCAACTGTGCTACTAGGTAATGTATCATGCCTAAAAAGAAAATGATAAAAACATTGAGATTATTTTTCCTCCTTTTCAATTACATTAAAATGTCTAAAAACCAATATTCCCATTTTCTTTCGTTATCTTGATTGATAATACTTTGGACACTTTATATGATCACAAGCTACACTGCTGATGAATAATGTCATGGTGTCAAAAAGCAACTATATTTTAGAAACAAATCAATATAATTACCTGTTACAAACAACACTGACAAATGAACTCTTGCCAACACCGCTGGTTCCAAGCACTACGATTTTGTGCGAATTTATTCCCGACTGACCTCCAGACATAATGAGCAGTTTGGACACTCAAAATAAGCAGAGTCGACAATATGATCAATATCTGCTTTTTCGAGAATGAATGCGCCACCACAACTTAAGCACACTTGTAAAAATGATGAATTACGTAGATTTCTATATATCGGATTAACAGGATTAAAAAGAGACCGACCACCTGCAAAACTTCTCAATTCGATCAACGTTATAAATAACGACTTGTTCCCCAATAACACCTTTACTTCTTCTTAAATTCTGTTCTCTTAACCAAATATTGTAATCACGCCGAGCAGTACTGTCCCTAAAATGAACACTATATCAACCATCTAATTTACCTCCATGTAAAAGATAGCAACTACTAAACAAATTGATTCAATCCATCGACAGCTATCGATATTTTACTGCTCTAACATCAATGAAAATAATAGAAATAAACCAAAAAATAACTTTAAAGTAGACCAAGCTCTGGTCACCAGAAACAACGATGACCCAGAACCCCCTCTATCTGGATGATTCGTACGCAATTTTCGAAAGTACGCCTGTTTCAATTCATAATACGATGCTAACGGAGAACAATCTAACACATCATAATAACTCTTCATAACAGCTTATCAATCATCTTCCTAAAAATATCAAGACGTGTCATTACACGAAACACTATTCTATCTCCGATAATACAAAAAATGCTACCAGGCAACCTCACACTACACTACGAATAAATAATGAGATCCAGATCAAATAAAGTTGGCACTCGTCAACAATAAAGTAGAAAAAAGAAGCAAATAAAAATAGTAAATATAAACTCCAAGTGTTGGATGCTGCTCGACTCGTGGAATATTTTATTAATCAAGAGAGGACACGCTTTGAAAAATGAATGTGAATGGCGCAAATTAGAATTTCAGGAATCTTCCAACTGATCTCAGCAAAAAAAATGCATTGAATTAACATTCTAAAATAAAGCACTCCTCTTCATTCTTCCTTGAGGAAGCAATTCATGTGCCAAAGCAAAGAATAATTTCACAATCATACGATTTTGAGCGAAAACAAATAATAATTGGTTTAAAATCTATAATTCCTTTACAAATACTTGCAAAAACAATACAAAACTATGTTCCATTCAGTAAATATCAAGCATAAAGAGATCACATAGTTATACAAAAGAATGAACTGAAAAAAAGCTATACATCGGTATTAGCACTTGAGCCAAATCCATTTCATACCCAAATAAAAAAAAATGACTATTCAATTTTACATATTCTCACAGAGTTACATTAAAAAAGATTAGATTTATTATAAACAATATAGATTGAATTAATGCTAATCTGGGCTTTCTATTGAACGAATAGGCACAACAGGACGTGACGGAAATTTCGTTGAACGATCGGACTGCAAACTTTGTTTCTCAAAATCTTCTGTTGTATCTTGACGTTCCGAAGATGCTCGAAACTTGTAACTAACGTTTGCATATTGCTTCAAGCATGGGCACACTTCAAGCAAAAATGTACAAAACGATGCCCGCATTGCAAACCACCATGGATTGCCACCTCGTGCTCCAAAGGACATTAAAACCAAGCAAAACAATGCTAAGTTCAGTGGGGCGCAAATAACAACAAAAGTAATTTGACTAGGAGATTCATCGTCCGACCATGAAACAGCATCCAGTTTGCCTGAAATACGGACTTAGACAAATATTTACAAATATGTATGCACAATTTTTAGATAGAAGAAGAAAGGTTACGAAACATTAATTACAATGCACCACAATATGCATTACCAGTAAGAAGAAGAAGAAAAATGAGTACTGGTATCACGAATAATGTATGAGACACAGCAGAGTAAAGATGATGCCTTCTTTGAGAAGCCAACATATGAACTGATCGCGCTAACAGAACAGCCAAAACAAATGCATAAAGTACCTACATCGCTTTTGGTTACTAATCGAGTTTTTTCACATAGTTTTTTATAGAGAGTAAAAAATAAATTCATTACCGTAAATTGTTGATGTATTTTTTAAATATAACGAAAAGAACTTACACCAACGACACTCAAGGAGAGTACTACCCATAGTGGAATGAAAACTATAGTCCAATGCCAATCGATTATACCATCAAGTTTGAAAGCTACGAAAACAAATTGCACAATATTGATGGAAAAAAAAAGTTCCAACTGAAACTCAAAACTGTAGAGAGAATTAGTAACAAAAAACTGATGAACTAATGAACTCAGTAATTCTACATTTCGCACTTAAAAAAATAACCTCAAACGATTTGTTGTTTCTAATCGCCCAAACGGCAACCACAACAGACAATAGACTTAATGCAAAAATGGGGGCGAAAATGAGCAACCAGGGCAGCTCATCTACTTTTGCATTTGACTGTAATTTGTAACAGCACAAAACTTCAAACAATGCTAATAATCCATGCTCTCCGGTACACATTATCATTCCATAAAAGTCTGAACGTAACGACCCCTCCGTCCTGAAATATCTCAAATATAATATGCTTTTAAAACGCATCTTCCATCCAGATGACTATTTTTTAATTATATTACACACTTTATTAACAAATCAGTCTATATTTATCAAAAACAAATGTTAGTATTAAACAATTGTTTGCAAGCATAAAACAACTAACCTAAAAATGAATAATGTTATTTTGTGCAACTTACGGTAATGGCGGCGACAGTATGTAAGATACTGACGCGATGGTAGCTCCAAGAAAAATTATGAATTCGCATATCCATAATGGTAAAAAGACAAGCGCATAATGAACTTTAATAATACCATCCAAACGTAACGGAATAAGCATCAAGAAGCACAGTAAAGAAGTGTACAAAATAAATTTCCTTGAAACACATTTAACCTTGTGGTTTGTGTAATCAAAATGATAATAACATTAGACTCACTCTTCTGATTTCTTACCAATCATGAAAACTTTATTCTTCTAAAAAATCTACAATATATGAAAGGATCCGAATATGGAACCTCGTATGCTACTAATAATAATGTATAGGGAACACTGTTCGCTGCAAATGCTTTTGCGTTCTTTTTGATATGAGCTACAAACAAAAGTAGCGAAAATAATATATAATCACTGCACTCGCTTGTATGAGTTGAAACTTCGTGCATCAAGATATTAAAAAGACATACGGAGCATTAAAGTCTCGGAAAAAGCTTCGAATGCTTAATTCCATTTTTAACAATGTCGAAGAATAATGTCAAATGAAATCAATTACTGCCTACGCGTCAAAAATTGATGAATGCATTTGAATTCATTGCTGCCGTCGCGTATTATCGAATCGCAAAGTCTACAAATACAAGATTTCATGATTGGTAAGAAATCAAAGTGCAGACAAGTCGTGAAACGTTGCAAGTTGGCACAAGATCTATCAATCTAGCAACAATCTTCTGCCCATCTATCACTGCTCTAGAAACTTCGCTACTACGCAATTAAAAATTTGACGAATATAACAACTAAAATGACAACACACGACGACAGGTAACACCCCCACAAGGGGTTTAGAGAGCAACAATACACTCCTTTTATAACTTTGACTCATGCAGCTATGAGATTACTTAGTTCATAAGTACGTCATAAATTCACGGCTCGGGCTATTGCAATAGCTTGCGCAAATATTGCTAATGTGGATGTACTTTCAAATGCCCTAGTACTTTTTTGGCATGGATTCAGCGCATTTTCAATTTTAATTTTATTGTCAAAGTAAATGTCGAATTTATTAATTGTATTGCTTCCGTGAAATTATTAATGCATTTTTTTCTGGCATGCTTCTTCAGCTGTTTTTTTATCTAATGGTCAAAGAATACTACCATTAATAAAAAGAATAA